GTCTGAATCCACAATAATTTTACTATGTGTTTCCATAATACAGTGCTCCCAGTCATTTAAAAAGGTGGTGGTGGCGCTAGACAAAGCAAACCATTCCCAATTGTTTAAGAGACCCTGGAGGTCCTCCCTTGCCGGGTTGCCTGGAACATGCTCTGACTGAGACCCGCCTTGCTTTCTCGGTACATACTGGAGAAGGCGCCCGAGAAAATGCTGCACTCTCAGCCCCGGTGGCTGGAAGCTGTGGTCCAGGGTTCCCTCAGACTCTAGATACTCTGTGTGCGGAGTCAGGGGCTGCCTAAGTGAGGGCTCCCACTGAATCTTCTTCCTGGTGTCCAGGGTGCCGAGCACCTGGCACCTGACAGCCGACTTCTCTTCCTAGGCCTCAGCGCATCCTGCATCCTGAGATACCCTGGTCTCATTGTCCATGGCGATCTCTGTTTCTAGGTACCCTCCTCACCTCTGCCAGCAAGGGAACAGGGTGGCCATGGTCACTGCTGCGCTGCTATGAGGCAGGAAGGGTAGGAGATGATGCAGGCAGGAGTGAGTTCGTGGAGCAGCCAGTGAGGGCCTGTGGTTTGGGGCTGGGGGCTTTTATGCAGCCCCAGGTCAGCATCATGGAGGGTGATGCAGGATATACATTCCCACTGCCTGCGGGCTCTCCACTTTGGGGCCAGGTTAGAATGCAAGCTGTGCTAGTCCCTCTGAAGTTTAGAGACCCTCTGCCCACTTCATACTTCCGCTCCCTGGAGGTCAGCAGAGGACAGACTCAGGCTCATGTCACAGGCTTGCTGTATCTTTCAGCACCATAGGAAATTTTTTTTTGCAGTTTCCCAAAAGGGAAAAAGGCATCATGACCCTGATGAGTACCTTTCTGGTCTGCAGCTGCAATTTTCCTTAAAAGTATAATTTTAAAATTACGATTTTTCTTGTCTCCTTTCTGTCAGTCTTTCTTCTGCCCAACCTCACTTTGAGGGAAGAAGCCTGGGCACAGATGCTGTGGGTGGGGAGATGTGGCTGGCGATGGAGGGAAGTTCTCTTCGGATTGCTTCCCATTTTCCAGCGAAGCAGGAAGCTCGGTCATCAGCCGAGAGGGAGAAGCTGGCGATGTGAGTGGAGAGGAGATCATAAAAGCATCCCCTAGGAACCTGAGAGGAATTAGGTCAAGGCCTGGGGGTAGCTTGCTGGGAAGCACTGAGCGTCTCCTTGAGGCGCTGGAGCGTGCGTAGCTCAGTGGTAGAGTGTGTGTTTGGTACACTCAAGGCCAGGAGTTGATCCGTAGCAACACATGAGCACACATGTGTACATATACATGCACATGACGCATTTCCTGGAGGTCAAGAGCCATGAATGTAGAGTGGAACCAGGCAGCAGAGTTATGGGCCTCTAAGATTTGGCCAGGTAAATGCATGGAGGTGAGAGGCAAAGGAGCTGGAGGTGACAGAGGGACAGGGGTGAGATGGCCCCAGGGGTTTCATCAACAGGGTGCAAGGACACCTCCTGATGGAGGCAGTGAGAAGCTTGGGAATGATGGGTGTCCTCTCTAACGTGGCTGACCAGGGAGTGAAATCAGGGTCCTGGAGGGCCCTGGACAGCAAGGAAACGGGGTGAGCCGGGAGCGTAGGAAAGCCTGCTGCCGGTGGTGCTGACTCAGCGTCTGGAGCGCGGCTCTCGGGCAGCCAGGTTGGCAGCATCAGCAGACAGTTCCGTGGTCACACCTGGAGGCAGAAGAGCTGCCACTATCTGGTAGGGGCCAGGGATGCCCCTGGACACCCCACCATGCCCAGGACACACCATGCCCAGCAGATGGGATTATCAGGCCCTAACCTTAGTTCCCTGGGGGGAAGCCCTGGCCTGGGAGTGGTGTGGGAATCTGTGACTGGGGTATCGGAGAGGAGAAAGTAAAGAAGAAGCCAGGTGTTTAGGTTTATTCTGACTAAAGGAAATCCCCAGGACTTACAACCAGGCACTGAAGAGGAGGATTGACAGCCTTGGGTTAAAGGAAGTTAATTTGCTGTGAGTAGCGTCATTTTCTTTTTTTGGAACTGATTGTCTAGTGTTAAAGTGCATAATCCTGAATTAGAACTAATCATCTAAGAGCTACATGTTCAGGTCGGCTAAAGAATGGTGGACTATTTAAAAATAGAAGCCACTTGTTTATTAACTAGCTTTGGTGTAGTCAAATCCATTTTAAGGAGATTGCCTAAAGCCCATTTAGGGATTTGGTTGTGTTATTCTGTTCAGAATTCTTAACTGTAAACACTTGGCACAGTTCTTCTTAAAAAGATCCCCCCCACCCCATGTTACTGGAGATTGGCCTTCTTACTGAGTTACATTCTCAGTCCCTTAAACACGTTAGTTAGAGGCAGGATCTTACCAAGTTGTCTCTGCTAGGCTCAAATTTGAGATCCTCCTGCCTCAGCCTCTCAGTGCTAGGATTACAGGCATGCACCACCGCACCTTGGTTAGTTCTAACAACGCAAGGCAACACCTCGTTGCAGTCAGGCCTTGAGACCGGGATCTAGTTTAGAAAAATCCTTGAGAAACTTTGATTTGTGGACTTTAGAGACTGCCTTCCCTTGCAGAGAGAAAACCGTCAAAAGCACATGCAGCAACTCCAGATTGCAAACCAGCTGGCTTCCTGGAATAAGCTGGTTAACTGCCCTGTCTTTGTGCTTTGTCCCTGGTTCTGAACTCCAGGGCCCGCAGGCTGCTTCTCCGCCTTCCCACAATAGCAAGGAGCAGCTTTTGTTTGCTTCTGGCCTAAAAGAAGGGCTTGTTTTGAGGTTTGGACCATCAATAATAATCCATTGTTCCCTAGAATAATAATCCACCCTCTTTTAGCAGAAAAAATTCTGCTGGGCACAGTGCGGCTGTGAGTTGATTTAGAACAGCCTAAAGTGCCCATCGTGCCCAGAGAATAAACATTTGGAGGGCAGTTGGGAGGAGAGCGGGAGTGCACTGGACTCATTGGTACAGTCCGGTCCTCAAGATGGCAGTGCTGAAAGCGACCCTCAGTCCCGGTGACAATGCCTTTCTTATCTTGTCCCTCAGTTACATTCTAAGGATAATTGGAACACTGCAGATATTTTTCCAGACTACTTCGTAAAACACCTTCTTTTGAAGATGGGTGTTTCAAGTTAACATTTTCAGGCCAAATAAGTTTTCTTTCTGGTCTTTATTGAGTCCCTGAAAGTTACTCTTTGGAGTGAAGACTGTCATATTTTAGCTGCAGTTCATAAGAATTTCTGCATTTGGTTCTAGCCGTACGTGGTGGTGCAGTCCTGTAATCCTAGCACTTGGGAGGCTGAGGCAGGAGAATCCTGTGCAAGTTTGAGACCAGCCAGGGCTACAAAGTGAGCCTAAACTAAGGCCAGCCTGAACTGCAAGGCGAGACCCTGTCTCAAAAAAAAAAAAAAATTCTGCAGTTGGTTCTGATTACAGATCTTCCAAAAATATATAAATTAAAAAGCTGCTTTTAATACTGCAGATGGTAGATCCTGGGCTTTGGCTCAAGGAGAAAACTCATTGGGGGAAGTGCAGACCTGACTGATGAAATCCCTTGCCCTTGGGTACAAACATGCATGTACAGAGTTACACAGGGCAGCCTTGTAGGGACGAGTTCACTCATCAAAGCAAACATTCTCTGCAGTTTCTCACAAGTCCTTTATAGGAAAAGGATCAGTTGGATAATGAATATGGCCCTAAAATGAAGGAGTATCTTGGAATAATGTAAGTACTTTAAGTGTAGCAGGTGAGAAAGGTTTTACAATGGCAGCTGCAGGATACCAAGTGAATATGAGAACTGTTTAAAGAAATAGGAGTAGGGTCTCACATCATTAAAAGTGGGCCGTCAGGGAAAAGCCAGGGAGTCCTTCGGTGGGTGAGTATATACACTGGAGCATCTGTACAATTAAATAATATTCATCAATGAAAAGAAACAGAGCCAGGCGTGGTGGTGCTGCCTGTAATCCCTGCAATCCTTGGAAGCTGAGGAAGAAAGATCTCAGGTTTTGAGCCCCACCTGAGCAATTCAGCAATTTAATGAAAAACTCTCTAAATTTAAAAGGGCTGGGATTGTAGTGCAGTGCAAAGGCCCTGGGCTCAGTCCCCAGCACAATAAAGAGAGATTTCTCACCACGAAACCAGAGAGAAAACTTGAGTATTGCAATGAGAGAAGCCAATCTGAAAAGGCTGCTCATGTTTGATTCCAACACAGAGCATTCTGAAGGAGACAGAAATACCTAGGAAAGGGCAGTGGTTGCCCTGGGCTTTGGGGCAGGTGGGGAAGAGTGAATGTGTCTGTTGGGGGTCTGGGCCACTGCAGTTATTCTGAGGCGTAGTAACGTATCACTGTAGTCACGTGTCAAAGCCGTATGTGGAAACACACAAGGGTGACCCCTGATGTAAACTGTGGCCTTCGGCTCATGTAACATTTGCTCATCAGTTGAGACAGATGTACCCACTGATGTCAGATGTGAAGAGTGGAAACTGGGAGAGGGGGTTTGAAGAAGTTTATGGGGACCCTTGACTTTCTACTTAATGTTTCTGTCAACCTAAAACTGCTTTTTAAAATGATTGTTAATTTAAGAAACAGCATCATAGCTAAATTCATAACAATATCTGCCGCTTTCCTTACCGCCAGTTCTGGGGATTGAACCCAGGTCGTCCACACTGAGCCACATCCCTAGCCCATTTTGAATTTTGAGACAGGGTCTCACTGAATCATTAACTTGCTCAGGCCAGGATCAAGTTAGAGATCCTTCTGCCTCAGCTTCCCAGAGTGCTGTGATTACAGGTGTCTGCCACCAGGCCCAGCAGTAAAATATCTTTTTACTAAAACCCCAAAGCAGTAGAATTTCTGGAATATGTTGCCAGAAATGTACAGTAGAACAGCAGCGGGTGGCTTTGTATAGCTAATAACTTTATCTCCCCTGATAAATACGAACTGTAGTATTCGCGCTAAGCCCTGCTTGGAACTGTCTCTGTGCTTCCCTCCCCAGTGACAGCAGGGGTGTCGGCCTTGGAGGTGTATACACCAAAAGAGATCTTCGTGACCAACGGGACGCAAGGGAAGCTGATGTGCACATTCAAGTCCAGTAACACGACGGGCAAGCTGACCTCCGTCTCCTGGAGCTTCCAGCCCGAGGGATCCGACGCCACCGTGTCGGTAGGGACTAGGGTTGCGCAGCTTCTCTCGTGCTGCTGTGGTCGGTGCTCTGGTCTCCGTCTTCCCCTCCTAAAGCCAGTGCCTCTGTCACTGTCCTGGGCTGCAGGGCTCTTCTTCTGCCTCCTGTGCCCCAGGAGGAAATAAATCTCTGACGCATAGCTTCTTTCCTGCTCCTTGTGTTCACCCCATTCCTGTTCATCATCAACCCTCCCCACTTTTGTTTCTGGTGTCTAGAGACAGGCTCTTGTTGTGTAATCTAGGCTGGTTTTGAATTCACTGTGGACTCGGCTGGCCTCAAACTCATGGCACTCCTCCTGCCTCAGCCTCCCATCTGTCAGGTTCTATCTTGAAAAGGATCTTTCCACACAGTAGGAGCTCCTCCCGACTGTGCTCATTCTAGTCATAGTTTGTCCTGTAACTTTTCAATGTGCATTTGTTCCCTTTTTATTTCTGTTTCTTTTGTGTATTTCTAATTTTCTTAATAAATGTGTGTGCTCCCATCTGGTTTAAATATGAATTTCTTGTTTTAGCATGCTTCCTGAGAGTTTGCCGTGCATTGGGTATTGAAGTTCTTCCTTAAAGGCCCCCGGCCCAGTCTTTTCCGTTACCCATGCTGAGTCATGATTTGCAAGGGAAAAGATTTAACACAGGACACATAATTTGTAGGATTATTTTATAATACTCACTCAGAAAGTCAAGCGAAGAGGAGTGCAAGAGTCCTGTCTGTGTGCCAGAGACCCAAAGAATCCGGCCAAGGGCCTGGAGCCCACGGCAATGTCTCATGCAAGTCCATGTCGAGGATCTGCACCAGGGAAGGCCCAAAGGTCAGCAGTGGAAGCTAGAAACCCAGCGACAGCAGGCGAGGGATCTGTGCCAGCAGGCTGAGGGACTTGCACTGAAGCCAGGAAGCAGCAGTCAAGATGAAGGACAGAGCTCCCCTGAAGAGAACCACCACCATCCCTGGTGACAGCAAGGACCCGAGCTCCTTTGACAGTGAGAAAGCTGAGCTCCTATCAGGAAAGCCAGCGTGAGAAGCTTCTCCAGGAGGAACAACAGCACACCGCCTTCCCGTCCTGTTCTCTCTCTGTGCCGTTAGCAGCAATCCTCAGGTGGACCTTCCACACCCAGCACCTCCCTGGCTCGGCTCAGCACTCCAAATTGACCCTGAGTTAATACACTTCCGGCAGTGGCCAGCTGGGTGTGGACCATGCCCTGGGGATCCGTTAAACCTGGACTGAGGATGCTCCTCCCTGAGATGGAGACCTTAAGGTCTTCTCCATGTGGAGTGGAGGGGAGGAGGAGGAAAGCCAGATGTATAAGACTCATGCTCAGGGTGCAGTTTAGCTCTGCCAGGCTGCTGTGTGTAGTTTCCTGTTTCCTGCTGTCTGTATGGCTTTTCCATATTGGCACCTGCTTTTTTTTTCTTTTTAATTTTTAAATTTAGGCATGCCTATAATCCCAGCACCTGGGAGGCTGATGCAGGAGGATCACTGTGAGTTTGAGATCAGCCTGGACTCCATAGTGAGTTCAAGGCCAACCTGAAATACACAGCAAGACCTTGTCTCAAACTACCGCCCCCCGCGCCACCACCACAAAACTTCTAAAATTTAAATTAGTACCTGTTTGCAATGAATGCTTACATTCATCATAGGGAGCAGGACATGTATATAACAGATTTTTATTCTTTTTTCATCCCTGTCACCACCTCTTCCCCTCTCTCTCTTGATTCCTTTCCCATTTGCAAAAGATCTATCCCTGTGTTTCTATTATCTTTTATTTTTTCTTATTTATACTTTGGATTTCTTGGTGCATGTTTGCTTTTATTTTTTCCCACAGGGTCTCACTAGGCAGTGCAGGCTGGCTTGAATTCACTGTGTAGCCCAGGTGTCTTCAAACTTGTGGCAATCCCTCCTGCCTCCGCCTCCCAAGTGCTGGGATTACAGGCATGTGTCATCATTCCCGGCCCCAAGTTGAAAGGCTAATGGGAGGTGAGGACCAGGTCCAATGAGGTCATGAGAGTGGCCCATGGTGGCACCAACAGCTTCTCCAGCAGAGGGAGAGGACACTCACGTGTTTGCTGTGTCTCTCCAGGCTGTACCCTTTGCCATGTAGTGACACAAAGGCAGGCACTCACTACATGCTGAGCAGGCTGGCACCAGCTCTCGGGCCTCCCGTCCTTCTGAGCCACGAGCTAAAGAAGCTGCTGTCCTTTAGAAGTTACTCAGTCTCACCATTGCATTAATGTGACCATTGATGTAGATGTGAGGTCGGCTTCCTTAGCCTAAGGAACACCTGGCTGGTTTGTAGAGCACACTCCAGGTGTGTTGGGCTGGGTCATGGAGGTGGGGTCCTGGCCCCATCCTCTCCGTGGTTCTTCACTGCTCTGTTTGCTACTGGCTATGTACCCAGCAGCTGTGCCCGCTGTGCCCTTCTTTCCTGCTGTCTCTGCTCCAGAGACTTTTGCCTCAGCCTCCTGAAAGCTGGAGTTACAGGGATACACTACCATGCCTGGCCCCGATGAGAACATTTACTGCCACTAAGCTTTAAGGGTTGCTCAAGACAGTACTTCTCTATGTTTTTAACCTTACTTTAGAAACAAGGCTTTTGGATATTTTACACTCTGTATCTGCAGGTTATATACAAAGGGTAAGATTTTTCTCAAACATTCCTGACTCCAAAAGTTAAGGAATCTTTCGATTAAATCTTTCGATTTATTTAGCTCACAGTTTGTGGAGGTTTCAGTCTGTAATCAGCTGACTCCAAGACCAGGTGGTGTCACACAGGGGCAGAAGACAGCAAAAGCAGCAAGAGCAGAAAGGAGGCAAAGGAAGTCTCTTCTTCCTTGTGTTTGAAGCAGGGTACCAGTCACCCCAGGACTGGTGTAGGAATCATAGAGTCTCCAAGCCCTCCTCTTTGCCCAGGCTCAGGATGTTTACAAAGCGAGGCTTCTGGCTCCCTGCTGATTTAACTTCTCAAATTGACAGAATATATCAGCCATTATACCTTCACAGCTTCCAGTTAAGAACTTGCCCTCTGGCTGGGCATGGTAGTGCACCCCTGTCATCCTAGCACTTGGGAGGCTGAGGCAGGAGGATTGCTGCAAGTTGGCAGCTGAGGCCAGCCTGGGCTACATAGTGAATAGCCTGAACTACATAAGGAGACCCTGCCTCAAGGCAGAGGAAGAATTTACCCTTTGCCATTCCTGAGGGAACTCGGGGTGTCCTCTGAGGAAACTTGGAACAAAATTTCAAAACAAGGTAATGGAAGAATAACAATAATTAATACATTGCATGTTTGTTACCTTCAGAGTAGTTACTGAGGGTAATGAGATATTGTCCAAATGATAAACTTTTCAGTGAACTAAGAGAAACTAGCAGCGTATCTATCTTAGCTATCATATATATGTATTTTTCCCCTTTTCCCTTCTTTCCTTTCCTCTTTCTCCCATCACAGTTTCTCTTCTCTTTTGAGCAGTGTCTTCTCGATTCACAGTATCTATTGCACATTTTCGGTTTAGTTAACTTTTTCAGCTTCTCAAACGAATGAGACTATATGATGTTTACACATGCGGGTGTGATTTACTTCACATATGTGTATGGTCTTGAGTTGTATTCATTTACCTATAAAAGTCTCAAAAATCAGCATGGTAAAGGAAAAAAAAAAAAGACTTAAGAATCAGTGGAACAGAATAGAAGATAGAGAAGCAATGCCAAACATAATCGGCCACCTTATCTTTAACAAAGGGGCCAAAAGTTCACTGTAAGAAAAAGATCCTCTTTAATAAATGGGGCTGGGAAAACTGGCTTTCCACATGACAAAAACTAGAACTAGACCCATGACTATCACTATGCACTAAACTACAGTCAAAATCTAACTACTGAAACAGAAACACTAAATCTGCTGGGAAAGAAAGTAGGTAGAATTCTTGAAGACACAAAGGTAGGCAAAGATTTCATGAAGAAAACCTTGCTCATGGATAGGAAGAACTAACAGGAAATACTAGAAAGAATCAACAAACAGGATTTCACCTTACTAAAAAGCTTTTGTACAACAAAGAAATCACCAACAGAGTGAAAAGACAACCCACTGAATGGACAAAATTGTAGCTAGTTGTCCCTCAGACAAAGGGACAACTAGAACAAATAGTTGTTTGTTACAACTATTACTACTACTGTTACAAATAGTTGTTTGTTACAACTACTACTATTACTGTTACGTCTAGAACAAATAAAACATTAAAAAAAATCAGTCCCCCCAAATTCAAAGACCCAATCCAAAAATGGGCATCTGAGATGAACACACACATCTCAGATGAAGAAATACAAATGGCAAATATATGAAAAAATATTCAACACCATCGGTCATCCGAGAGATGCAAATTAAAGCAACACTGAGATTCCATCTTATCCCAGAAAGAACAACCATCATCAAGAAATCAACCAATAACAAATGCTGGGTGGAGGGAGTGCTGTGTGGACAAAGGAATGCTTCTCTCCTGTTGGTGAGAGTGTAGACTGGCACAACCACCCCGAGGGTGGAGATTCTTCAATAAACTAGGATTAGAGGTCCCATTCGACCCAGCTATTCCTCTTCAGAGTATTTTCCCAGAAAAATTAAAAAGATCATACCACAGTGATGTGCATCCATGTTTATAGCAGCACAATTTGTAAGAGCTAAATTTTGGAAACAACACAAATGCCCACCAACTGAGAAATGGATAAAAAAAGATGTGTTTTTAATATAATGAAGTACTACTCAGCTGTATCTCTGTCTTAGCGGGCAGCTGTGAGCACTTGGGTTGACCACACTCCATCCTAATGTCGTTGAGTTTGAAGTCAGCTGGGCCTAGTTTTGACTCGGGGTCTATCATGTGCCAGGATGTTGGGACAATGTTTTTTTTGTTTTGTTTTGTTTTTTTGATCACTTTCTTATAATAAAAATATAGCTGGCCATAATTATACCAATGGGATACTGAGAGGCTTAGAGATGATATACAAATTTGTTTCTTCAACCGAAATGTGGCACAGTTGAACCTTGGGGATCTCGAAACCTTGGCCTGGCCTAGATCCCACATCCTGAGATGTGTGCCTGGCCTTTCTTTCTGTGCGCAGTCTTTTTGTTTTTAAAGAACCTTCCTCAGCAGACCTGCCCTGCCTCTGATACTAACTCCAGTGTTCCCATGTTCTAATTGCAGTTTTTCCACTACTCCCAAGGGGAAGTGTACCTTGGGAATTACCCACCATTTAAGGACAGAATCAGCTGGGCTGGGGACCTCACCAAGAAAGATGCATCCATCAACATAGAAAATATTCAGTCTATACACAACGGCACCTACATCTGTGATGTCAAAAACCCTCCTGACATCGTTGCCCGGCCTGGACACATTAGGCTGTATGTCGTGGAAAAAGGTACTTCCTTCAGAAACTCACAGTAAGGTGCGGTCCCCTCACCTAACAGTCAGTTGGATTACAAGAGCAACATTTGCAGGTGTGTTTGTGGGGGAGGAGTGCTCCCTGATTCTGTGGGTCCCTCAGACATACCAGGGAATGAGGAGCTGCTGCTGATTGAGGGGAGGGGAGTGCTGAGATCTGCTTTGGGGAGGACTAATTTTCCATAGTTAATTACAAGTAAGAGTAAGTTCACTGTGCAGTGAGCAGTGGGAAGGAAAGAGACTGAGGGGGCTGGAGCTGTAGCTCAGGGGCGCAGTGCCCGCCTGGCAAGTGCAAGGTTATGAGTTCAATTCCCGGTACCAAAAAACAGAGATTGATAGTGTGTTGATGTTCTCTGGGGAAAAACTCAGACATCTCCAAGAGCAGTATTGTTATTTCTTCCCCTTTTTGTTAAGAATAAACAGCAACTGCAGGCTCTGGTATCTCATTTTGATACAAGTCTGCTCTATCAGAGGGTAGACCGATAGGAATTCACATCTCCAGTTTTACTGATTTTTGAAACTTTGAGTAGGATTGTGGGTGTAGAAATACTCAGTTCTGCATTTTGTTCTTTTTCAGCGAATATTCATCTCTTACCAGTTAAGTACTAGTGTCTGTGGTTTGGACAGAAAGAAGAGAAATAAAATAACTACTAATGGCTGACTTGCTTGCTAACAGAATAAAGTTCCATTTCTTCTCTCTTTAGCAGTGTGCTTTACTGTCGTTTTGTTCTTTCCATCTAGAAAATCTGCCTGTGGTTCCAGTCTCAGTGGTGGTGGGTATAGTGTCCGCTGTAGTCCTAGGGCTCACTTTGTTCATCACCATGATCCTGGCTGTGCTCTATCGACGGAAAAACGCTAAACGGGATTACACAGGGTAAGAAATGCCCTTCTGGTGGGGAGAGGGTAAAGAAGTCACTGTTATGGGGAAAGGATTGTGAAGAGTTATGCACTATTGGCTTTCACCTCCAGACGCAAGCCGAAATCAGCAACCTGCTCCTCAAGATGCAATGTGGTACTAATCGTGCTCCACGGTTTGCTTCTTAGGTTTGGCAGAATGAACTGCTCTCTCTTGCAGTGCCATCCATTCTGCAGTTATCATCCCTAAGCCACAAACATCACTTACCCATTTTAAGAGCACTTGCATCTCTTGGTGCTAATCTAATACGGTTCTTCATTGTGCTTGGGTAAATATAAAACCCTAATGAAGAAGTTGTGCTGATACACTCTCACGTGGCCCGTTGAGATGGTACAGGGCTTTTGTTTGTAGGTTCCCTACCCCAAACTTAAGCAGTTGCATTGCTATGACCATTGTTAGGCTAGATTCACCCAAATTACTATCTATGGGACTTAACACTCTGTAACAGCAATCAGGAAAAATCAACCTTCTTTTTTGTTTATGGCTTCTCAGAAGGGACATCTTCGAGCCTAGGGTGTGTGTCTGATTACAGGACCATCTCTACTGCCCGCTCCGGCTGGAAAACTAAGCCATATAAGTGTTGTAGAGCTCCCGTGGTAAGCCTGGGGGTGGAGGTTGATTCAGTTGCCATAACATGGGCAGTGTGACAGGTGCACAGTCCACCCGTGACCGTCCCAGAGCCACCATGACAGAGAGGACTGCATGCCCCTGCTCTCTTGCGGGTGGATGGTGGGAACCTCTAACTTTGGCCCTGCTGATGCAGGATTCTGAGGCGTGCTGTGTTTAAACAAGTCTGAGGGTTCAAGTTCAGATAATACTTGCTTGGAGTGCTTCTGTTCTGCTGATTGCATTGCTTCCTGCATGGTGAGTGTTCTGTGATTAAAGGTAGCCGGGTGTTAGTTTTCCACGTGACACTAATTCAGGGTGGTAACATGCCAGTCTGCAGTTCTTGCTTGGGGGTTAGCGGAGGGGCAGGGAAATGTTCCTTGGAGTCTTGCATGGCATCATGAGAGCTGCTTTTCTTACTTTGGTTTTTTCCTCCCCGCCTTTGCTTTTTCCACCTTGCTGTGCTGGGATCAGGTCCTGCTTATCTTCCACTTCTTAAGAAAAGCTGACGTAGAAGACATTGGCACTGTAACAGGGCTGGGTCTCTTCCTCTTCCACTCCCAGTAGACACATGGTAACTAATCCCGTTGCCCGTTGCCGTTAATATTCGTGTGTATCAGCCGTTCCCCTTGTGGACAACTAACCCGCTAGCTCTGATCTAACCCAGTAGGTAGTACGGTATGTCCACAGATGTGTCACGTCATCGTCCCGGAGACATGTTGAATAGAATATGCAGATGAAACTGGGTTCATCTGAATCCACATGTGCTTCATGTCAAATGTGTACATTGTATGTGTGCGTGCGTATGTTTCTTTTTTTCATATCCGAACTTTACTATTAGTGATCACAACCCTCTTAGGGTTAGAATAATCACCCCACTTAGGCTCAGGGTCTATCGCTCCCACCTCAGAATGCAGTTTGCAGAATGCCTGGTAGGCTTCAGTCTTAGCGATGACACTTTAAATGCAATCCTTGCCATGCTCTTAAACTTTTAAAGTGGTAAAAGCTTTGAGCAGCAGTGATTCACATCTCGGTAGGAAATCACAAGTGAATTACTTCCTGGCATTCAAGGTCCTCATTTATTGATGAGAGCACTTTTAGTCTAAGATTCCTCCTGTCCCTAAAGAAGTTTGGCTCCATAGCCTCACTAATTAGGACTTCCTGGGTGGTTTGTCTTGGAGTTCTGTTGTATTTCTTTTGTTAGGGGTGTTTGGTTGAGCTACTGTGGGAAACAAAATGCAGGGAACAAGAGAATGGGGTAAATGATACAGACCAACACATTGTAAATCTGAGACTATCAGCTTGGCTATATGCCTGTAATTTTAAAAATACATTCAAAGAGACTTCCCTTCCACGATCCTTTACAGTTTGTCATTAAGAAGGTGGAGCTGACTCCTTTAAACCTTTACCTCAAAGCAGGATTGATGGCAGGGAGAAAAGATAATGTGGCTGAAGGGTAAATGTGCTTTGTGGCAAGAATCTCAGTGCTTTTATTAGAAGTTGGGGTGCAGGGGTCACCCATTAATTCTTGTGCCTCCCCCAGTAATAGGTTCATTGGCTTAGACGAACAAATGAGTATCAGGGATACAAAATAGTTTTCAGATTAAGTGATTTTTGAAAAACGTGATCCTTTTGATACCTGTGGTTTTGTTGTCTTCTGTTTTTATACATCAGCTGTTTCATCGTACCATCACCTGCGTTTCTGTTTTTTTTCCATTTAATTTCTTTTCTTTTTTTTTTTTCTTTCCTTTTTACATTTGTTCTCCAATTTGCCCATCCGTCAGCTGCAGTACATCAGAGAGTGTGTCAGCGGTTAAGCAGGCTCCGAAGAAGTCCCCCTCCGACACAGAGGGTCTGGTAAAGAGCCTGCCTTGCGGATCGCACCAGGTAACAGCCGATGGCAGTTCTGTCCTCTGCGCTTGGCTTCGCAGTTTGGTGCCTTGTCCCTCGCTGTCTGTGTGCAAGCAAGAGTGCTGAGCTGTGACAGAGAGATAGACATGTGGACAGACAGGCAGACAGAAAGGGAGGGCGAGAAGGGCAGTTAAGGGGCTCATCACAGAAAATGTGTGGAGAAGAATCTGGCCTGAGACCAATTTCCTATCAAACCATCACTAAAAGATGTTTCCTTTGGCCTGAGTAGAATTGGGGAAATGGCTCTGTCAGCTGTAAAAAATTATTTTTAAGTGACCCATTGAATGAACACTAATGAACTCTATTCTCTAGTGAAGTGTTCTGTAAGATAAGAGATTAGCAGGACAAAAGTTAATATGCATTGTATTAGGGGAAAATTAATTTTAAAGATTCTTTAGAATTAAAAGTGAGTATCTGAATAGTTAACAGGCTTCATGAACGAGAAACAGTCTCGGTTTCTTCTTCTGTATTTAGCACCGAATCTGCGCTGTGGTCAATGCTGTGCTTTGGCTGTGCTGTTCTAACTGTAGCTATGGGCGGCAGAAGCTGCACATCTGTCCTCGCTGTGGGTCGTCTGGGGTCAAAAAGCTTCCCAAGGAATCTCCCCAGTTACACTTTGCCCTGAGGAGGTGTTGTGGGCGGAATGAATTTAAGGAGAAGAAAGAGCTTAATAGTGTTTGTGAAATTCTGCGAAAGTCAAATTAGTTTTACTCTGCCTGTGGTAAGGAAACTTACACCAGTGGGGAAACTAAGGCACCGGTAATGCTAACTAAGGAAAAACCACACTGTTAGTGACAGAATTGGAACTGAAACCCAGGTTTCTACATAGCAAGTTCTTCACCACAGTTTCAGGCTGCTGGCTTGTTTGTGTTCGGTATCTCTGTCTGTCTGTATCTCCGTCTCTCGCCCCATAACATACCTCAGATATCCCAGTTTACTACTTTGAACTAGAATGCGGAATAGGGTTGTAATGGAGCTATGAGAGTTTAGTAACAAAGAGGCTTTAGGAAAGTTAATTCTGCCCTTGAAGTTCTCCTAGTGCTGCTGTCCTGCTGAAACCACACTAGTAAAAAGAAGGAGGAAGGAAGGTTTATTTTCAAGATGTTGGGAGATGCGTTGTGCCACACTGTAATAGCACAGGTGCTGAGCTTGTGCCAGCTCACTATCTGAGGTGTTTGCATGTACAGTGCGGGTGGAGAGGTGGAAAGAAGCCCAGTGTTCTCAGAGATTTGGGCAGCTTAGTGACTTAGCAAGACTCTGTCTCAAAAAACACATTTTTTTTTAAATGGACCTAGGAATGTAACTTGGTGCAAAGGCCCAGGGTTCAGTGCTCACTCAGTGCAAGGAGGGGAGGGACGGAAGAAAAGGAGGCAGGGATGAATTACTGTACTCAAGCAGTAGAATGAAACTCAGCTGTACCAGTGATTGCACTGACTGTAAATGATCAGAACCCTCCAATTAATAGATGGGTTTGGGAATGTAGCTCTGTGGTAGCGTGCAAAGCCTAAGACCAATCCCCAGTACCAAAAAATAGACAAGTGAGTAAAATAGAAATGGCCAGATAGATAGAAATAATCTGTTTCAGTTATTTACCAAGTCATATGTGTTTCCCTTTCTTTAGACTTCACAATTATTTAAAAGCTGTTTTCTGGAGCAACGTGGTGAGGCCCTGTCTCAAAAAAAGAAAAAGCAACAATTTTATGCCTTACTTGTTTCTGGAACTTGTAAATTCTTTGCCAGTTGCTGCAAGTCTTTGAGTGGACCGTGTGATTTCCCGTAGACCTGCTGTGTAATTTTTGTCTTACCTCTGTTCCGTGGTTATGCTCATTTACTCACGGGTACACTCTAAGGTTACAAACCTGACTGCAGACACTGCACCAAGCCGTTAGCTCTTGGGAGCGCTGGGAAGGGACCCTCCTGGGTGACTCCTTACGTGATCACAGCACCACCTGCAGTTAGTAAGTCACTGAAGTTGTTCTCACCCAAATCCCTGAGGTACCTGCCCTTCAGTTTGTTCACAGAGAAGTGAAGATTTTTCTCAGCTTGGGAAGACCTTGACCTGCTCTGTTTCCCTTGTTATATTCATCATGTATGCAGAGTGGGCTAAACACGGGAAATGCAGAGGCCATCAGCACCCAGTTTCTGCCCCCCAAGAACTGCAGAATCTTGTATTACATTCAGATAACTTTTAGGCTTTTTCCCAGTGTGGAAAAAAACACCTGTAAGTATTCTAGCAAACAACCTGGAGGAAATTTTCCTATTTAGCTTGAATTCCAAATAGTGCTGTAAAGATTATAATTTTTTTTAACAAGCTAGCATTAATTCTGGGGCAGCTAGTGGAGTTAATTCAGAAAGATGTCTAACCTAGACGTCTGTTCCTTCATCTCTGAAGTGAAGGCTTGGAACAAGTTGATCTCTAAACCCCTTCTCAGTCTCACACCCCTGTGTGTGAAGGGCCCACAGTGGAGTGCTTCCTCTGGGCAGGTTTGGGCCGTTGCTGACTCCACAGATCTATGGCAGTCAGACCTGCGAAATTTTGTAGACCTGGTACTTCAGGGGTCCCATCACGGCCTGGTTCCAAGCAACAAACTTCCTGTTGGCCATCCACAGGCATCATCTGAGAATCACAGCATTAGTGCAGAGGTGCATCGCTTCATGAAGTTAATTCTTTCCATGATTTTTACCAAACTAGATAAGAACTGAACCAATTCAGTGGTTTTGTTCAGTGTTGACCTTCTAGTGAAGTTTGCTTTATTTTGTTTTGTTCTTAATACCAGGAATTGAACCTTGGGCCTTTGCACTGAGCTACATCCTCAGCCCATTTTTTATTTTGAGAAAGGCTCTCACTAAGTCATTAAATTACCCAGGCTGGACTGAATTTATGATCCTCTGGCCTCAGCCTCCCAGAGTGCTGGGGTTACAGGCTATGCCACCCTGCCTGTCTTGATAAGAAGTTTTAATTTTAGGGGAAACATTTACCAGGAATCCTTGTCATGGCTTGTATATAGATATCCCTCCAAAGCCTTAGGTGGTCACAGGTCAGGGGTCTCCAAGGTGGCTGGATCAGGCTGTGTGATCATGCATTAAGGATGTGATGCTGGGATAAAGAGTGTGGATGATGGAAGCCCCACCCATCACACCTGGACACAGTACCGAGGGAAAGGCAGGCTGGCCACCATTGTTGCTTTTGCTGCCTGCCTGCTTTCTGTCTCGGGACTGTTCCTTCTCTGCGATGTCCCTCTCTCATGCTGCCCTGCCTTGGAGCCAGACAACATGGACTGAAACCTCTACAAACTGTTAAGCCAAAGCAAACTTTTCCACCTTTAACTTTAGGTGCCAGGTATTTTGCCTCAGCAGTAAAAAAGTAACTAAGACAGCCCCCAGCAAACCTCTCCTAATCCCTTTAGCCAAGAGTGGGACACATTTTCATATCTCTTCCAGTCACCTGCCAAGGGACAGGAATTACAGGTAACTTAGACATCGTCTAGCTTCACTCCAGGGGCTGAGTTGGGCTGATCCATTAGCTGAGCCAAGGGAGGGTGAGCACCAGGATCAAATGAGGACCCTTGAGCACAGGGGACGGGGTGGCTGGCTGGGGAAGATGGCGGCAGACTGTGCCTTGAGTCTGGAGAGCTGCCCCATGGGGGAACAGTAGGCACGCCATTTCTTAAGAAGTGTGTGGTGCTGGCTAAGATTGACCTAACATAATTTTTGTGTAATTATGTGATGAGTAATTAGTATTCTGGGTCCTTTTCTGGAAACGGTTAGTGCTCTGTATGCAACAGGCTGCTATTTTTGGAGAAAAGTGATTGAATGGAGTACTTACATGTTTGCCAACTATAGTTATTACTGTATAGTGTTATTGTACAGTAATGTTTCAAGAAGTACCTTAAGCACATTAACTTGTCTCGTCATTATATGTGTCCTGCGAGACATGCTCTTTTATTTTCCCCATTTTATATGTGAAGAAACTGAGGTTTAGTTAGTTGAGTCACTTTTTTGGGGTCAGTATTTAGTGGCTAAGTTGACGTTAGCTTAGAATTAAATTTGCCTGATTGTAAAGCATATGCTTATTCTAGTGTGCTTGTCCAATTCTTTTCAGCTCTGTTTTGAAAATCAATACTAAGTCTCATTTATTTCAAAGAAAGTGATAATACATAGGTGTGTTTTATTTTTGGCTTTTAAAAATGTCACAGACACGGAGAAAAGTGCTATTTGTCTATAGTTGAAGAACTTAAGGTAAAAGCAGATGTTGTTTCTTACTGGTCCTAAAGTGTCAAGAATTATTTCTTTAATGCCTGAAGGACCAGAATCAAATTATAAAAGACTTTGCAGACTATGGAAATTACACTGCAGGAGGTACCGCAGTGACTTCTGGGGAATTAACTCAGGGTGGTCAGAAATGCAGTGAGCGTAGTGCCCAGTGCCCTCCGAGGAAAGGGAGGTGCCTCAGAATGCAGCCGTGTGTCCCCACCCATCGTATTCCCCGAGTCTGGTACCGCGTGATGCCCAGCTCTTCCCCAAAGTGAAAATGACGATGGGAGGTAAATTAATTCAGGATATAGAGGCAGCAGGAACAGTGCAGCTAAAAACACCCCAGAAAGAGAACTTTCAAAACTGACGAAGCGGAGAGAAGGATGAGATAAATAGGTTTGAAGCGAGGGAGAGTGGTGAGTATTTGAGGGGGGTTAATGTCTGTATCTCTAAATGTAATAATTATTTTAATTCAAATACATTGTATGTTTTTATTGTACTTCGTATATACTTAGAGACAGATTTGTTTGCTCTTTTGGACCTTCCCCCCATGTCTCAGGTACTGCTCTCATTGCTGGGACAAAATACCCAACACCCACAAGTTAAAGAAGGAAGGGTTTGTTTTAGCACACTGTTTGTGGAGGTTTGAGTCCTGAGTCGGCTGGCATGCCAAAGGGGCGTGGAGAAGAGAAACAGTCCATGGCATTGCGGGTGGAGGCAGTGTGGCTTCCTCTTTCATTCTGTCCAGGCTATAATGCTATTGGTTGGTGCTGCCCACACCCAGGGTCGATCTTCCCTCTTAGCACATCTGTTGTCCACATACAGAACTGTGCTAAACCAGTCAGTGGACTAACCCAACCTCACACATCCATTACACTGTCACTTCCAAAGGCCCCTGTGAGTGTGTGAAGTTTTGGGAGGACATCTAAATACAAGCCATGACAACCCACATTCATCAGAATGATTGCTCTTATGGTACTGGGGCTTGAACCCAGGGGCTTCAGATTGAGCTGCACCACAAGTTTTTTTTAATATATGTTCTATTTTGAGATGGTCTCACTGAGCTGCATATGCTGGCCTTGAACTTGTAATCCTCCTGCCTCAGTCACCTGAGTGCAGGTATTACAGGTATGTGTCCCTGTACCTGGCAGTTTTTGTATAGCAGTGAATGTGTTACAAGTAGAACTCAGTGCTAAACAATCACTGATGATAACTAAAAGACATGTCAGACAATTTGTTTCTTAGAATATTTTCAGTAGTTAGGGTCTATTTGTATAGTAAATACTTGAGGGAAAATATACCCAAACAGAATTTTCACTTGATTCCTGTAATTCCTTGTTGGGGGTTTACCCCCCCCCCCAAAAGGATAAGGAATGCGAATGGTAAGATATATAATTAAAACAGCCCAGTTAATGTGGGTTTTGTCATCATTGCTGTTTTCTTCCTTTATTCTATTCTTACATATTGCATGTGGTAGCAATGGCAGGTTTGTTTCTGAGTTGGTCCTACTTCCTCTGATCCTCTAGTCTACAGTCATTTGCTTTCAAAACTGAGTCCCCTGGCATGTTCCAGAGAGACCAGGACACTAACAGCTTCTAAATAATACCAGGACTAGGCGTTAGCGAGCTCCTGTAGATTGAGCTAGGTGCTCATCCGATGCACGGTGTCAGCTCACACCTCCCAGCTCCTTTGGGTCCATTCTCCAGCCGTCCCTTCATCTGGTCCCTAGCCCTTGACATGTCACGAAGTCCCTGACATGAGACCTTATTACGTTCTAGGGGGAAAGAAGTAGGAATAACATTAGATGGTGGTAAACATCTAATGGAAGGAAACCAAAGCCGTCAAGTGAAAGTTTCCTTAATTGTCCTTCATTCACCGTCACCACTTGCTGTGTTCTCTTGTCGTGAAGACAGTCCTGTCTCCCACAGGTGCACTCACTGGTATAGTGATATTTGCTGACTGATGCAGATGTGTTCTATATTATTTTTTTTTTCTTTGCTTTTTGTGTTTGGTGCTCTTCTCACATGGAGCGTCCATTCTCTGTTGCTGTGTAAATCACCCTAAAAAGGAGTGGCTTGAAGCAACCACGGTTTATCTCTTTGGCTCCCAGGTCTGCAGTTTGTTTGTGCAGAACCTGCTGCCTGGCTCACTAGGTCTTATCTGCCGGTGCACTTTGCATCTGCCTTTGGTCAGAAGGTTGGTTTGGGGCTAGACATGCATCTGCCCTTGGTTGCAAGGTCGGCTCGGGGCTGGACGGTTGGCAGTGCTCTTAGGCAGAGCTGAAGTTGCCTAGGCAAAGAGAGGACACTTGGGCTTGTGTCTCTTGGCCAGCAGGCTAGTGTGGCTTGTTCACAGGTAGTGGCAGCATGTGGGTTCTGAGATCAGTAAGATACGAGCAGAAGCTCCAAAGCCTGTTGAGGTCAAGGTGTTACCATTGCACAGTGGCTCTTTTGTCTTATTCTGTTGGTCAAAGTAGGTCCAAGACTGGCCCAGATTCAAGGAGTAGAGAAATCTATTCTGCCTCTGGGTGGAAGATACCCAGCATTATATTGCAAAGACTGTTGATTCAGTTTTTAAAGAAAAAGTTTATAGCCATTTTTACAGTCCGTCTGTCACACACTGTGAACTCCTGCCCTGTACATGCCCTAAAACTCCTAATGAGACTTTGGAGATTGTGGTAGAGGGCTTTATTATCTAGGAGTTTACATGATAATTTTAGGAAGTCTTATCCTGTTAACTTTCTTGTGTCCTTTTGGAATAGCATTTCCTTTTGTTTTCCTTGCAAATTTCTGAGATGAACAGGGAGAGTCTCTATATGATTCAGCATTACTAAGGTAATCTGCTGATTTTACCCATGGTGGAAAGTTTAGAGAATCATCAACACCCTGAGCACTATGTTATGGAGAATCATCTACATCCTGAGCACTACACCCAGAGTTTGACCTTTTGGTTTTCTTGCTCAGTACCACACAGTATTGTAAAGTGTATTTGGGTAACTGGATGTTGGTAGTAATAATAATTAGCATGGATTAAGCACTGAGTATAGCTATTAATGGGTGTGTCTCATTTAAGTATTAGAACAATAAAAGTTCTAGATTCTGGTATTAGTGCCATTTTAGAGATGAAGAACCTGATATTTAAAGGCTTAAAATATACCACCAGCCACATGGCAGGTGCTGTTCTGTACCAGTGAAGAAGACCCCATGAATTCAGACTTGAGCTCTGTTCTGCCCAAGTTCAAATGGGCCTGGTTATTTTATAGCTCCCTTTCAGATGTGCCATCTCACAGGTCACACTGCTGGATTGTCCCTCCTGGGGAAGTAGGGGTGCTGCCCACCATGGGTTTAGAGCTTGCAGTCTAAAGAATGTGGCTATCAGAGCTGCAGAGTGGGGATAGTGTGTTGCTTTTGGTTACTGAGTTTGTGACTCTAAAACTGTAAGTTAGTACATCACTGGATGTGTCAATGACAGATCTCAGGGTTGGGAGAGAGGTTGGCTTTGGTTTATATTAAATTTCTCTTTTAAAACCAGAGTTGTCTTGGTGTTGTTTGGGTTTTTTTGTTTGTTTACAATTTAGTGATCTTAGGAAAGGACTGAACAGCTCAGGAAGTACAACCACCTGTCTGATGTGGGACCCTTTGGCTCTGCCCAGGCTTCTACCCCTGGGTCCAGCATTCACCATGCCCCAGCAGCCCAGCCACCTCTTGCATTCTGGGGTTCCTCCTGACAGCTTTCTAGATCTTTAGCCTCCTCCTTATTGCTGAGGCTTGCAAAAAATTTTTTTTCTTTATTTTGTCAAGGGTTTTTCCTTTATATTTTTACAGATTCTGATCTTGTGGGGTTTTTTCCTGGTTAGTTTTATGTGAAAACAGAAAGAAAAGCTATCTGACATTAGCAATTGAAGAAGTAGGCTGGGGATGTAGTTCAGTGATAGAGCACCGAATCCTAGAGTTCAGTCCCCAACACCAAAGAGAAAACAGAAGGAAAGCAAGAAAAATCCAAGAAAATCAAAGAAACCATATTTTGATTAGTCATGATCAAATCAGACTAAAATAATTGTGCCATAAGTAGTTTATTATAGAATACTTCAAATGCTTTAAAATGTGTATTTATACAAAGTAGTTTTTAATTGACTATCTTTATTTAGTATGCTGGGTTTTATAGGGATCATTCATGATTTTAGTGGGTCCAGATTGATAAAAATACTCACCTTGGTCCCAGAGAACTCTGATTCCAATGCCAAGATTGAAGAATTCTATAGCAGATATTTTTAAAAAGGGATATTTCTAAGGAGTAGTATATTGTTACAGAACTTTCCAAACAAAAAGTTTAGAGAATAATGGAGCAGATCTCTAAATACCAGCTTTAACAATTTTCAGCATATGGCCAAGGTTATTTTACAGTCAATTCTGGATATACTGTTCATAAGCAGTGTTCTCATTCTGAAGAGGGCAGTCTGCTTTGGAATCATAGTGTTACCATTTTAAGGATTGCTTCTACACCTATTCCTGTGGGGACCGTGATTTTTTTTCCAAACCTCTAACTAAACTTCTCTTCTCCAGGGCCCAGTCATATATGCACAGCTAGACCACTCTGGTGGACACCACAGCGACAAGATCAACAAGTCAGAGTCAGTGGTCTATGCAGACATCCGGAAAAATTAAAGAGAAGACCCAGAGCATATCCGAAGCAATGAGCAAACCCAAATTGGACTCTCGTGCAGAAAGTGCAGCCCATAACCACGTGTGGCCTTGGGGGCTGAGGAAAGACAAGCACATGTGTACTCAGAGAGGGGAAGGGACATGTGTAAAGGATATGTATAAACGTTCTATTTAATCTTCCTGACGCGAGGAACCAGTGTTGCATGATGAAAAGGTGTTGTGGTCCTGCGTATGCATAAATCGTCTTACTGTTCTTGTATGTTCTTTCAGGGTCGTTTAGCATTGGGAAATTTCAAAAACATTCTTGTCACCATCATTTAACTATCATTTGCCTTAAAGGAGACAGTAGAAAACATTCTAGTATTTCCATAGACATGGCCTTTTCCTCAAGGGCTCAAGGAAACTTAGCATTTATTGTAGTTAGAGGATGGAGATCCCGTGGTGCAAGAGTAGCCAAGGTGGCGTTTGATTTTACATTTAGACTGGGTCCACTGACTGTGCCACTTGAAGACAGCCTGGGAGGCTTCTGCTGATATTTGCTAAAATACAGGGCAGTTTTTAAAAAGCTTTGTCTGTTGTGTAGACTCACTGTAACATCACACCATTTAAGTATAGCGTATCAATGTGTGGATCCGTCTTAGCAAAGTTAGTAAAGTTCGCCTTCACGGCTGGAGGTCATTTTTTTCTCGGTACTTTAGCTCAATGCTATAGAGGCAATTAAAGGAAAAGCCCGACCTTTGCTTGAGTACAGCAGCATCTGGAGGGAGATGTATCTGTTGCATTCCTCTTGAAGCTGCCCTGTATGGAAGAAGCTGAAAGCAAGTGTTTTCTTCCTTCCTGGCAAGCAGAAGTGGGGTGGACATGTCGCCTCTAGGGCGCTTGCTCGAGAACCACCGTCAGCTCCAGAGGAGGCAACTTCTGGCCACCAGGCATGGCTGTTATCACAGCTCCTGGATACCTCAGAGATCTATGAGGTTAAAGGATGTCAAGATTTTCACAAACCAAGCAGGGCTAGAACTACGACTTTGGGGATCTTTTCTCTGTCTGTTCTGAGTTGGTCTGGGTTTTTTCTAGTCCCCCATGACTTGTAATTAATAACACAAGGAGATGAGGAAAACAATAGATCATTAATTTCCTTCCCCGAACTCATTTTTACCGTTGACTGTCTTCTCCCCGACCGTGAACCTGAGAATGACAAGCATGGTGAACATCATATGGTCATTCTCCCATTTTTCTCAGTTGCTTTGTTTTAAAAGAAACTTTTTCCCATTAAAACCGTCCGGCAGCTGTGAGCCTGGATGGCTGCAGAGCGAGCTGGGGTGAATGAGGGGGAGGGAGCGGTGGTTTTCCTCCCATACTTGAGCCTATCGGAAGCTGCTTCCTTTTTTCCTTCTTGTCTTCTGTCATCTTTGGAGATGCTTGAAGGATGAAGACAGGGAGTGAAGCCTGACTTAGGCTTGATGGTGCACATGAGGTGGACAATAGGAAAAGGGCCTGTGAGCCGTTTAAAACTCACCTGTCACACGCAGGAGGTCTTTGGTTTTCTGAGGAACCCTTTGTTCCACTGTCCACTCAGAGCACATGAGTGGGATCGGGTTTTGTCACTGAACTCACGTGGGCTGAAGCTGGGCGTGGTGTGGTTTGTGTCCCTGCTTCCTGGGTCCAGCTCAAGAGGGGCACAGAGTTGACACAGAGCACCTTTCCTGGGCCACCTCCACAGTGTGGTCACCTCTGCCTTGCACCCCAGATTTCCTGTCGGTGAAGACAGGAGCCGATAGAAGGCCTCCTTCATGTGTTTTGAGGAGAGGGGAAGCATGCTGGGTTGTCTGCATTGCTCAAGCTGAACCCAAGATGACGAGACTCTGCCTGGGCCTTCCTCGTACAACTGTTTCAGCCGGGAAGGACAAACCGCCTGGAGCCCAAGGTGTCCCTTCCCATGTGTGCTGCCTCCTTGGAGGAGTAGCCCTGATTTCTCCTTTAGGTGCGAGGGCCATCTGAGTGAAGCTGGCACTGGTGGGAGGTGTTTCCAGCAGCACCTCTGCCTTTCCTCCTCATCCCCCAGCCACCTCCTTTCTGCCCTTGCGCTTGGGGACCCTGCCCAGTGACCCCTTGCCAGCCAGCAGCACCAGTTCTAGCAGAAGATCCCTTGGGGCTCACTGGTCTCCCTGTGAGGGTGGCAGCTGCCTGCCCTCCACAGAACATCTCCAAGCAGCCAGCCAAGACCACCCCCAACTCAGGCATGCCACCTCTGGCCAAAGTTCTGGCCTTTTCCTGTGCCTCACTGTCCCTGTGCCTGGCTGCAAGCCACAGTGGGGTCACATCCCAACGGCAGGCCCGCCCTTCCCATGCCTTAAGACCTCTTAAAATTACGTGTAAATTTAGAAACACCTAAAAGGGATAACTTGGAGGTTAAAACACCTGTCTAGTTTCTCCATGAACATGTATCCTGTGTGGGGGAGGGGACGACTATCAAGTTCATAATTTTTGTTCTTTTTCTTTTCAATTGTACTTCTGTGAATATTTTAATACATCTTTTTCAATTTTCAAATGGTATCGTGTTTATTTTTTATCAAATTAAAAAAGAGAAAAGCCTTTCTCCTTCATGCCACATAGACGTCTCTGTTCTTGAAATACACTGCCCATGGGCTGGCCTCAGGGTCTTTGCACCACCATTGCTCAGCCCGCATCCTGCCTTCTGCAGATAACCTGTGTGGTTCTCTCACTTCCGTAACTTCTATTGGATGGATGAATAGGTGGACAGGTAGGTCAGTGGATGGATTTATGGATTCAATATCCTGTCGTCAGGAGTGGCCCGTGCTGGCCACTATGCTGAGCATAAGAAAACAAAGCAAAAGTTAAATTTCAAGGAGCTAGCTGTAGAGTGGAGGGGCAGAAGGTGACATAATGGTAGAGTAGTGACTAAGTACTTGTCTGCCAGGGTCTCTGCAATCCTTCCTCTATTGTAGCACTACCTGCCAGTAATGCTAGTTGTGCTCTGTTCCGTAACACACCTAGGGTGTGGGGGCTTCTGAGCTCTTTCTTGTTCAGGCAGGTGGGCTGTGGGCCTGATGCTGCAGGAGTATAGAATGACTGACACCTACTCCCAGGGGCTTTAACCTCAATCTGGAAGACAGCGTGGGGGCTTCACCATTGAGCCCTGTGTTACTAATTGTGAAAGTTATCCAGGGATACATTAATTTTATAAATCACTGTATTTGCCATGAGCCTGTGGCCTGATTCTCTCTGGAGCGGGAGAGAAGAGTTAGTATTGGCAGGAATCTGGGAGTGACTTGATGTGAACACTGCCCCACCCCGGGTGATGGAACAGAGCAGGCGTGTTCCCCGTCACCCAAAGTCAGCAGTTACGGAATCCTGGGTGGGGGGTTCACAGCTCTGCGGTTTCCTTCTGTGCTTTCTTCCTGTGTGCTCGAAACTTTAGTATGAAAACTTCAGACAGAGTAGTGAAATCCAGGCTGAGAATGTGGCTCACTGGTAGAACTCTTGGCTTGCATGCACAAGGCCATGGGCTCAGTCCCCAGCACCAAAAGGTAAATAAAATGAATAGTAAAATCAGCGCCCATATATGCACTGTCAATAATTGGCAGACAAGCTCTGAGTTATTTTAAAACAGGTATCCACTTCATTCCTGCATTCACTATTGTCCATCTTCAAAAAATACAGACTCTGTCTCACATAATCATTAATTGTCATATTAAACAAAAACATCTTTAAACGCATTCTGAAGTTGGGTGTGCTGGCTGCTAATTCCAGGCTAATCTGGGTTCCAAGATAAGACTTTAGCTCAAAACAAAATCTCCAGAATTCCATTTTAGTTCGTTTCAGCTACCAGTTTGTAGTTATACTTACTTTGTTTTGAAATTGGAATTTGGAAATCTTTAAATCAGTATCCAAACACAGCACCTTCTCTTTTGTGTGCCCGTTTTAAAAGCAAAAAGGACCGTGGCGCACTGTGCCTTGCTTTCCCTTGAGCGTTATGCCAGAGAAATTTCCACATCCCTGGGTAAAGAGCTGGACCTTTAGTTACTAACAGCTGCAGGCCTTTCTTTTGTCTGGAGATGTACATACGTATTTGCACCATAATATTTTAACCATTCTCAATGTCCAGGAATTGAAGTCATTTCCTGTAGTTTTATTACTAGTAGTTCTCTAATTGACACTTATAAAAGAAAAACATAAATAACTTGCACCCCAAGAAAAGCAGTGGAGAATCACAGCCACCCCCTTGTCCTTGGGAAACAGGGTGTCACATCTGAGAGGCTGGGTTTCCAGCTCCCCTCCCTCTCGGTCCCTCCCAAAGCCATCAGGAGCTCCCTGCTGGCCAGGCTCTGGGTTGGACTGAGTCAAGGGCTGTAAGAGAAAACAACCCAGAGTGGAAGGCGAGAAGGAGCCCCGTCCACAGGGGCCCCCGGCTCTGTTTATGGGGAAAGGAAACGCACTCTTCAGGCTCAGTGGAGCCCTGGGGAGTTGCTGCTTCCAACCTCGTTTCCTCCCGCAAACAGGATGCCAAACTGTTTGTTGTCCTTTCTGGGCCTGGCTTGAGGAGTTCATTGTCCGTCGTTTCTTTCTTGTGGGCCTTAAGGTTATGGCCTTTGGCCTTAGAGAATGTGCGGAAGGGCCGGTTTGGGTTTTGTTTGAGTTTTTAGTCTGTCTGCATCTGGAAGGGGAAATCTGGTGGGTTTAGTGTCACACATTGAGTTCAGCCCTATCCTCTGCTGAGTCTGTCTTGGTTACTTTTCTTTTATTGCTGGGACAAAATACCTGACATCCAAAATTAGGGGAGAAAAGGTTTATTTAGCTTACAGTTTTTGGAGGTTTCAGTCCATAATCGGCGGACTCCAAGGCAGGCTGGGGTGGCAGTGGGGCAACACTTCAAGGCAGCAGCCAAAGCAAAAAGGAGGAAAACAAGCCTCTTCTCCTCCCCTATAGTGTACGCAGGCCACCCCACGTGGGTGTAGCACTCACAAAATCTCTGTGCCCTCCTCCTACATAGGATGAGGATTTTTATAAAGAACCCTCCCTGACTCCCTGCTGAGTCTCTCAGTTAAGCTTCTAAACTTCTCCAGTTGACAGGATGTGCGAACATAACACTGTCCTCACTGGTGGTGACTTCAGGACCTGGGGCAGGAGGGTGGGGAGCCCAAGGCAGAAGCCAGCTTGCAGTTGGCCTCCTTGATAAGGGCCCCAAGGAGATCAGAGTTCTGAATCTACACCACATTCTTGGTTCTTTGTCTGCCTTCCAATAGCATATTTTTTAAATTACAAAATTGCTTTTATCTAAATGAAAGAAACATAAATTTTACAACCATTTTGTTGAGAATATAAAATACAGTGGACCCATGGGATTGTGGAACACTGCAGAGAGCCTGACCTCATCTTTGCCAGGCCTGCAGGACTGCCGGAGTTTGTTTCTGCTCGGTCTGAGGTTCCTAGCTGAGGAAGCCCAGCCAGCCCTGGGAGCCCTTCCTAGGGAGCCGCCTGGCACAATCATTGGCACCATCACCCGCACCCGGCAAGGCCCAGGAAGCTGAGCCCAGCCCGCGGGGGAGAAGGAGCTCCTTCACTGCCAAGCGCTGGCGAGGCAGGGCGGTCACACTGCTCGGAGAGCTGCTGTGGACCCTCTGACGTGGGCAGGACTCATCAGCGCTTGTGCTCAGGAGGCTGAGTGAATCATTTAGTGTTGACTAGTGAGCTTGAGCACGAAAGAAAACAGCCCAGTGAGAGAAATGAAATAGGAGGAGAGCTAGCACTTGGCTGGAAAGAACTGGCCTCTTTCCACATCCACATCCTCCCTAAAAAATACCCGAAGAGAAATTCAAATTGCATCTTGTGTGTGTCTCTCTGTGTGTCCATGTAATGTATTTTGTTTGGTTGGTTTTTTTTTTGTGATCCTTGTGATTGAACCCATGGCCGCCACATTGAACTATACCCCCAGACCTTTCTGTTTTTTATTTTGACAAAGACAGACTCTCACTAAGTAGTCCAAGCTGGGCTTGAACTTGCATTCCTCCTGCCTCAGCCTCCCAGAGTGCTGGGATCACAGGTCTGTGCCACTATGGCTGATTCTGCTCTACGTTTTTAGATGATGATTCTTTCATGGCCATCCTTTATGTCTCCTCCTTATCAGTAGCCAAACACTAAAATCATCACAAAAAAGCAGTCCCTTCTCAATAGGGACAAAGAGGTCATGTGACAGGAGACAAGTGTACAAGTAGCCAAGCCAGTGTCTGACCTGTACATTGAGCTAATAGTATCTACTCTAATAGTTTTAGCTATTAAGCACTAATTTGACAGCTAAAATCACATTAGTTGAACAATGAATATATTGATAAGAAGTTTAACCTATAGAGCCTGGTGGGTTTTTCTCTTACATATTAGTACAATAATTCCCTTCTGATCTATGCTAGTCCTTGTTGAAACTGCAGTGGTCTGTCTGGCATTTTAAGTTTAACCCAGATATGTACAGAGCTCCACCACCCTAGGAGGTGGCCCCTGGACACAAGTGGCCATCCAAATCTAAATTAATTAAAAGTACATGAAATCTAAACTTCACATCCTCAGTCACACGTAGTCTAACTGAGTGCTTGGTACTGTGTGTGTGGAGGTGGGGCTCGGGGATTATTTCCCATTTGAATCAGGTCTAGAACAATTCCTCCAGCACAGAAAGCTTGGCTGGCGATGGGGGTACGGCTGTGCAGGAACTGGTGATCTTTTAGGAAGATGGCCCGGTTATTCCCACACATCCTCGCAGGAGCCCAAACCACCCTTCTTCTCTCCCAGCTGGAGGTGGCCACTGGGAGCCTCCACTTTCTAGAGTTTGGACCTCAAAACAATGCCCTCTACTCACTCCACATACTTTTTTTTCATTAGAGAATGCTTTGTTTCTGTAATCAAACCAATGAAGATAAGACCTTAGCGATTTAATACAGAGCATCTGCCAGTGTACAAATGCAAACAAAAGTATAACATCTCCAGACTGGTATGTCTGTAAATTTCTGTTCAAGCACGGTAAACTGGGAGACTCTCTAAAGCTGACAGCAGAGTTAAAGTTTCCAAAAATTCAAATTCCCAAATTCCACAGCAGCGGTGTGCTGTGCATCAATACTAGCAGTTCCACATGCTGCTTGTCTGCGGGGCTGCCCACACTGTAAGGTGCTCCTCCTCGGGAACTGTGTGTACCCACCCCAACCTGCAGTAGGAGACAGAGCTGTGAGACAGAAAGCAGCTGGAGAGAAACCTCAAAATCAGCCTCCTGCTCCCTCCCGGTACTAGGTTTGGGGCAAGCCAGGCTTTGAAAGCTTTACCGCCCACACTAAGAGATGGGGTACAATCCTGAAAGCAAGGTGGACTTCAGGAAGGGGGACTGGCATTTTAGTGGGCTTATCCTACCAACTGGCAGACAGAGGACCTCCTACACTGCGAGACCAATTAATTTTGTGGCCCTCTAAGAGTTGAGCCAGACACAAGGGAGTTAGGTGTTGGGCAGCACTGGGCTCACCATGGCAGGAGAGAGCTGAGACAAACTTAAGATGGTGAAGAGCACTGATGCCTTGAATGAGCGACCGAGGGACTCAGAAGCATCCCAGTGAGCAGTGACTGGACCGTACACAGAAATGGCAAACGGGGTCTCTCGGTGTTCCTGGGGGAGGAGGCAGAAAACTGCCTCTTGGAGTGCAAATGCTTACACATCTTCAGTCCCAAGATGACGTGGGCTGTGCAGACCTGCAGCCTCCTGGATGAGCCCACTTTTGACTCCCGTCTGTTCTACCCCTGCCACCATCTTTCAAATCAGTGCCTTCACCTCTAGCTCTCCTGTCACTACTTTCTTACAGTCACTTGATTGCAAACTTGTAAAATTACCCTCCACCCCTTGTCTTCACAGTCCAGCTTTCTCCTGTCTAATCCCTCTTCCATAAAGAGTTGTGGTTTGGGCTGCAGGGCTGTGTAGCTCAGTGGTAGAGCACCTTCTTAGCATGCATGAGGCCCGGGTTTAGTCCCCAGCACCTCGGGGGGATAAAGAATGGGAGCCTTTCTAAAACAGAAATGGGCCCCTGCATGGCTTGGTAGAGTCACTCTGGCTCTAGCAGTGGGCAGGATGGGTTGCAATCCAGGAGCCTTTCTCAGGAGCCCCTCCAGGCTAACTGAGAGTCCGGGGCTTGCAGATACCAAATTCTGTGTCCTGTCCCCAGGGGACCTTCACCTGGCTGAGTCACCTCCTGTTTGCCCAGCTTTTCCCAGCCTTCCAAAGCCACCGTGGGTGTGTGCCAGGCACCGTCATCACTTGGCATTTTCACTGTTTGCTCCCCGGGGAGAATTCTGAGCGCTTTGCCTGAATCTACCCTCAACTATTCTATGACTATGCGTGTGAAGATCCTGTTGTTATTTATAGATGAGGGAACTTGAGCAAATGGTTTTGCTCAAGAGCACAAAGTGAGCAACTGGACCCGACCCAGTGAGGCCCAAGCTCATCTCTGTAACCCCAAAGGCTGGCGGCTGCACCTTGGTGAAGAATCTGTTTATACAACTAATGGTAAATCTTTTTTTTTTTAAATCTCCACGAAGGTCTGTATAGTTAACTCGCTTAATAAATATTAGGCTCCGGACTGGGGATTTAGCTCAGCGGCATAAGCACCTACCTTGCAAGCAGGCGGTCGTGAGTTCGATCCCCGGTACCGATTAAAAAAAAAAGTATTAGGCTCCTTCAAAAGCTGTCTGTAAGAGTTAACTCGAAGTGATCCGTAAGATGTTCTTTGATACACTCCTTCAAGTGAAGACTTGTCCTGAGCTCCCGCTGCGCGTCCAGACGCTGGGTGTGGGGCTGGGGACTGAGCACAGCACCTGCGCCCTCTGGTGGATCCTAGAAGAGGAGGGAGCGTCCTCCAGCTCGGAAACAGCCAGAGGGAAAAGCAGCACTTCTCCCTTCCTCTCTGTTCCTGCTGTCTGCATGGATTATTAATCTTACTTCTCCACAAATAATCCTGACCGTGATGCTCCCGCGGACGTCATGTTGGTGGCTTCCTGTGGGCCCCGGGGCCGCAGTAGTACTGAGAGTTGGGGCTGCATGTTTGCAAACTGAGGCAACATTTCAAAAGGTCTTGGAGGCTGCGGCAGTCGCAGCAAAGAGCCAGTGCTGCCATCTGCTGGTCGCTGCCAAAACGCACCCGGGCCAGCCCCGCAAGTGAGGCTGATTAAAGATTTGTCCGCGATCACATGACTGGTGTCTGGCATAACCGGGACCACAATCCAAATTCAGGGTTCCTGCGTGTGTGCCAGTTAGCCTTAAGTGTCGACTTGGCTGGATGAAGAGACACTTGGGAAGTGATTGGGACATGGCACGCTGTACTCGTTGGGGGGTCAGCCCACTGAGGTGCACAGCAGCTGAACGAGCCCTTTGGAGCTGAGTCACAGGCGGCTTCTCCGGGAAGCATTGCTCTCGCCACACTCTCCCCTGTCCTCCCTTCCTGGCTGCTCCACCGGATCCTTCCACCACGATATTCCTGCCTTGGAGCCAGGTGACCAGGGGCTGCACTCTCTGAAACCAAGAACCAAAATAAACCTCTGCTCCTTGAAGTCATGGGTGCCAGGTAGTTTGTCCCAGCACAGGGACAAACTCTTTCCAGCCTCTGGTAACCACTATTCTCTGCTTCTAATAAGCCTGATTTTTGTTGGCTTCCACAATAAGTGAGATGTGCAGTATGTGTCTTTCTGTGCCTATCTTCACCTAACATAATGTTCTCCCCTTCCATTCACACTGCTGCAAACAACAGAACTGTGTTCTTTTTATAGCTGAATAATCATGCATGGACCAGGCTCTTTTTATCTGCTCACCAACACCTGGGTGAGTCCATCCTTGGCTTTATCAATAGTGTCCCACATTTTTATCAGTCCTCTGGGAAGGATACCTCAGCACCCTTGATGAGGACCCTCAATGTTCCTGTCCATGTGTTCCAGCCTAACCCAGTCTTTACTTGGACTTGATTCAAATGCAAGAAAATGTGAAGTAGGTGACTGAAGTCCTGGAGGACAGGTGTTTGATGGGTGGTGGCGCCATCCACCAGGCTCCTCCTGGAGGACCCTGTGTCCTGGGACACCCTGAATACTGCTCTTCTGCCAGCAAGGGTGGCCTGGGAGAGGGCAGCACTTCCAGGACAGCACAGGCTGTGCCTAGGAAACCTCAGATGGCGATGCTGGGCCTCCCTCTCCTGTGACCTAAGGAAACTCCGTGGGAAACCTCTCTCTCCTGAAGGGCAAGCTGCTCCAGTCTGTCTTGTGGGCACACTGTCACCAGCACTCGCCCCTCACGCGGCCCCAGGGACAGGAGCCATTTAGGGGCTGTGTCCTCTTTGCTTCCAGGGTGAACAGGACCCCAAGGCAGAAATGCACATCTGCAGATGATCTGGTTTACTTGGCCCAGGCCAGGGCTGCCCCAGCCCAAGTAAGCAGTAGGCAAAAGAACTTTATACAACCCTGGCGTGGTACACACCTGCAGTCCTGGCATTCTGGGAGGCTGAGGCAGGAGGCTCAGAAGTTCAAGTCCAGTGCAGGCAATGTAACTACTTCACAAGACCCTGTCTCAAAATAAAAATTAAAAAAAGAGCTGGCATGTAGCTCAGTGTGAAAGCCCTGGGTTCAATCTCTAGTACACAGTGCCAGGAAGTAGTGGAGGTCCAGAAACAGGACAGAGACAGAAGAAAGCCCTGTCATTCTTCTAAGGGTGCACGGCAGGCCAGAGTGAAGGACATTTTAGGGTCAGGGGAGAGTGCTATGAGGTCAGAGCAGCGATGGTGACCTTCAGAGCGTTCAGTGATACAAACAGCAGCCCACTGGCATTGGAGGCCAAGCAGGGGCTGGATCACCCCAGGGCAGCTGGTGCAGCAGAGTAAGCGGTTTGGGTTTTAAATCTGTAGATAAATTGTGGCAGGAAGACAGTGGAGGGTTTTGAGTGGGAAAGATGAGCTGATCTGACTTCTGAACTTACTCCGTGTTATGACTTGGGGCTTGATGTCCCCCCAAAACCGAATGCAGTCACAGGGTGGTCTTTCTCAGAGGTGGCTGGATTAGAGTGTGTGACACTGGGGTTGAGTGTGTGTGATGCTGGGACCCAGGGTGTGAATGCTGCCAATCTAGCCCAGCTAGAACATAAAGGGACAGAAGGAAGCTGCTCAGGTGGCTTGTAGCTGGCTTGTGCCTTCTGCCCATCTGTCCTGCTGGGGCTGTTTCTCCTCTGCAATGCCCCTCTGCCACGCTGCCCTGCCTTGGAGCCAACCCACTATGGAGGGAAACCTCCACACACTGTGAACTAATAAACCTCTCCTTTCACTTTGGATGTTGGCTATTTTGTCTCAGCAATGAGTAAATAACTATAACAGTTACTTGCTGTGTGATCAGCTCAGGGATAAGGGCAGAAGCAGGAAAACCAGGCGGGCTGAGCAGTGACAGTGGCTTCTCCCAGACGCCCCAGTGGGGAGGCTGCACATGTCCTCTGGCAGGCACTGGGCTTGCTGGGTGGAAGGTGCAGGAGAAAGGGGAGAGCGGGGACACCAGCTTTTAACTGACTTGTGTGGGAGGGTGCAGGAAGCAGCAGGTGGGGCAGGGGTGCAGCCCCCTCTGAGAGGCCAGGAAAGTAACTGACAGGGTCTGGAAGGGTTTTTTTGTTCAGCTATTTTTAGCACAGTTTTTGAGTCACAGAGGAACTTGGAAGCAGAGGTTTCTCACACACCTTGAACCTCCCACCCTGATGCACCTGCCTAGCTCGCTGTCAACAGCTCCCTCCAGAGTTGTGACCTTGTTACAACTGGCTAGCCACACTGATGCACCGTTTTCAATAAAAGTGCCTCGTTTACACAGGCTTCAGCTTGCTGGTGTATACTCTATAGGTTTGGGCAAATGCACAATGACAAGTGCCTACCATTGTGGCATCTCAAAGAGTAGTTTCTATGCCTTAAAAATGTGTTCACTCACAGGAGCTGAATCTTGGAAGCAGCCCACGTGTCTATCCACAATAAATAAGGGGAGTGTGGTATATCAACATGAAGGAATGCTACTCAGCCATAAAGAGGATAAGTTTGAGGATTGTGTTCAGAATTGGATTATGTTGAAAACATATTAGGTGAAATAAATCAGGCATAGAAAGTTAAATATCACATGATTTTTCTCTCTTACACGAAGAACCTAAAGTATAAATCATTTAAAGAGCAAAATGAAAGATAAGGTACAGGGAGATAGATCTTTTGCAGGTGTTGGGGGAATCTAGAGATGGACAGACAGGGGAGAAGGGGGGGAGTGGGAAGTAAACAAGGATTAAAATGATACATAGATCTCAATGCCTCATGAGGAACGTAGTCATTACACAGCACAAACACATGCTAATAACAATGTGAACAGTTGTGTTTCTGCTGTTCGTCTCCTCTCCAAGCAAACCCTGATAATCCTGCTGTGTTACTGTCTGGTTTTTCCTTTTCCGGAATGCCTTTTTGTTGAAATCATACAGCACGTTCAGATTGGTGTCCTTCACTTCATCTTATTCCGTTAAGTTCCCTCTGCATCTTTTTATAACCTCGCGGCCTGTTTGCATTCAGCGCTGAGGCACATTCCCTGGAGGTTCCCCAGCATATTTACCCAGGTACCTGCTGCCATGCTCATTGCTTCCAAATTCTGGCATCTAGCTGCCGTAAACATTTGTGCACAGTTTTTTGTGGAGACATAAACTCCAGTGAATAAATATCAAAGAGCAAGATTTTTGGATCCTGTGATTAGAGTATGAGGTGTGACCAAAAATACTGTGGGCATTTGATTTTTTTAAAAAAAATTATTACAGTACAGGACACGTTGCCATGAATCCTCCTTGTTACGCCCTCTTGGTTCCAACACACTCATCCCATTGTTGTTTTTTTCTTTTTTCATTGCGTTGTTCTTGCCCTTTTCTGAAGCATTTCTGGAATCTTCTTTCACGAGGGTCTTTAGGTGCACGGTAATGGCTAGTGCCTTGGTGTCCCAAATTGATTAAACAATGTTTGCCTTCCATGGTGAGATGCTGCACGGTGCCGGGTCCAGTGAATGACGTGGAGAGGACACATTGTGATGTTTTTAATCAGAACTTTATTAGCACATGTCTGCAGTACTGCGTATAACGGTTATATTCATCACAGGGAGCTGGTGCCTGTACTCAGCATTTTAAATCTTTCTTCATTCCCTTCCATCCCTCCCCCACCTCGTAATTATTTTGTTTTGATCTTTCCTTCCTTCTTTTGGTACTGGGAATTGAGCTCAGGACCTCACACTTGCCAGGCAGATGCTGTGCCGCTGAGCCATATCCCTGTCCGGGGTTTGTTTGGTTTTACTTCCTTTGGAGACAGGGTCTCTAATATGGTCCAGGCGGGCCTTGAACTCACATGTAGTCCAAGCTGGCCTCAAATCACAGCGATTCTCTTGCCTCAGCCTTGTGAGTGCTGGAATTACAGATGTGCACCATCCCCTCCCAGATCTTAATGGTTTTTTTCATCTTAATGTTTTTATTCGACAGAAATTACCCTAAATATTTGAGCAATGAAAGGTGATCATAAATTTTTTTATATTTTTATATTAATATTTTGTATTACAGTTTGAGACACAGTATAATCCCCATCAAAATATCTCCCCCTCTTCAAACTCACTTATTCCACAGTTCTTTGCTATGAGTCTTTCACTGTAATGTCGTCTTCTCTTTTAAATTTCAGAACTTTGCGGTCCCTCTCTGTTCCCACCCCCAGCCGTCTGCGAGCCCCTGCTGCCCGCCTGTGGCCAGCATCCCCCAGGTCTGCTCTGGACTTGGACCACCGGAATGGCTGCATTCTGTAGTGGAGTTGGTTTTAACAATTTGAGGAGTGAACCATGGACGTGAGAGCTGCTTGCTCACGAGCAGTGGCTCCCTTAGAACCACAAGGGCAGCTGGCTGGAGGTGCCCAGCTGTGGGCAGCCTGGGCCCCTGGCTGCCGGGGGGAATCCCTGGCTGGTGCTGCTGAGGGGAGGGCGGGGGGGGGGTTTCCCCAGGGGACAGGGCCCAGCTGATGCCAGAGGGAGAAGCTACATAAACCCGAGGAGATCGGGCACCAGGCAGGCTCAGCCAGGGCACGGAGCCAGACAGAGAAGGAAGGAAGAGGCTCTGCAGACAAGGCTACAGGCAGGACATCTGTCTTAGACCTCCCTCTCCCTCCCTCCCTTCCTCCCTCCCTCCCCCATCCGCCTTTCCTCCCCTCCCCCTCCCTCTCAGCAGCCTGTTAGGTTTTTCCCTGTCTGCGTGTCTGTCTCTGTCACTGTCTCTGTCTTTTCTTTTCTTTATTCTTCTTTCTGAGACAGGATCTTGCTGTGTAGTCTGGCCTTGCACTCACAACCTTCCTGCCTCAGCCTCCTCAGTGCTGGGGTGACAGGTTAGTGCTGTCTTTGAAGAAGGAAAGCCCGGCTGCCTGGTATCAGTGCTCAGAAAGTTTGGGACTTGGGAGCATTCTGGATCTGGAGGTTTGGGGTTAGTGATATTTAGCCTTCATTATTATATCCACTTATAGGGGAGGGAGAAGGCACAGATAATAAGCAGCTGACTGGGATTATCTTCCAGTCCATCTGCACAAATGCAGTGACCCCAAAAATAGTGTCCCGGAAGTAAAGGTGCCTTAGTTTTAATAAGTATATTCTAGGTAGAATGAAAAGATTCAAAGTTTCCTTCTGTTCTGAACTGGCCATTCTGTAACTCATTTTTAAAAGGAGGAGAGCTGGGCACAAGGGCACACAACAGCATTCCCAGCTCCTGGGAGGCTGAGGCAGGAGGATAACAAGTTTGAGGGTAGCCTAAACTACACAGTGAGACCTGGTCTCAAAAAAACTAGATAAATAGATAGACAGATAGATGGATAGACAATAGATAGATGACAGATATATAGACAGACTATCGGTGTGTTATAGTTGATACACTGTGTCAACCTGAGAAGTTCAGAAGTTTAACAGAGACTCAGCAGGGAGCCAGTATCCTTACTTTGTAAATATCCTCATCTTCTACAAGGGCACAGAAATTTTGTGAGTGCTACACCCCCCTTGGAGGAGAGGGGTGACCTGTGTACAATATAAGGGAGGAGAAGAGGCTTGCTCCGCCCCCTTTTGCTCTGGCTGCTGCCTTGAAGTGTTGCCCCTGTGTCATGCCCCCCTGCCTTGCAGCCAGCTGATTATGGACTGAAACCTCCAAAAACTGTGAGCTAAATAACCTTTCCTTCTTTGTACCTCCTGGGGCAAGAAGAAGGGAAGGGCAGGTCCAGAAACTCCCAGACTTTCTGAGCATAACGTGAGGCACTGTCATGATCTGCTCAAAATACCTTGCTGTTGGAGGCATTTCAGCTGAGGGGCGAGAATGTCCAGGTCCAGTACACACTGCCCTTTCAGCCATGGTTTCTATGAACCGAACATGGCCCTGTTACATCCAGTGGAGTGGGCTGAGTGGGGCTTGTTTTGTTTTTTGAAACAAGCACTTCACTACGCAGGCCAGGCTGGCCTTGAACTCATAGTGATCCTCCTGCCTCAGCTAGCCCCAGTGAAGGTTACTTGGGTGCCCGTTTCCTCTGATGGAGCCATGGACTTGGCAAGGTCAAGAGCTTTGTCTTTCAACCAGGTGTCATGGTGCAGTGCCTATGATCTCAGCTATTCAGGAAGCTGAGGCAAAAAGACCGCAAGGTCAAGGCCAGCCTCAGAAAGAACAAAAGCCTATCTCAGAATAAATGTTTTTACAGGGCTGAGGATGCAGCTCAATGATGGAGCACCCTTGAGTTCAGTCTCTTCTACCACCATATATATATATATGTCTTTGCATCTTAATTTCTAATACCTGATACTGGCCACACAGTAATTTTTTAGATGATTCAATGAGCAAGTGAATAGGATGAATAACACGCATGGTAATGAAGTCAAAAGCCTTGAGGGACGGGGTGAGCAGCTTCAGGGATGGCTACTCTGGTGTGCCAGCTCTGTCCTGCTGTCTGTCTGGCTCTGACATTCTTTACTTACGTGGTGCAATGTACTTTTCCACACTTTTTAAAGCTTCCTCTATCCTGTTGAATATTCACGATGATGCCCGGAAATGGGGACCCGGCCGGTGATTTCAGGGGAGCAGAATGTGACTGAGGTGGGGCCTCCTGTCCCGACTCCCTCACCCGGTGCCTTCCCTGGTTCAGTCCCAGCGCCCTGGAGGGTGAGGGGATGCTCCCCAGGGACAGTCCACAGCCTTGCCTCTGCAGGTGGGAAATAAAGACACCGGCCACTGTTGCATACACTTAAAATATACATCAGCTCTAAGCATGGGAAAGACACCCCGTCATCTGCACAGACAACAAAATGCTCTCAGGTGGAGGCAGCGCTCGCCTGCACCCAGCGTGGGAGGTACCATCCGGCACCAGAGGTCTGTCCCAGTCTCCTCCTGTGACACAAGCAGGGTTGTTGCCAGCCACTGGTCTGGAAGGCGTCAGAAGGGCGTGTCCAGGATATTCACCCGCATCAGGAACTTGTTTTTCTGAAGATCCTGGAAGCACAAATTGCCTGATACAATTCCTTCCCAGGATGGCAGATTCAGGACTGTGTGAAGCCACTGGTCCTCCGTGAGCTGGGCGTTTGAGTACCACCACTCCTGCGGGAGGACAGTGAGGGCAGAGGTCACTGCACACTTCCGGGTGTGGAAGCAAGATTGCACCCACAGAGAAGAGTGAACTCTGCTGTCCCGATTAGGACTTTGACACTTCCTTCTTTTTTTCTTTTTTAATTCATTCTTTCTTTTTGTCTTTTTGAGACAGAGTTTCATTGTGCAGTTCAAGCTACCCTTGAACTCACCTTGTAGCCCAGGCTGGCTTCAAACTCAGCAGCGATACTCCTGCCTCAGCCTCCCAAATGCTGGGATCACAGGCATGCGTCAGCATGCCTTGATTACTTTCTTTTTAAAATAAACACAGTTAATTCAGTAATACTGAATATAAGGCTGGGTTTTGGCTTTTTGATATTTTGTTGTTTTTGGAAGTACTGGAGATTGAACCCAGGGCCTTCACACTAAGCTACATCTCCAGCTCTTTTTATTTTTTATTTTGAGACAGAGTCTTACTAAGTGGCTAATTTGCTCAGAACAGGCTCAAACTTGAGACCCTCCTGCTTCAACCTCCCAAGTTCTGGGATTGCAGGTGAGTACTAGTGCGCTGGAGTGGTTTTTGCTTCGGAGTTGCACTGACAGGGGAAGAAAGATTTGCAAACAAATGGCATCAGAAGGCACAGTGGAAAGGGCTCTGGGGAGGGGCAGACTCTGCAGGAGGGGGATTCTCAGGCACACAAGCTGGGACCATAAACTGCCAGTCCTTTTAGTAAGATCCAGAGAGGCCTGCGGTGACCACTCTGGTCAGATATGTGTAGCCTCGCACTCCTATTCATGTGTTGGAACTTGAGCCGCGAGGTGATAGAGGCACTCATTCAGGGGATCAGTGCCCTACAACAGTCCTGGACACAGCAGGGTGAGGACACAGCGCAAGGTGGCCTAGGGAAGATGAGACCCTCCCCAGGCACGCACTCCCCTGCAGCAGGGTGCTGGACTCACTCCCGTCGGTGCTCAGTCCCTCTGTCTCTACGACATTACCAGCCTAAGGCGCTCACGGACACCCTTGGAACAAAGGAGCCAGGGGCTCCCACCCACCCGGGGCTGGCTGGCCTCACCCACCTTGCTCAGGAACAGCCAACTTTTCTCCAGCATGTTGCCCTGAGTTTCCGAGACCTCCAGTGCTTGGCTCAGGAAGATGTCACAGTTCTGCCCGTCTCCCATCAGCATGCAGACATAGGCCATCAGGTGGTACAGCCGGGGGTGGAACACAGCTCCCATGGTGTTCTGAGACAGGAGGCTTTCCAGGTTCTAGCCACAAAAACCAAAACTGTCATCGGGGTCAGAAGGAGGCCTTGGTGCTCTCGGGCACTGAACCCAGGGCCCACCTTCTTTTATTTTTTATTTTGAGGAAACATCTTGCTGAGTCACTAAATTGCCCAAGCTTGAGTAAAACTGGAAATTCTCCTGCCTCAGCTTCTATGTGCCACCATACCCAGCCTCTACTCCCTCTTAAATTTTGAAAACTGCAGTTTCCTTAAGTTCCCAGATAATGGTTTGCTTTAATGATCTCAGTAGCATCAGTTATATTTTTAATCTGTACTGTTTGGAGGATAGGAGAGGCTTACTACTTTACTATTCATTAAATAAAGGCATGCTGTTGTTTAGTTATCTGCGTATTTATCTCTCTGGATTTTTCAGGTAGTAAGTTGACCACAAGTGAGGCATGCCTTTACTAATTTTCAATTCATATTTGTAAGTGCTAATGACAGCTCATTTATCAAATCCAATGCCTGTGTTATTGGAGAGAAAAAGGAAACAGAATAAATTAGATTATGGGAAGATGGTCAAAAGTATTTTTCTGAGTAACACGTCAAATTTCTTACAAGTTACCTTCTTTTTTTTTTTTTTTTTTTTGTCTCTTTCCTTTTTATCGGTACCAGGGATCAAACTCATGACTGCCTGCTTACAAGGCAGGCACTTATGCCGCTGAGCTAAATCCCCAGCCCCGCAAGTTACCTTCTTAAGTGAGTGACATTTACTCTATCAAATTATATTATGCGATAATGTTGTGTATAACCGAGTAATTTCCATATCCTGATGGAGAGCCACCTGCCAGGCGTGGTGGCGGATACCTGTATTCTCAGCACTTTGGGAGGCTGAGTCAGCAGAATCACAAGTTTGAACCTAGCCTGGGCAACTTAGCAAGACTGTTTAAACATAAAAAAGGACTGAGGATGCAGTTCGGAGTGAAGGCTCTTGGTTCCACCCCTAGTATCTCAATCAGTCAATCAGTCAATCAGTCAATCAACCCATACAGCAATTTCTGGGAGCAAGATCATGGGCATCCTACACTTTGCTTTTCCTAATTTTTCGGCGGACTGTCTTAACGCCTCCTCTTATCCTGCAGCACCTCTGATCAGCTGGCAAGGCCCCCCGGATCCCCGCAGTGGCTGGGCTGGGAGCCACAGCGCACCCGCACCTTGAGCAGCTCCACAGCGCTGTCCTGCGCCCTGTGGCTTTGCTCTTCGATCTGCTTTTGGAGGTGGAGCACCTGCCCCTCCATGCACTTCACCAGGCCTCTGTAGTAAGCGGTCTTCGGGGTCCTCCGCGACAGGAGACTTTTACTCTTGTTGAAGAAGTTGGAAAAGTTGTCCCATTCCTGGAGCCGGGCGTACCTGCACCGCCACGGGAGAGGCAGAGATCAGCACGGCTCCAGCCCGAGTGGGGCACGGGACTGAGTTCAAGCCCTGTGGGCTCCAGGGGCCCAGGTGCCATCTGCTCGAGGGGAGGGGTCCCCTCGGTGGCAGGCTCCAGGTCTGCTCTGGTGGGTGGCTTGGGGGAAACGGGGAGGCAGTCAGGGCTTCTTATTAGTCCTCTTCAACCCCCAGCAGCTGGTCCTGCACCCCTGTGCATCCTGGCGCTAGGGTTAGGGTTAGGGTTCCAGGACCCGCCCCCCAGGAGTCCCGCACAGGCGCCCACATCCGCAGGACTGCTGGGGGGGGGGTCTTCTATAACAGGGGGCGGGGCTTGCTGCCTCTGCAGACTTCCAGTCACTTCTAGTACCTGGAACACCCAGCACAAGGCTGGTGCTGTACTGATTAACGACCAGGGAAAGCCAGTCAGCACCGGTTCAGTATAGCTGCAACATCCTCCACCCCACCCCCACCCCCTTGCCATAATTTCTGCCTGGATTTAGCTGAGTCCACTGATGCAGAACCCATGGACGCAGAGGGGCTTCTTCTCTGTCACACACTCTGTGTGTGTGTGTATGTGTGTGTGTGTGTGTGTGTGTGTGTGTGTGTGTGTGAGATGCATATCCGTGCAGCACCCACCATTAGAGGCGCCCTTTTCCTGCCCCCAGACAAGGGTGGTGCCTACCCAATCCACCCTGACTTCTTTGAGCTGACTCAATCAATAAATGGACTAAAGGAGTTTTCTTTAAAAAAAAAAAAAAATTGTTTCCCCAGAGGACTTTTCAGCATGCAACATCTCCAGCTGGGGACCCGAGTGCCAGGCGACAGACCCTTACCAGATGGCCAGGGCTGAGTAGAAGCCCAGGAGGATCCCGCTGTGGAAGCGGAGGATGCTGTCGTCCTCGTGGAGGGTGATGAACTGCAGGCACTCCTCGAAGGGTCTGTACACAAAGCCTGTGGGGTGCGGAGGGGCGGGGACCCTGAGCTGAGCCCTGTGGCATGGGGGCCTGGCCTGGGCTCCCGAGGCCTGCCAGGAGAATCACCACTCCTTCGTGAATCCTCAGGGGACTCAACAGGGGACTCGACACCCAGCTACTGCGGAGGTGATGAACGTCTAACACCAGCTCCCAATGCAGACCAGAACTCCCAGAGTTAAACCACCCCGCTCTGGCCCAAGTAGAAAACCAGGCCTTGGTGCAGCTGTAACTTCTCCTTCTGCCCAGCCTTGTCCCCTTGCTGGTGGCAGTATATGTTGCATGTGTAGAAAACAACCCACTGGGAAGCCTGGGGATTTAGCTCAGCGGCATAAGTGCCTGCCTTGCAAGCAGGCAGTCGTGAGTTCAATCCCTGGTACTGATAAAAACGAAAAAGACAAAAAAAAGAAAACAACCCACTGGTTGGTTCCTCTGGGTTTTGTTGCTGTTGTTTGGGTTTTTTTGAAGACAGTCTTGCTGTCTAATTCAGCTGGCCTCAAACTTGCAGGGAATGCTCCTGCCTCAGCCTGCCAAGTGCTGTGATTTCAGGCCTGTCCCACCATCCCCAGCTCTTCCTCTGGTTTCGTGTGCACACAGAAGGCTTCCTATTTGATGTGTTTTCCAAATCACCAACAGCTACCAAGGTCTGGCACTCTCAGTAGCATCCATCCCACCCTTCATCCTAAAGTGTGAGGTCTCTAAGTATATGCAACACTCCTAGAAAAGGCTGTTACTAAGACAGCACTGCCTACTCTTACTTAGCGAAAGAGCTCTGCCCTCACTGACCCCCTCAGAGACCCCTGACCACCTTGGCACCTGCTGTGTGGCCCTTGGCCCATACCACCAGCGTCTCTCCATTCCCAGTCCTGCAGTCCCGTGAGCCCTTAACTAAAGGTGCCCAGCCCCAGACCCAGCCCGCTTACGCCAGCACAGGGGCTGCCCTGCCTGTCACTTTGAAACCCAAAGCCACACGCACCACAGTACAGCATGATGTCCAGGCAGGTGAAGTAGAAGTACGCCTTGCTGAAAGTGTGCTCCTCCTGGGCGGACAGCTGCCACAGGGACTCCAGCACCTGGATCAGTTGCTTGTATCTGTGGAAGAGAAAGAGCAGTGGAATTCAAAATGGCAAAAGAGAGGAGAGGAAGAAGCCCAGACTGGATCTCCTCTCCATCCTACCCAGTACTTCAGACTTGAAGTTGTTCAAATATAACTTTTTTCCCGCCTCCGGTACTGGAGATTGAACCCAGGCCTGGACTGGGTTCTGCACTGAGCTCCATCCCTGGCCCTTTTATTTTTTTATTTTTGAGGCAGAGTCTCACTAAGTCACTCAAGTGTCCACATTGGGTTCAAACTTTCCATCCACCTGCCTCAGCTTCCCAGAGTGCTGGGAGTCCAGGTGGCTCCGAAGACGGCTCATCAACAGAGGTCAAACTGTGAACCCGGCCCTGCACAGCACAGGAACTCTGATCTCCCCCTGGCTTTTCTGTCTGTGTTCTGTTGTAGTCCTCCACCCAGCCCATCCTTCAGTCCTGGGTCTCCTCCCTGGCCCTTACCCTCCTGGAAATGTGTCCCTTTCCCTCTGCTGGGCAGGCAGGAGGCCAGGCTCCCATAGTGAGTGACTGACTTGTGGTCACAGGCCACTGGCCAGAGTTGCCCAGGACAGATATGGCCTCTGAGAGAATTCTGCTCCAAGAGCAGTGTGCCCAGAGGGACCCAACAGCTGCCCATCAGCCAGGACACGATGAGCCCAGAACAAGGCTCCTGACTTCGGGGCCTGCTTTGGGACCAATACCTGTTCCTCAGCAGGAGAGCGCTGGAGAGCGTGCAGAGCACTGAGCAGTACTCGTTTGGGTTCCGGAGCAGGGACCACATCCTGTAAGCCCTGAAGCCTGGAAGAAGAAAACCCAGCTTGGGGCTGTCCTGCATCTTCCCCCGCTTCCCGCCCCGCTGGCCCTTACCTAAGTCGATGGCCAAGTCCAGGTGGCCCATGACGAACTTGATGTGGCCCAGGGTGTTGGCCACGTAGGCCACCATTTCAATGGCCTCGCCCTCCAGGGGCAGCTGGTAGATCCGCTCCACGGCCTTGAGCTCGTAGGGGAACCACATCTCGCCGTAGCCAGCGAGCTGGTGGAACATCGAGTAGTCCAGAAAAGCCTTCACGATCTGTAAGGCAGCCGCGGGGAGACAGGCAGGCGCCATGGTGGAGGGGCCCACTGAGGAAAGGAGGGCTTTCCCTATCTCTTTATGCACTTCTGAGGGTTTTTTCCATTCCGGGGGTCAAACCCAGGGCTTTCACCCTAAGTCACATCCCCAGCCCCTCTTTTGTTTATTTTTTATTTTGAGACAGGGATTCCCTTAGTTGCTAAATTGCTGAATTATCTAGGCTCACACTTGCAATCCTCCTGTCTCAGCCTCCCAGAGCGCCGGGATTACAGGTGTGTGCCTCTGTGACTGTCTCTGTTCCCAGGCACCTGTATAAGCAACATCTTCATTGCTATGTGAATTTTTCCATTTTACCTTCCCCTCGGCCCCAGCTCTATCACCGTAGTCAGGAAAGAGCCCAAGAGCGGAAAAGTAAAGTTCAGTCTGGATTTGCTGAGTCCCCGACAGAGTGACCAGTGAGACAGTCAACAAGGTGGTCAGGAAGGCCTCCCGGCGGAGGTGGCCACTAAGGACCAGGGGATGGACACCCCAGACAAAGGGATGAACCCACAGAAGTTCTACGTTTTGGTGCTACTTGGTGGTCCAGGAATCGGCAGGGACTTGGTCTTTATGGTTTTATAAACATTTCACGACTGTCTTTCCCTACCGAAAAGAACTAATGCTGGGGAAAGATTCCTGGCTAGGAATTTAAGCTCCTCCAACACAAGGTTACTTTTATTTTTTCTGAGACAGGGTCTCTCTGTGTAGTTCAGACTGGTCTTGAACTCACTTATATAGCCCAGGCTGGCCTTGAACTCTTGGAGATCCTCTTGCCTCAGCTTCCTGGGTACTTGAATTACAGAAGTGTGCCCATGCCTGGATTGTTTGACCCTTCTCCTTTATTCTTGATAGTGTTGATTCTAAGAGGAAGTGACTAACCCAGAAGAAATTCAAATGTTTACAAAGTAACGGGGTCACTCTCATTAGATGAGTTGCATTTGGCTGAAATATTTCTTCCTCTTATCTCCTGGAGTCCTCATCTAATCAAAGGCTTCTGGTTAGCAACCTTGACTACTGATTCTTCTGGTTGGACCCAGGGCCTCTGTGGGGTCCCTGAGACCCTTTTAGAGAGCACTCAAGGTCAAAGCTTAGTTCTCTAATATTGAGTTATTATTTGTGTCAGATAAAAGAGTGCGAGGCCTTGAAATGGTCCCAACAAAAGCTTAGTGGGGCCCCATCCAGCTCACCAGTCAAGGTTCTCCCGCTCCCCCCCTCTCTACCAGTGTCAGACTCTTTTACAATCCTCTGCGTGGTAGAGGTCATAATGTACATGATATGATTCCTTTCCTAAAAAACGTAAGCGTGCAGGGATAATCCAGGTGGAGACGAGTCCTGTTACCATTTATAAACTGAATTCTCATTTGAACGAGTTGTAACCTCTTACAGTTCTCAGCTGAAGCCAAAATCTTCCATGCGATTCCTTTGCTAATGATTCTTGGTTCTATCTTTTAAAAGAGAGAATCAGCTGCAGGTGGTAAGTGGGGGCCTGGTGTGCGGGCAGTGAGGTGTTTATCCTACCACTGCTGTAAAGCTTTTTGCTCTCATTCTCAGAGAGGCGACAGAAATGATCTTGCTACAGAAAGAAGGTAGAAGAATCCACATACCTTCTACGAAGCCAGACATTAAGATACTTGCAAAAAACAAATGAAAAAAAAATTAGGGGGCACACTGGGGATTGAACCCAGGCCTTCACACTGAGCTACATTCCCAGCTTTATTTATAAATGTTTGGTTTTGGTTTTTTGAGTCAGGGTTGTGCTATGTAGCTCAGACTGGTCTGGAACTTAACTATGTAGCCCAGATTGGGCTTAAATTGTGACCCACCTCCCTCAGCCTCACAAATGCTGTGGTCACAGGTGTACACCATCATACCCAGCTCCTTTATTTTTATTTTTGAAACAGCGTCTCATAAGTCACTAAGTTATCTAGACTGGGCTGGAACTTGCAATCATCCTGCCTCAGCTGCTCAGAATGCTGAGATTACAGCTGTGTAACCCAAGCCCAGTTTACTTGCAAAAAAGTAACACTATCACTTAACATTTTAGTTTTTCATTTGGAGAAATATCGTTTTTTAAAATGAAAATGTTCAGATATAATGTGTTTGACTTTTAAAATATTTTCTAAATGTCTGTTTTTGTTCTATGATCATATGACTAGTTATAACCCACATAAATAGAAGCCACTTGGAATCTTCGATAATTTTTAAGAGTGTATGTGATGCTGGGGCTGATTTTTATTGGTTTGTTTGTTTGTGTAGTTTTTTCTTTAAAAACTCAAAGTCTCACTGTCTAACCCAAGCTGGCCTTGAACTCACTGTGTACCCCAAGCTGGCTTCATACTTGTGGAAATTCTCCTGCTTCAGCATTCAGAGTGCTACAATTACAGGTGCACCCCCCCCCATGCCCAGCTAGAGCCCAAAATATTTGAGAACTGCTGGAAAAACCTTCTTTTTATTCTCTCCTCATCCTCATCTTCGTCTTCGTCCTCGTCCTCCTTCTCCTCCTCCTTCTCCTTCTTCTTTGTCTTTTTGAGACACAGTCTCCCTATCCAGTTCAGGCTGGCTTTGAGCTCACTTTGTAGCCCAGGCTGTTCTCAAACTCGAAGCGATCCTCCTGCCTCAGCCTCCCAAATGTTGGGGTTACAGGCGTGAGCCACCACACCCAGCTTTGGCAAAATTTTCTAGTCAGCTTCTTTTTTCTTTTCATATCCTCATGACTTTGAATCCCATTTTGCTTTTGCTAGGGTCTTCTTTCCAAATGAGACTCAGAAATTTAAAGGACAGCTACAGAAACACCCTACCTGGAAATCATTTTGCGTCTCCAGCGCAGTGTTCACCTGCATCATAGCTGTCAGCTGGGCATAGTATTTGTGGTGAAAATAATCATTGAGGCTATAGATCCTCGAGAGCACGGAGAAGCACGCCATCTGCTGGTAAAGTTCTGCCAGCCTCTCTTCCCTGTTGGAGAAAGCAGCACAAGGCGGACACAGGAAGTGGGTGGGCTATTCCGCTGGGCTAGGGGTGCAGGGTCTGGGTTCGGGGCTCCAGCCTGACTTGCTGGAGGCCTGCCCAGGTTAATGCGAACAGTGGCTTTTAGGAAGCGCATTTCCTCCGGTGGAGAAAGGCAGCCACATGGGCTGGGGATTTAGCTCAGCGGCATATGCACCTGCCTTGCAAGTGTGTGGTCCTGAGTTTGATCCCCGGTGCCGATTAAAAAAGAAAAAAAGAGAGAGAGAAGGGCAGCCACGAACTCACTGGGCAATTCTTACAGTGACTCAGTTAAAGCACCTGGAAGAAGCCTCAACGAAACTCAGACAGGGTAAGTAACAACTCCACGCAGGCAGCTGGAAGGCAGTGGTGGCCAAGTCCTGTCCACCTCCAGCCCAGCCCCTCCATCAGAGCGAGGCCTCCACTTCACAAAGGAAATGGCTTTCCGCACTGTGGAGGGGGAGCTCGAGGCCACTTCAGGCCGGAAGTACTGAAGGGAAGGGCCCAGGGCCTTCCAAGAGTGCCTGTGGTCACTGCCGGGGCAGCAAAGATCCTTGACGTGTGTCATGGAAACAGAGCTCCCACAGGGTGGCCGTGGTGTTAGTGAACGCGCAGGCTTAGGCAAAGAACCCCAGCAGGCTTAGAAATGGTTCTCAAAGAGCAGATTTGAAATAAAGATGAGGTGAAGGAAGGAAAATAGAGATGCTAAAGAAGAATTCTGAGCATCTTCCATGTAGACATATTGTTCATGAAGACTGCAAACTTTTTTTTTTTTTTTTGAGACAGGGTCTCACTATGTAGTCCAGGCTGGCCTTGCACTCACTGTGAAGCCCAAGCTGGCCTCAAGCTCATGGCAATCCTCCTGCCTCAGCCTCTGAGTGCTGGCATTGCAGGTGGGTGCCACCGTGCCTGGCAGGGCCATAGACATTCTGATGTTAAATGTTGTTTTGGACAAACAGAAAAGCACGCTTCTGGGGGCTGCTTGCACATGGAGAGGGTGAGGCCCTCCACTCTCCCAGCCCTCCGCTTACTTTGGTGGTGGGCTGGCTTGGACCTGCTGACTCAAATAATAGGAGTGTTTCTTTTTCTCCAGGTGATCATAGCAAAATAGGGAGAGTAAGTTGTGAGGAAAGACGCGTCTGAGAAACTTCAGGGCCTTCCTCAGGGCTCTCTTGGCCAGCACCATCTGGCCCATGTTAAAGCAGATCTGCAAGGGAGAGGGGAAAGGGAGAGAAAGAGCAAATGCAAGGATGCCAGACGGCCAGGGGAGGGCATTCTTATCCAAAAGGCTCATCTTTGGGCCAAAAAGGAAGTCTCTGTGCCGGGCATGAAGGATACAAGATTGGTGTGTAAAGGGAGGCTAAAGACCAGGGTGTGGGCAGGGGATATAGCTCAGTGGCACAGTGCCTGCCCGGTAAGCACAGGGTCCTGTACCAAAACAAATAAGCAAACAAACACGCCAAGGTGTGGCTTCATGTGTGTGTGCCACGCATCTCGAGGGAAAGGCTGGCTTGCTCGTGTTCATTTCTAGAGGTTGGGACAATGTACGTCAGGAAGCTGTCAGCCTGAGGACGGAGAAGATCTAACTGTGGGAGGTGACAGTGAGGCAATTTGTGTCTAGCATCTTGGGGTCCTGAGTCTTGGAGAGGAACAGGGTGGGGCAGGAAGAAAATACAGAAAGCATAAGGGTGAATGACTGATTTATTCATGCCTTTTTTTCTTCAGTACTGGGGACTGAACCCAGGGCCTTTGAATGACCTCCATCCCCAGTCCCTAGGGAGGTGGGAGTGGGTTCTTTGAGTTGCTGATTGCCCATTCTGGGATGGAACTTGTAACCCTCCTGCCTCAGCCTCCCAGAGTGCCAGGATTACAGGTGTGCACCACTACAGCCAGCTAATTTAGGTCATGCCTTTGGTGATTTCTTACCCGACTCTTGAGGGTATAAAAAGTCGCCAGCTCAAAAGTCTGACTCCAGGATTTTTTCTTCCTGAGTGTTCTCAGCAGCCTGTAGCCCTCATTCAAGTGCACATATGCCTGCAGTCAGGAGAGGAGAAAAGTGGGGTTGGCAGGGATCTGGGCCACCTGGGGCAATGGACCCAGGTTCTATTGAAGGAAGGGAAGCAGGAGCTAGTCCAGGTACCACCTGCCCTCTATCAGCTCTGCAGCTCAGGAAGAGTCTGCAGACACTGGACAGGAGCAGGACAGAAAGCTCCCGACCCACACCTCTGCCATCTGCTGGATCCTGCCATCAAGAGGACAAATCTTCAATTCCCCTTCGGTGTGTGCTGTCACGGAAGTTGCTTTACCAGAGGTCACCCTGGGCAGTTTCCTCCTCTCAGTAATACCATCCCAATCTCACTTCTCTAGCAGAGCACCCATTGCCCCGACAGCATCTCCACATCCATGAGAAGTGGGTCTCAAGTGAGTGATGAGGTACCCCAGTTCCTTTGCCAGTGATGTCTTTTGGAGGCAGAAGAGGAGGGGAAGACTCTGAGCAGCTGTGACAGTGAAGCTGCATTGCCAGCTGGATTGGCTTGGGAGCTGCCTGTTAGATTAGCAGAGCAGGCTCCACACTGTGGCTGGGTGGCTCGCAGCGACATGACTTTAGGGACTGTATTTGGCCCTTTCCTTTGTGACATAGCTCCTCGTCTCTGCTTCCTGACAACCATAAACCGAGCGGCTTTCCAGCTTTCCTCTGCCCTGACCGTCCACCTGGAGCTAGCTGACCATGGACTGAATGCCTTGAAATCTGAATAAAAAGAAACCGCTCCTCCCCATAGCATGCTGAGTATCTAGATGATCCCTGCAGTGAGAAGCTGAGGAATACAGTGACTCTCTTCGCTTCATCCTTAGGCAGCTGAATCTTGCACATATGAACCCCAAGACAAGATCAGACTCGGTTAAATGAAGGTAAGGCCGTAGCTCCAAGCCTCCTGCAGCCGTGGGGGGACAGGCAGGGAAGGCATGACGTGCTGGCCTCACCCAGTCCAGTGAGATTTCCTCCAGGGGAAGACAAAGAACAAGTGATGTATTCTGGGATGTGGCACTGGAGCTGTGCTCTGAATTATGGTTTTTCTCACCATTCACCACTCCTTACAGTGGGGTGTGCACAGGTATTAGATAATTGGCCTCCAGGATTACCTGAACTTCCCTATCCTGATACTCACTGGCCACGTCCCCACCACTAATGCTGAATATATATGCATCAAATATGTGAAGATTTGGGAGAACAGAGGCTGACATTAAAAAGTTTAAAAAAACTTTTTTCTTTTTTGCTATGGGAAAATTGAACCCAGGTTCTTTGCACTAAGCTACATTCCTTTTAAAAATTTTTAATTTAATTTTTTTCCAGCCTTTAAAAAATTTTAATTTAATTTTTTGAGACAAGCTGTTATTAAACTGCCTAGGTTGGCCTTGAACTCACGATCCTCCCGTCTCGGACTCCCATGAGTTTTACATTTTATATAAATTGTAGGTACAGAGGTAGACGAGGCACCGTGTGTAGCAGCAGATGTAACACAGAGCCCAGATCCCGAGGGTGGCCGAGGCTTGGGCACAGCTAGTGGGCGTGTGAAGCTGCTGGAGTGCGGGGACGTGAGCTGGAGGGGCGCCGCCTCCAGTGACTTCCAGGGAGTTGGTGCAGCCGACTGCTCTGGGAAAGCAATGTAAGGTCACGTGCATTTGCAAAGCTCAGTGTACCTCAGCCTGGTCCGACCTCCCGTCTGTCTCCTTAGATAGGGAGACACTTACATAGGTTAGCACATCCAAGGCTCCGTCTGTCCGTCTGACCTTGGTCTGTTCAGCTCAGGGCTGCCTAAGATGCTGACCCATGAATTCTTTTTATTCCATTATGTGAACCAAATCTTCTCCTCCTCAGGGGCCTGTGGCCCCGGGACTTCCCTTCCACTATCACAGGGGCTTTAACAGGTGGGAGGCATTCATATGAGTGATCATTCAGCGTGAATTTCATGACTGTGAAAGGGGGTGAGCCTCTGGGGAATGAGGGGACACAAGCCAGATGCTCAGGTACTCTGAGTCCTACAGGTATCTTATGCTCAAATCAGGACAACATGGCAAAAGCCCCAGGATGTCAGTGAGGAAGGCTGTGCTGCTGCTGAAGCAGTGCCACCCAGAGTCCCCTCTGCGACAGGCTGGGAATGAGACAGGGCCCGTGCCTCTCATCTAGGTGGCTGGCTCGGGGAAAAGCTCTGAACGTGGTATCGTGCATTCCGGTGCTCTTTTCTCAATGTTTACCCTTTTCTGTCTGGACAATGTGCTTTTCTTTGTTTTGGCTTTTAATTTTTGTGACAGGGTTTCACTATGTAGTTCAGGCTGGCCTTGAACTCAGGGTGATCCTCCTGCCTCAGCTTCCCAAGGGCCGGGATTCCAGGCACACACCACTAGACCTGGCCAGCAATGTGGTTTTCAAAGCAAACAGGTGCTGACAGAATTTGGGGACCCAAAATAAAAGGCACCCTAGCATTCCCCTTCTAGTTTTGGGGTCCGTAGGTTATCTCTAGGCAGGAGGAGGGGTGGGAGAGTTGCTTACCATGTAGTTATCACCCAGGAGGAGATATGCAGACGTGATTTCTAGGAAGTAGTACAAAGCCTTGTGTTTTTCTTCCAGAGCCATGAAGTGCTGGGCCAGCGGCAGAATGACCATGGTGAGGACCTCCTCACACTGGCAGGCCTTCTGAGGGAGGAGCTTTTCCTCCTCTGCCTTCATTTTGGTTATCGTGGTGTCAAAGAACTCCAGGATCTTGTCCCTTATTTCCTCAGGACTGTGCAAGTGCAGAAAGCAAGGGAGACAAATAAATAAGAGTTATCACAGTTTCACATGTGAAAACACTGTGCCAAACTAATCAGAGCAAGCACGTAAGAGCCAACATGGATCCTACCACCGAACTCGCTCCACACAGCCCTGACCCTTCCCCTCTGCAGCCAGGAGCCCAGAAGGACCGAGCGGGGCATGGCAGCTGCTTGTGCTCCGTCTCCTACACACACACACACACACACACACACACACACACACACACACGGGCTCATACCTGAGACTTTCAGGAAACAGCCTGGGTTTCTCACCAGGGTCTGGTTTAGAAGCAGGGATCTCTTCTTCAGCTAGAGAATAAACACATATGAGCTGTGCAGTTTTGGTGGTGTCCCTGTGGGGAAGTCAGTCCCTGGCTTCTTTTTCCTGCCCGGCAACCACCACATTTTGCAGGTTCCCTGCCCATCTCACAGATCAGAGGTGCCAGATGTCACCTCTAGGTTGAGATGGCTGTCTGTCCTCCCTGCCCTTCTTCTTTCACAGGAAAGCAACCAGAGGACCCAAGTGGGCAGCAAAGCTGCAGGTTGGGAGACAAATCCCCGACTACGCCCAAAAGACCATCTGTCCAAGCTTTCCCTGAATCTTCACCGGAGCAGGAGTAAGCTGTGACTCCCTTGTGTCAAGCCACTGAAATGCCAGGCTCACAGGGCTAGTGACATTCCCTCACTCAGTAACCCTGCAGTAACTAAATCGGCACTAAGCAGTCCTAAAGAAAGTGACACCAGTTTCTAGTGAGAAAATGCAGATAGTTAAGTGAAATAACCATAGAAGGCTACAGAAAGCAGAGAATCACTGTTCATTTATGTAGTCTTAACAATGTAAAGACATTATTAATAAATAATATAAGGGAAAGTAGGGCATGTTGGCTCACATCTGTAGCGCCAGATACACAGAAGGCTGAGACAGGATGATCTCCCTTAACCCAAGAGTTCAAGGTCAGCCTGGGAAGCATAGTGAGACCCTGTCTCAAGGAAGGGGGAAGTGGGAAACAGAGGACAATGAGTAGAAGGAATAGACAGAGAGGAAGAAGTGCCAAGGAGTGGTATAACAGGGGGACATCCTCACCTACCATAGCAAGAGGCAAACAGATAATATCAGAATTTAATTTGTACATGTTGGTAATCCCATCTACTTGGGAGGCTGAAGCAGGAGGATCACAAGTTCAAGGACAGCCTGGGCAACACAGAGAGTATGTTTAGGAAAAAAGGGGGGGTGTCTAAGAATGTAGCTCAGCTATACAACCCTTGCCTAGTATATGTGAGACCTCAGTATAGTAAGCAAAAAAAAAAAAAATGGAAACAAAGCAGTACTTATGTGCCACTTAGCATATGGAAGTGATGCATAGAGATCAATAAAATTAACAATGTTTGCCTCTGTCATGGATAAAAAAAGACGCATTTTTATACAATGGAGTACTACTCAGCCATCAAGGATAAACTGGAAACTTTTATAGGTAAATGGATGCAATCGGAGACCATACTCATAAGTGAAATAAAAAAGACACACATGTAAACATCATATATTGTCTCGCTGTGGGAGAAGCTGAAACAACATATGTGTGTATGTAAATATACATGTATCTATAAACAAGATAGTTAAGGTAGTTACACTACTGACTTCTCTGAGTTCACTGAGGAGAAACATTTGTGCTGGTATTGTTTGGACAATTGAATGCAGATGCCTTGGGCTCTGGGTGAGTGATTTGGGGACAATGTGTGTACCAACCAATGTTGCCATCTGATTGATGTGTGGAAATTTTGTTTTCTTTTATTTTCTTTTCTCTTTGAAATAAAGTAGATTTGCAAAATAAAATGTTTGCCTCTGAAAAGAACTACTGAAGGTGATGTAAGGCAGTTAATTATGCAATTAGTGTTTTATGATAAAGCTTTTAGAAAGCATGCGTGTGCATGTGTGCGTGTGTGCGCGTGTGCGTGTGTGCGCGTGTGCGTGTGTGCGTGTGTGCGTGTGTGCGTGTGTGTGTGTGTGTGTGTGTGTGTGTGTTTTGAGACAGGTCTCATTATGTGGCCCAGGCTGTTCTTGAACGCAAAGCAATCTTCCTGACTCAGTCTCCCTAGTGCTGGAATTACAGGTGTGCACCTCTACACCTGGTCTTTTTTATTTATTTAAACCTTTACTTAAAGTGTGTCTACTGGACAGTCTTTGAGCAAATGACAGATTCCAGTTGGGACAATCAGAGGACTCGGCCCTCAGAGGCATCTGGTCCTGTGTGCCCCAGAGCTAGGCTGCCAAGGCCTGTTGCAGGACCCAAAAATAACTTTGATGGCCCTCGACAGTCTGTTCAAGGCCAGCTGCTGAGACTGGCCTATCCGCTACGTTCTGCCTTACTACATTTCCCAAAACAAAACGTGACTCTCTTAACCCTGGCTAATTCTCTCCTGTGCACATTCCTTTTGTCCTGAGACCTGTTTCATATTCAACCTCCAAAGCCAGAACTTTGCTGTTCCTCCAAGTCGGACATTGCTCCCCCTGCCTGTCCCTGGGGTTCCATTCCCTGCTGTGAATGGAGACCTGTGCATGGTGGTTCCACCTGGTCCCACCCCACTCAGCCAGGTACCCTTTCCCCTGAGGTCCTCCCTCCTGATGGCCTCACTACTGAGTGGCAGATGCCCAAGAGGCCCTCCATTTCCCTGGGGCCTGTGACACCCACGTCTAGGCCCTTGGGGTCTAGACCCACTCCTAGCTCTGAGCTCTCAGGCAACCCGGAAGTAGTCACAGTTCCTTCGGAACCAAGAGAGCTTACATTGATAACCATAGGATCTAACCAGCTGCTTCATGGTGGCCATGTCCAACTTGTTGAGCCAAATGTCCACTGCGAAGTGGTGAAAAGGAACAAAGTCAGTGCCCCTGCAGCGTTCGCATCTGTGAGCGTTTTCCTCCAGAAAGTGGGCACACTTCAGATGCATGGCTTTCTTCTCATCCTTGAGCCACAGCTCGTAGGCAGTCTTCTGCATCATGGGCCTACAGAATCGGATGATGTGGCACTGGATCACCTCATTGCGCAGCTCCTGGAACTCTTCTCTGTCCTTGTCATCTGGAGGGGACAGAGGGCTGTTGGGCCTGGCAGTGGGCAACCAATCAGCTCTAGCCACCTCATGCACCTCAGCACCTGTGGCTCACTTCCAGCAGCTACGCACCTGTCCCTTGGCTGGGCTGGAGGCTGGAGGAGCGGTGATGCACCTGGAAGGAGGCATCCTGCTGATGGGCCAGCCGGAGGTCCTTGCCAGTCTGGAAACAGTCAAAGACACCTTCTTCCACCAGTGTGGTCAGGGCTTCAATCATCATCTTCATGTCCCAGCAGGGGAGGATCTCGAATAGCAGCTCCGTGGTGCACATCAGGCCTGTGATGGCCGCGCACCTCACCAACATCTGGTGGGAGAGGCTCATGCTGTCCAGCTGGATCAGGGAGACCTCTGCGGGGGGAGCCACACACAGGGACCCTGTTATGGGCGCTCATCACAACTGAACCTCTCTGCAGTCCTCATAGACAGAAGCCTAGCTTACAACATTGTTTACGCGAGAATTATAGACCATAGGCTATGGTCTAGAAACACACAGAACAAGATTGACATTGATTTACAAGGCATATGCACAGCTGTAAGTTGTGATTCTCCTGCCTCTGGGAAGCTGAGGCAGGAGAATCACAAGTTCAAGCTCAGACTGGGCTAAGAAAGGGCTGGGGATGTTTGTACTCAGTGTGAAGATCTTGTGCTCAATTTCCAGAACTGCAAAAACAAAAACAAAAAACTTTCAGCATTAGAATGCCAGCGGCTTCCTAGATGCACTGACAAAATGTCTTTCCTCTAGAGACAAAATGTCAACTTCTCAAATCATCTGAAGAACACAGCAGAAGCTGAGTTTGCCCGCCTTCCAACTGTGGGAGACAGTGGATGTAAAGAAAATGACATTCACTGGATGCCTCAGAGCCTTCGGCTGGACCCGGGCCACCCCAGGAAATGTTTAAAGTTACTCATGACTGCCATGGATTGAGGCCAGAGACACACACCAGAGAGCTGCTTTAAAATCACTTTTCTTTCCAAGTATAATAATCCGTCTCTGGTTTATTACTTCTTCCTTATGAAAGTAGATGGTAGAAAATGTCTCAGGACTGTATTTGTGTATGGTCCCCCTCACGCACTACGACTCATTCTTATACCAACAGAATAAACCTTGGTTCAAATCAGACCCTACAACAGGTACAGGGGAGAGAGAAACCTAGTTAGGAGAAGGAGAGCCAGCTCAGAAGATGCCTTCCACTCCCCGGGTCAGCCCTGGAGAGCCCACAATCGCACAGTCCTCCTTTGGACAGCCACCCTGGAGAAAGCCAGAGTGAAGCTAAGTAGAAGCTGAATACACCTTTACCTTTCAATGACGTCGGGAGGGACAAGTTTTTCAGCCTGACCCCACCTGCGAGGCTACAGATTACTTCATTTCCCTCCTCCGCATTAAAAAATAGTTTTAATTCATCTGTTGGCTTAGTGAAAGTCTCTATGGGGAGATAAAGAGGGAGAAAGATTGAACGTTGTCATCTTTGTCTTAAAAAGCTTGATATCTTTAGATAAACATTGGGGTGGGGCTCTTGTGAGAAAGAGTGATCAGAGGGGCGTGTGCCCCACCAAATATTCTAAGATACCTTCTTTCAAGTAAAACTGATATATAAAAATCAAATGTACTGTGAAAAGTCTTTGTCTTCCCCTAGCCCCCACCCCAAAATAAGAAGCTGTTGGTGTCTTGCAGAGTCCATGCAGTTTTGCAAAAAGTTGGATTTTCAGTCCACTTAGGTTGCATCTCATAGGATTCAGTAACTCATGGTCATATGCAGGCTTTGCTACCCTGTTGCCCCCTCTCATACATTTCATCCCCGACCAAAGTTGCCAACTTTCACAGGCCAGAACAGATCTCAAATTATGGAGGTGGGAACAATTCACGTGTCTGCCAGACACTGTCACAGTTGTGCTGCTGTGTGCTCGCTGTACAGGGGATCGAGTCCAGTGGTCCAGGATGTCCAGAGGCAGGAGCAGCAGCAGAGGTGAGGCAGAGGTTTGGTTTTCATGTGTGTGTCAACGTATGACCCACTTTGCCAGCTTAGGAATGTTCTGGAACGGCACTCACTCCTATATTGGGGATGTACTGTACCTCAAGGTGACCCAGCTTATCTTTTTTTTTTTTTAAGAGAGAAAAAAAAAGGACATAAAAAAAAAACAATGCAGTAAAAGGGTACAAATAATAAAGTATTTCTAGAAAAAAATATATACAGTACGAAATCACCAGTTAATAGGTTACATATTACCTTCCCAGAAACAGTTGTCCATATCACTAAATTAAAGCATATAAAGTGAACATTCATACAGTGAAATTGGAGACAGTTCCATTCAATGATCCAACGAAAGCTCAGTTATATGGTTTTCCATCCTACACACTCGAACATACCTGCAGTTATATCCCTTAGTCCACCTTACTTTCCTCTCTTTTTTACAGTAACAATTAGACTTTTAGGGTTTTATTACTCTCACGGTTCTTATTACTTAACCATGCTTATCTTCCAGAGGAGGAAATCTGAAGGCCGGAGGTCAGATGGGCTGGTCACACCTGGCTGGATCTGAGGTGCTGCCACAGTGGCCACAAGGAAACCTGTTAACTTATTACGGTCACATCTGGATGCTAAATGACAAGTCCCACCTGGCCCCAGGGCTGTGACAGTGGACAGCTGTCATGACAATAACCAGAAACAACTTTAAAATCACCAAAATGAGGTAGAACTGAGATTTCTAGAAAATCTCCATTCCTTTCCAGGATAGACAGGAATATTCTTCCTCTTTATTAGCTTATCCTTTGCCATATTTTTTTTGTAGTACTGGGGAACAGTCCCTTAGGTTCTCAAGCTAGGAAGTACCCTACCACTTGACAGGTTTTTCCCATGTGTGGGTTAACACAGCGCTGGAAGATACCTCCCTGAGTTCCTCTGGCGAACCCAAAAGTTAAACCTCTCACTTTGTGCACTCCAATGCTCCTCCAATCAGTTGTCAATATGGCATTCTGCCTGCCCGTTTAGTTCTGTCGATTCCAAATAAAGCCCGTATATTTTCTTAAACCTCCCAGAGCATGCTTTTGTCTGTTCCATAGCCCTCCCGTGCCCGTGATAAAGGCCTCTTTTTTGGGGGTCTTTTTGAGACAAGGTCTCACCATGCAGTTCAGGCTGGCCCTGAGCTCACTTGGTAGCCCAGGCTGGTCTCTAACTCACAACAATCCTCCTGCCTCAGCCTTCCCAGTGCTGTGGTTATAGGCAGGTGCCACCATGCCTGGCTGCCTCTTTTTTTTCTGTTTTTTCTCTTTTTCTCTCTCACACTTCAGAAGGCCAAATATAACTGAGCTACCTTCCCAGACCTGTTTTAAAATTTTAATTTTGATATCAGGCATAATGGCACACTTGGGATTCTGAGCACTTGGGAGGCTGAGGCAGGTGGATTGCCAGAAGTTCGTGGCCTGACTGGGCTACAGTGAGTTTAAGGCCAGCAGTCTCATTTCATAGTAAGACTCTGTCTCAAAATACCTGCCCCCTACATTTTTTTTAAATTTTGAACTTGCAATCTTCTGGCCTCAGCCTCAGAATAGCTAGGATTATAGGTATGTACCACCATAACCCAATTTCCCTTATTTTTTTAATCCTGTATCAATAACCTCTCAGTCCCAATAAGTTGAGAAGTTGATTAACACATTTATCACCCACTTTTTCTCTTTCCAGCCAAGAATAAATGTTGGCCTCTCAATCAGTGCCCAGCCTTGTTATTGGTTCACAGTCCCAAGAGAGAAAGAGGACTCAGATGGGTTCACAAACTGGTGGACATTCACATGCCCGTGCTCAGACACAGACGTTCTGTGGGAGTCTGAGCCCCAAGTAGCACACGGCCAGTCCCAGAGACAGATTTAAAATGGGGAGCTTTGAGCTGAGTGTGGTGGTGCATAGGCAGGAAGCTTGCCACAAGCTCAAGGCCATCCTGGATCACATGGTGAAACTCTGACTCAAAAAAAAAAAAAAAAAAAAAAGGGGTGCGTGTGTGTGTGTGTGTGTGTGTGTGTGGTTTTAAAAGTAAACATGCCCAGTAATTTGGTGTTCTGGCACCCCACAAGGCACTATTTGTCCCTTCAGTCATTCACGTGGTTTTTGGCAGCCATAAGACATGTCTAGGGGAGGTAGAAATACAAAAATAGCCAAGGCCCTTGTCTCCTGGAGAGATAAGTCATGCTAAGAGCAGGACATCTGGGCAGTGCCCCAGTGCCCCATGAGGAGCCCTGACCCTAAGTGCCCGGCAGCTTGCATCACACCGCACGAAGGCTGTCATCACAAACCACACAGGCTGCCAGCCCTCCAGGTGCCCAGAGCCACGGGGACAAATGTGCAAGCCCCTGACTGCAGTTGCAAGAAGAGTGACTGGGAGCTCAACAGCATGAGACCATAGAACAACTGATCCAGACCGGGAGGGCGAAGGGCCTCGGGGTGTACTGATTGCTCCTCGAAGCGTGAAGAGATATTCCGAGTAGAAAACAGGCGATCAGTGCAGTGTCTTAGAAGACCCAAAGTGCCCTGCAGGGAAAGTGAGGCTGATGGAGCGGCGTGGTGCAGCTCCTGTGGGTGATGGACGTGGACACCAACCTATGAAGACTGGACCTGATCCCAGAGGCGACAGGCACAGAGCACAGCATTCTGGAGAGTAGACAGGAGGGGTCCCACCAGTTGTCTCTAAGCGCTGTTGTCTGGGTTTGTGCCTCTAAAGTGCAGGTTGAAGCTTAAAATCACACATAACTGTGTGGAGTGGGGACTTCAGGAGGTAATTAGCATAGACGGGAGTGTATGGATGGCCCTCATGACTGCACTGATGCTTTCGCAGAAGAGGAAAGAGTGTTAAGCAGCAAGCCTGTTCCATCTTGCCATGGGATGCCCTGTACCACCAGCTAGAAGGCTTTCTCTAGAAGTAGCTCCTCAACTTTGGACCTTCCTCCCCCAAACCAAGAGCTGAATGAACTGTTCTTTGTAATTTTCTCGGTGTGTGGTATTTGGTTATAGCAACTGAAAATGGGCTACAACAGTAACTGTAGATGCAGCATTTAGGAGAGGCCAGGGACAGCTGAGGGAAGTTTATGTGAGAAGCCATCGCGTCCGAGTATGGAGAAGGGAGGCTGCGTGGAACCAGGCCAAGTGGGCAGCAGGAGCAAAGCCATCCTAAAGACACCAAGGCTGGGGGGCCTGGCAGATAGAGAGGGAAACAAGAGGGACAGGAATGATGCCATGTTGGAGCAAGGACGTGATGTGTTAAGTTCGAGGGGTCTATGAGATCATCTAATGGGAAACTGGAAATAAGCATCTGAAGTCAAGAGTGAGATTAGGGCTGGAGATCACAGAGAGAGAGAGAGAGAGAGAGAGAGAGAGAGAGAGAGAGAGAGAGACAGAGACAGAGACAGAGACAGAGACAGAGAGACAAAGCCAGGGCAAAGATAATACATGAAAATAACACGAACAGAGTTAAGGATGGAAGTGGAAGCTTTCCGTCACAGGAGGATCAGACTCCTGGACAGAGTCAAGGAAGGATGGGGTGTCTCAGAGGGAGGTAGGGAGGACACAGGAAGAGGACGGCTTGGAGACGCCAAGGTGGGTGGATACCAAAACAGATCAGTGTGTGTCTGTGTGGCAACCAGGCGGGGAGCGGGGGAACAGGAGGATGAGGATCAAGGGTATGATTTGGGCCATGCTCTTTTATGCTTTCATAATGCCCTCTCCGGGACCTTGCACTATGGTGGCCATTCTTTGGATCACTCAATCACTATTAATAATGTCTCTAGGTACCAGGCATCCTCCTAGGTCTGGGGATTCAGGAGTACACAAAACTCCTGGCTCATGGAACTCACATCCTAATGAGAAACAGATATAAACAAGAGACATCTAGATTAACAGGGTAATTTCATGATGTGATTCAGAAATAAGAGTCACGGGTATTGTGTACTCAAGTTCGCCTATTGTTATCATTTTGCTGCATTTGCAGTACCCTGTGTTTCTGCGGTATGTACATATATTTCTAAAGCACCTCAATATAAATTTCATATATCGCTTTTTCTTTTTCTTTTCTTTTCTTTTTTTTTTTTTGAGACAGGTCCTTACTATGTAGCCTGAGAGAGGAGCCATATGGACTGCAACTGGCAAGGCTATGGGCAGGGCTGCCTAAGTCCTTCAGAGCTTGTGTCTCACCAGCAATGTCCTGGGTGCTGGACAGGGGACTTCATGTTAGCCTTCCTGGGTTGTGGTTTTGCTTTGGCCCAATTCCTTTCTATCCCCCACACTCTTCCCTGTTAGAATAGGAATTCTCACCCTGTGCATTGTATGTCTGGAATATTTAACTTTTTTTATTTTTATAGGGACTCACAGCTCAAAGTTTGCCCTGAGTCTCCTAAGAGACTTTGGACTTGAACTTTCTCATAATGCTAGAATTGCTGGCACTTTGGCACTTCTAATGAGATGGACATGAATGTTTTGCAGGTTAGGGGAAAAGTGTTGTGTTTAGATCTAAAATGTCTCCCAAGTCTCATGTGTTCAAAAATGGGACTGTTGGAGGGTGATTGGATCATGGGGTACTATAATTATAACAGATTCATGCACTGATGCGTCCATAGCTGAACGTGCTGTGAGGAGGCCTGTAGGGCCTGGCTGAAGCTGGGTCATTGAGGGAGTCACCTGAAAGGTGTATTTTTGTTCCCAGCTCCTCCTTTCTCTCTCTCTCTCTCTCTCTCTGCTTCCTGGCTACTATGGCTTGGGCATCTCTCCTCCAGATGGCCTTCCAGCACGCCATCTCTGCCTTGAAGCCCATCATCCACTGTTATGGTTTATGTCCACAGCCCCCAAGCCTCATGCAATTATGTGTTTGTGATTGGTTCATTGTCTAGCGCTTGGATTTGTGGTGTGAATGCTACACCCGCCCAGGGGTGGAGCCAGGATATGATGTACTTGCTGGAAGAAGGCAGGTCTGTCTCTCTTTTGGCAGTTTCTGCCTTGCTGTTGCAGCCACCATGAACTGCGGCCCCACCATGCCACCCTGCCTTGGAGCCAACTGAGTATGGACTGAAACCTCCAAGAACTGTAAGAAATAAACCTTTCCTTCCTTAACTTTGGGCATCAGGTATTTTGTCTCAGAGACCAGTAAAAAGTGACTAAGACAGCCACAGACTAACCCCTGTGAAAATATTGTGAGAGAAGGTAAGCTTCTCCTTTATTTATTTATTTTTCAGATACTGAGGACTGAACTCAGGGCCTTCACAATAATCCCAGGCCTTTGTTTACTTTTATTTTTAGTCAGAGTCTTGCTAAGTCCCTACATTTTTCAGGTTGGGCTCAAACTTGCTGTATTCCGATCTCAGATTCTCAACTTGCTGAATGTGCAACTGTGTGCCCCTGTGCCCTGCCTCCTCTTCTTTAAGTTGCAAGTATCTGACATCTTGTCCTAATGACAGGAAAGTGACTAATCCAAACACCAAAGAGTTTTAAGTAGGGGAGAGACCTGGTTATATTTAAAGGTACTCATACACAGAATAAATGTTTGTTGAGTGAGTAAACAAATATATAAACTGTAGGAACAGTGCTATTCTGTGGCATTTATATTTACATATATGCTTCTCTTGGCTAATATATTATTCTAGTGGAATTATTTAATCTGAAAGTAATCATCATAGAAGTCTTTGCCTGCTTGATGACCCATTCCTATCCTTAAAACTACTTTGGTCAGGGAAAGTCTTTTCAGTTTGTTCTTTTTGGGAGTTGTTTGTTTTGAATCCTAATTATCCAGAAAGGAAAAAAAAAAAAACAAAAAACCAAAAACCAAAAAACTCTCTCCATAAAAATAAACAGGTCTCTTTTCCCTTCAACAAACACACAAACAAAAACAAAACACACAAACCTTTACTTTGACCACACTCTTCTCTCTGACATGTGGGAGTCTTTCTACCCAGGAGTACCATAAGCCACTTCCCTCTATTCCTTCCAGCTTGTCCCCCTGAACCCTAACCCTAACCCTCAGGGGAGGAGGTTCTTCCTGCAGACTTAGTGATGTTAATGTGGGTCTTGCTCCCCCGCTGTGAAGGCACCCTGGCTTGTGTGAATCCCAAACCCTGAAAAGACTCCATGCCAAGTAGGGTGAGGAGGTATGTTTCCTGCTTCCTGGACATCTCAGACCTCAAACAAACACAGGACACAGCCTGGTGTGGTGCCTCACACCTGTGACCTCACCTCTCTGAGATGGGAGGAGGGAAAGTTTGAGTCCAGCCCGGGAAACTTAATGACTGATCCAGCTCCCAGCTCAAAATACAAAATAAAGGCCGGGGATGCAGCTCAGGTGAAGGCCCTGGGATCAAACCCCAGCACTGCAAGAAAAGATGACATTGGAGGTGGAGAGAAGGCAAGTCAGCCAGCCTTGGGACTCAAGGGACAAAGTGGCAGAGATGTCTTTTCGAGTCGTATATCCCAGCTGTGGACCTGAAAGTCTGCCAAGGGAGTAAACAGAGAGGTCCCAGCAGGAGCCTGCGCCCTGTGGTCCTGTGGTCTCCCATAATCCCCACCCTCACTGGCACAATCACTGTCCTCCTTCCTGCACTCATGCTCCCACCTGGCTTCCTTGGGGCCTCTCCCATCACCACCTTCCAGCCTGTCTATTGCAGGACCCAGCTGGCCGTTCATTATAAGCCAGGTTTTTGTTTTGCTTTGTTGCAGTAGGGTCTCCACACTGAGCTCCACCCCAGCTCTTTATTTTAATGTTTTATTTTGAGATATGGGTCTCACTCAGTCACTTAAATTACCCAGGCTGAGCTCAGACTTAGAAACCTCCTGCCTTAGGCTCCCAGAATGTTTGGATGAGTCATTTTACTGCTGGAAAATTCAGAATTGTGTTTCCTCCTAGGTTATAAGCACATCTTTCCTTCTGAGAGGGAGGCAGGGTGTGGCCAAGCTGCTAGCTAAGGGAAATAAATGGTACCTGTCAATGACAAGATCCCAGGACAGCCAGCACCAGGTAATTCCCAGGACCTGTGTGTAGAACTTCTGCAGATTCCCAGGAGATGTGGGGGGCGTTATAAGGATGAGGCCCCCATGGGGAGCCCGCCAGGTACTCTTCACGGTAGCCCATGCTGTGTCCCCAGACCAGGGTACACTTTTCCTTTTGCTCTTTTTCTCTTTCGTTCGCCCATTGTGGGGGAGTCTTGCCCCCTCCCCTCTTGCCACCTCACCCCAGGGGAAGCTGCAGCGGAGGCAGCTCCAGCCACCTTCTCCACAGCACGCCCTGGTCCAGAGAACGGAGACAGGGAGACAGATCGGCCGGCTTGCGGACTCACTGAACATGTTGTTCCAGGTCACGGTGGTCTTCTCCACAGACTCCATCAGCTTGAACTGCAGGACCTTGTGGTGGTCGAGGTTGAGCAGCAGCTCCTCACAGTAAAACGGGATCCCGCAGCTCCCCTCCACCAGGTACCTACAGGGCGAGCAAGGCCACCTCTTTAGCTTAAAGAACGTCTTTTCTTCTCTGGAGACCTCTGGGGTCTGCGCACTTACTATGCAGCCTAGGCTGGCCTGGAACACTTCATCTTTCTGCCTCAGTCTCCTGAAGGCTAGGATTATAGCTCTGGGCCGCCACACCTAGCATGAATCATCTTTTAAGAAGGGTAACTATTTGCCTCTTTGATCTTTTAAAAATAATCTCTTCTCATTGCCACTTGTTACAGTTTGTTTTCTAGTTTTAGGGACTTTTTTTTTGTACTGGAGATTGAAGCTTCACACATTACAGGCAAGTGTGCTACATTCCTGGCCCTTTTTATTTTACTTGGAAACATGGTCTCACTAAATTTCACAGGTTTGTCTCACACTTTCGATCCTTCCATCTCAGCCTCCTGAATAGCTGGATTACAGGTGTGCACCACCAGATCCAGCTCTCTTTCTTTCTTTCTTTCTTTCTTTTTTTTTTTTTTTTGAGACAGGGTCTCACTATGTAGCCCAGCCCACGTTGGTCTCGAATTCATGGTGATCCTCCTGCCTCAGCCTCCCAAGTGCTGGGATTATAGGTATGTACTACTATACTATACTATACTATATATGTGACTTTTATTTCACTTTTTTAATTCCATAAGACACTTGTATCTTTCCAAATTTAAGTTAAAAATGCATCAAGAAGGTACCTCCTCAAACTTATTTCTCTTCCTCACTCTACAGGTAATGATTTTGATTAGTTCTTGGTTTATCTCTCTGATCTTTCTTTTAAAAAAGAAACAAATGCATGGGCATCTACATGCAGATCTATTTAACCTTTTTCTCAGGTACAGGACAGTGCTATGCACAAAGCCTGGGTTACAGCACTCAGCAGTGGGTCCTGGTCATTCCTTCTTACCATTAGATCCTTTTTCTCTTTTCACTCTTGTCTAATGCTCCACTTGCTGGATGCCTGCTAATTTATTAAAATTATCTCCGGAGTGATGGACATCTGGAATGTCTCCAGTCTTTTATTTTTAATTTTAAAATATTGATTTTAAAATTTATTTATTTATGTTAAAATTTATTTAATGTTATTTATATTTAATTTATTTATTTATGTTTTTTGAGATAGGCCCTTGCTGTGTAGGGTGGCCGACCTTAAACTCATGATCTTCCTCCTCATTCTCCCCAGTGCTGGGATTCTAGGCGTGTACTACCATGCCCAGCTTAGTGTTTCAAAACAATGCCCCAATAAAATTTTGTCCCTATGTCACTTCTGTCAATGTACCTTTGATTGTTCCCTCCTATGGGTAGGTGCCTATGCATGGTCACACACGCACACACAAGTGTGGAGAGTCAGGTTCAGGCCTGGAGTTACTTTAAATGAGATTTGACCGAGCCGTCTTTCTTCCAGAAGCAAGACAATCTCATTAGAATGAGAGGATGCAGGTTCACATAGGAAAGATTGTAAACCACCAGCTAAAGAGGAGACATTGGCCAAGGGTGGACCGTGCCTGTGTCCCAGGTACTCAGTGGGCTAGGACAAGAGGATGGAAAGGGGAGTCCCGCCAGGTGCAGTGGGGCATGCCCACCCCGGACAATTTAGCAACTCAACTAGATCCTGTCTCCAAACAATGGACAGTAAAATGTCTGAGGATGCACTTCGGAGTGTGAGAAGGTGTGACACCATCCAACATGGAAAAGTGAGCGGTCCCTGGCTGGCCAGCGGCCGCAGACAGCAGACACGGGGATGCAGGCAGGACACAGGCGCCTCACGGCTCATCCAAGGATCTGACGGTGGGAGCGTGGAGAAACACCGAGCTACTCACATGTCCAGCTCTCTGGAGACGCTGCTCACGTTGAGGTCGAAGCAGGTCTTGTTGCGGATGTCCTTGGGCTGAACCGCGCCGAGCGTGACGTAGGTGGTGTTCCGGTTCTTCACGATGGCGTTGGCGGCGGCACAGAGCTCTTCCACGTTGGGCGACAGCGACATGATGATGTAGATCGGCACCGTCTGGATCAGCTTCTCCATGAAAGCCCAGGAGGTCTTGTCCACAAACTGGGCTTCGTCGATGATTAAAATCACCTTCTCCATTCGCACGGTCTGGGTGAGGTGGGAACACGGAGAGACCCACTGAGGCCTGCAGGGCTGGACGCCTGATATTGGAGGCACAGTACCCACTGCGTGCAAGCTTCCCCTCTCTGATACTGTGGTTCACGGGGATCCGACGAGCCTGGGGTTCTTAGTCACGCAGGCAGCCAGCTAGAATACTTTTATGTGGACAAATCTTTGGGTCCCAATAAATTTTTTAAAAAGAAAAGGGGGAAAGGAGGAAGGAAGAAAAGAAAACCAAAGGGCTGAAGATGTAGCTGAACTGGAGAGTGTGAGCTTAGCATACACAATCCCCCGGATGGGATCGCCAGCACTGAAAATAAATAAATGCATAAATATATAAATACATACATTTTTTGAGACAGCATCTCACTCTGCAGTTCAGGCTGGCCTTGAACTCTATGGAGCCCAGGCTGGTCTCAAACTCTCAGCAGTCCTCCTGCCTCAGCCTCCCAAGTAGTGGGATTACAGGTGTATGCCACCATGCCCAGCAATAAATAATTTCTTAAATGTTGCAAATCTATAAGACAAATAGGATTCTAGGTGTATCAAGAAAAAGTGCTCATTTCACGCACAAAAAAAAACCAAAACCTGACACATCAGCGACAAGTCATTTTACTCTGCTGACAAAGGAGCTGCAGAGACCTACTTGGCATGCACTCAGCTCACACAGTCACTGAGCACCCACTAGCTGCACGCCCGACCCAGCGTGGAAGGGCACCGAGCCGGGCCTAGCCTGCCAAGAGTTGTGGGTTCTGTTACACCTCCAGCAGGTCCTGTGTCCTTTCTCCAGTATAGACAACCCTTCCTCGACGAGTCTGAATTATTTATTCACTCATGAAGCATTACCATGCATCTGTAAGGGCTGAGGCATGGTACTAGGCACTGGGGTCATGGTCTTAAATGTGGCGTTTATACTTCCGTTTCAGCCGCTCTCAGAGCCGGCTTTTCCTTCCCACTGGGAGAAGCATGGCCCGGGAAAGAGCTTTCACCCTGTACTCCCTGCTCCGGCCTGTTTGAGTCCCTCTAGCTTTGCCCATCTTTCCCTCCTTGCTTGTACACCAAAAGGATCAGAGGCTATTTTAAGCTTGGAAATTTCATATGACAATCATTACAAAGTGTTATGAGCTACAGTCCCAGACATGGGGCAGCGCACAGCGGTAATCCCAGCACTCTGGGAGGCTGAGGCTGGGAGGATCGAAAGTTCTATCCCAGCCAAGGAAGCTGAGTGACTTGGCATGACCCTGTCTCGGAATAAAAATAACCTAAGAAAAGACGTGTAGGGGACTAGCATCAGAGCTCAGCGCTAGGGCAGAAACAAAGAGAGACATTGGGCTGGGATGCAGCTCGGTGGTACAGCACTGTGTGCATTCACAAGGACCTCGGTTGGATCCCCAGCACCACACGCATGCACACACACAATGATGATGATGATGATAAGCTGAGAGTGGATGGGTTCTTGCTAATGTAAATAAAAGCCAACGTTAACACTGCATTTCTGTGTTCCACGCAGTGCTTGGAACTGTTTGCCTCATCTCCAGTGCCCATCAGTGTGGTACTATTGAACCTATTTACCAGGGAAATTGAAACCCAGTGAAGTTCAGTACCTGCCCAGGTCACAGGCAGTGCCCTGATGGCTGCAGGCACAGCACACGGTCAGATGCAGCCTTCATTGTCAGTGCCATGCAGGGCTCTGCTTCAGAGCCCACTGAGAAGAGGCCAAAGAAAAGCAAATGACTGTTTTCCTTCGGCCTAACCCTGGCCCTAGTTTTTTTAACCTCTATGAGTAGAACTCATAAATCTATACTTTAAAAGCAGATATAGGAGGGTTGGGGATTTAGCTCAGCGGCATAAGCACCTGCCTTGCAAGCAGGCGGTCGTGAGTTCGATCTCTGGTACCGATAAAAAGTTTTAAAAAAAAGCAGATGTACCTGTGATGAAAGTCAAGGTCTGACACTGACTGATTCATTGGTTGACTCACTGACCATGCTGGGGATTAAATGCAGGGTCTCATGTACACTCAGAAAACGCTCTACTGCTGAGAGGCATCGTCTCCAGCCCCAGAGCCTGACACTTGTGTACCCAAAGGGGAGGAGCAGGTTGGATTGTTAACTTAATACTGCTGACCCGCTGATTGTGCACCAGGCCCTGGGCTCACATGGTGGGAGACTCTCTGTCTTTCAGAGCTCACTGCACCCTGGAGAGGAATCACAGCAGGCTGCGCTGTGTAGCAGGGATGATTTCAAAATGTCACAAAGCTTCAGTGGAACAGAACAATGATTATCTGGAAAACTACACAAATGGTTCAGGAAAAGATAAGGGCCTCCACCACGGTGGTGGGGACAGAAAGCACAGGGAGGTCAGAGGCTGGCTGAGGTCAGAGGTGATAACTGAGGCCAGGGATTTAGCTCAACAGCATAAGCACCTGCCTGGCAAGTGCGAGATCGTGAGTTCGATCCCCAGTACCAAAAAAACCCAACAAAAATGAGCAGATGCAGGGTGCCCGTATGAGAGAATGGGCAGGAACTTCCTGCTGCCTCTGATTTCTCTCTCTCTCTCTCTCTCTCTCTCTCTCTCTCAGGATTGAATCAGTTACATCCTCAACCATTTTTGTTATTGTTGCTGGGGCTCTCCTGCCTCGGCCTCCCAGACCGCTGGAATTACAGGTGCTCACCACCACGGCCAGCTTGGCAAGGGCAATTTTAAATGCTGTGTCAATGAGCTTGCTACTAACAAAATCAAGAATTGGGACTTTGAATGAGGAAGAAAGGGACTGTGGTAGGAAGACATGGAATCTGGGGTTCTACACCAAACTCAGCATGAGTTACCCCAGCCAGGCACAGCACTAGAAGTGAGGACTGGACTATTAAAATTCCAGGCTTCAGGTGGAGTCCTGTGTTACTCAGAGAGGCTCGTGCTTGTTTGGTGTCTTGTGAAAGAAGCCCTGGTGTTTTCCATAAACTCTACTTGTTTAAGCCTTACACCCCTAGGAGCTAGGTATGATTATTTCCCATTCTATACACTGTCACGCAAAGAGAGCTTCTGTCTGTCACTGGGTACAGCGTCTCTCAGGTACCAAGTGACAGCCTGGGGCTCACATCTCCAGAGCCTGCCAAAGAGCCCGGATAGGAAGCATTTTGTGTTTTGTTTGTGTTTGTAGTGCTGGGAATTGAGCCCAGGGCCTCTATCACGGAACCCCATCTACAGCCCCCATAACTACTTAGATGTTTTACATCTGATACAGATGAGAAAAATGGCGACAGAGGCAGGAGTCATATTAGGAACTCCTTTCAAGTATAGGAAGAAGAGAATGGAGGACTGTTAATCCTTACAGGTCACCTTTCTGGCTAAGGAGTACCTAGCACATCCGCAGAGCACTCTCCTGCTTGGGCCTGGGTAGCTTGTGGACACGAGCTCTTGGGTACTGTACCTGCTGCCTGGCCCAATCCAGGCCTTTCTCCTGCTTGGCTTCCTGGCCACCATGAACCAAGCAGTTTTCCTCTACCATACCCTTCTTCCCAGAGCTTTCTGAAGCCTTGAAACCGGCTCTCCATTGACTGTGTCTCCTGAAACCATGAGCCAAACTAATCCTACTTTCAGTTGTGGATGTCAGATATGGTGCCCAGGGACAGAAAAGGAATAGGACACACTTCCCAGGGGTCCCGCCATTGACCGTGAGCTCTCAGGCCAGGTGTCTTTGCCGTCCTTTACCCAACTTCCTCCACCCACAACTCAGAACGCAGGAGACTTACTTTCTCCAAGATCTTCATAAACAGTTTTTCCACTTGTTTTTGCTTTCGCAAGCTGCTCATCCTGGAAATCTCCCGGGAAGTAGGAAACTGCACAAAGAATTATAATACTGAGCATAGGGAAGCAGGAGAGGAAATGACTCATTTTGTGACTCTAAGTGAATCACTTTTGCGCCTTAAAAATCTACAAACGTTAGGCAATCTATAATGTCCTTCTTAGTCATGCTAGGATAGTATAGCTATGATGGAAAGGTGAGAAAAGTATGAATCTGCAGGTGGCCGTTTGGAATTTCTTGATACAGTGTTTCTAGCTATCTCTACTGTACCTCAAGAATGTGAACACCAACTAGTGGCACACACTTGTTATCCTAGCCCTCAGAAGACGGAGGAAGGTGGATCATCAGTTCAGGCCAACCTGGGTTTGGCAAGACTCTGTCTCAAAAGAACAAACAGATGTGGTGGCACACGCTTGTCATCCGAACATTCTAGGAGGCTGAGGCAGGAAGATCACAAGTTTCAGCCAAAACTGAAGACTTAGTGACTTAGCAAGATGCTGTCTCAAAATTTAAAAAAGTGAAATGAGGGGGAGCTGGGGATGTGGTCAGTGTGAAAGATCTGGATTCAGCACCCAGCACTGCAAGGAAAAGGAAAGGGAGGGAGGGGGAGCAAGATGATCTCAGGACCTGGGGACATCACGCAATGACGGAACGTGAGCTTCGCCTGTGAGAGGAGCTAGGTTCCGCCCTCAACGCTGCAGAACAAGACTTGCGTGCCCTGCTGAGGGAAGACAGAGCCATCCCTCCCCGTCTGGGTGCTGCAGATGCCGGAAGGAAGATAAATGTCAAAGACAGGCCTGGCGAAAAGCAGCAGGGCAGCCTTGCAGCTCTGGCCCCTGGTGGTTTACCTGGACATGGAAAATGTCGTTAAGGAGGCAGAAAAACTTCTCCTCCAACAGTTTCCTGACTGTAGTCTGAAGCTTGATCTGCCGCTCCTTGTAATGTTTGCAGGTGTCCAGACCCAGCACGTTGGCCATGAGTATCTGGATGGTGTAGAAATTCTGATGGATGCTGATCTTGGTCAGTGCGATAGCGACAGTCCTGTTTACGAGAAATTCAGGATCAGAAGAGTTTTGAATGGGATTTGTTTTTTGTTTTTGGTTGAAGGAAAGCTGAGTCCTCCTACTCAGCAGTGCTAATGGGTTTTCCAAGCTGCTCTTCACCCCTGCCTCTGAAATCCTCATTCGCCTGGCTCTGCCCGCCTGTCTGCCCGGCCGCCCTGGCCCCACAGCTTCAGACTCCCCTAGGCGGCCACCACTACCGGTCACTGTCTGCACCCACTGCCACTACGTTGGAGCCGTCAACTTCACAGAAACCTCAAGGATCAGCCGGGTGCTCGCCTGCAGTCCGGTCTCAGCAGGCTCAGGCAGGAAGATTGCAAGTTCGAGATCAGCCCAGTGAATGGAGTGAAGTCAAGGCCAGCCATGGACAACAAGGGGACATTGTATCCAAAACCAACAAAAACTAAAAATAAAACCCTCCAGATTCTAGTTAGATGCAGATCTTTGGGCCGGGGGGGGGGGGGGGGGTAGAGCGCAGTGGATAACTGCATAGGGTTTAATTCCTAGTGCTGCAAGAAAGAGAGAGAGAGACAGACAGACAGACAGACAGAGACAGAGACAGAGACAGAGACAGAGACAGAGACAGAGACGAGAGGAGAGGAGAGGAGAGGAGAGGAGAGGAGAGGAGAGGAGAGAGGAGAAAAGAAAAGAGCGGAGAGTGGTGGTACATGCCTGAAATCCCACCACTTGGGAGGCTGAGGCAAGAGGACTGCTGTGCGTTTGAGGCCAGTCTAGGTTACATAGTCAGTTCAAGGCCACCCAGAACTGCATAGCGGGACCCAGTGCAGTTCAAAACAAAACAAAAATAAAATTTAAAAAAGGAAAAGATTAAAATGGTTTTTTTTTATTATTCTCATTTAAAATTTTTCAGCTGGGTAGAGGATCATGAGTTTCAGGCCAGCCTGGGCTGTGTGGTGAGAATTGGGAGACCGAGGCAGGAGGATGCCAAGGTTGAGTTCAGCTTGGACTTCATAGCAAACAGTCTTGCTATTTTTTTTTTTTGACTGTCTCAAAAAAAGAAAAAAGTGAAAAGAAATCTTCATGCCTAAAAGTGTAAATCGATATCCTTTTGTGTAACACATTGGACTTTCCAAAGCCTCTGTCTTTGCAAAGTTTTATTAAAGGCAGGAAAAGAAACAGGTTCTGCAAAGCAAATTTGGGCCAAGTAAAAGCAGGAAAAGAACCTTACAGCTTTTGTACTAGGGACTGAACCCAGGGCCTTTGCACGGAGCTATATCTCCAGTTCTTTTAATTTTAATTTTTTTTTTTTGAGGCAAGATCTCACTTAGTCACTAAATTACTCAAATTGGATTCCAACTTGCAATCCTCCTGCTACAGTCTCCCAAAGTGCTGGGATGGCACGTGTGTGCCTACGCATTGACTGCTGTGGCTCTGGCCAGTCTCCTTCTCTCAGCAGACAAGCAGCTTTGGTTCTGCATGCCTGGGACTGCAGCTCCTCTGGGCCTGTGCTCCCCTGTGCTCCCCAGCACAGCCCGGACACTGACCACTGCTGCTCCTCCTCCTCGCTCAGCCTGGCTGGGCCTTCTGGAACCCACTCCTGACGCCCCACAGCGGTAGCCCACACAACTCTCTCCTGCCTTCCTCTCCATGATTCTGTTCTTTCTCTGTTAAGTTACTTTTATTTTTTAAGCCTGAAGGTGCACACTCATAATCCCAGCCCTTGGTCGGCTGAGACAGGAGGATCATGGTAAATTTGAACCCAGCCTGGGCTAATGAATGAGTTTAAGGCCAGCCTGAACTACACAGTGAGACCATGTCTCATGAAAGAAAGGTTCATTTTATTTTGTATGCATATGTTTATAATCTGTAATAACCACACTCACAGGAGAAACTGATTCACAGACATCGAATCCCAACGCTGACCCCTGCAGAGTCCACCCCAGTCCCCTCTGCTGCTCTCTGACTTTGCTCTGTGAATTATTTATAGCGTGTGTTCTCTTGTCCCACAAACTGTGTGATACTGAACCTCCCCTCATCTCCCCCTCTTTAGCTCCAGTGCCTGTGGACAGGGGTCTGTTGGAGCTCATGCCCAGGCTACTGGCATTTGGTGTGGGCTGGCTCGTGGCCCCTCAAATCCATCTGTTGAGGCCATAGCCCCTGGTAGCTTAGAATGTGCCTTATCTGAGAACAGGGTGGCAGCAGGATAATTAGCTGTGAGGAGCTCATCCTGAGCTGGACGTGGTGGTGCAGCCCTGTGGTCCTAGCACTCTGGGAGTCTGAGGCTGGAGGGGCACAAGTTTGAGTCCACCTGGGCAATTTAGGGACATAGTGAGGCGCTGATTCAACATTAAAACTTTGAAAGAAAGACTGAAGTACAGTGAGAAGGCCCTGGGTTCAATCTCCAGTGCCACCAAAACAAAACAAACCCCTCCCCCAAATGTAAAGATGCCATCATGCCAAAATAGGGTAGGCCCTAGACCTACGTGAGTGGCCTCTTTCTAAGGAGAGCCTACCCTGCTCCCTAGTGCACATGGCCCACCCTTACACTGTAGGCTGCACTTTTCCTAATTTTATTTGGCTGAAACTTGCTCTGTTGTGCTTGCTTCCTTTCTTAGCTTTAACAAAACTTTGCAAAAAAAAAAAAAAAAATTGAGAGAGAGAGAAATGTGGGGGTGCCTGGGTGTGGTGCTACTACCTATAATCTCAGCTCCATAGAGGCTGAGCTGGAAGAATCACTAACCCCAGGCTTGGGAGTCCAGCCTGGGACAGAGGGAAGCCCCACCTCAGAGATCAGGTGAGGGAGGCACCACGCAGTGGGAAGCCCAGGCACAGCCAGGCTGGAGAGGCCTGGATCGGACTCTTTCTCCCCGGGCTGAGAGGAAGCTACTCCTGCCGCCCGGATCTCAGCCTCTGGCCTCTGGAACTGTGAGCCAGACTGGTCCTGTTGTCCCCAGAGCGGTGCTTTGTCCTGTTACTGTCCTGGTGGGGCCACTAAGCACCGGGCCGGTCCTGGAGCACTGGAGAGTTCCAGAAGTGACCAGCCAGGCCTTCTGGTGGTTATCAGTCACCCCCGGGGAGTGTCGGGGACTTTGCAGCTGGCTTTTCTCAGCCAGCGTCACAGCATCAAAGAACCACGGCTGCACGAGATGCAAAGCTCATCAGCAGCTCCCCTACCACTCAGTTTCATGAGGAGGACACAGGAGACACCATCATCTCTGACCTGTCACACAAGGGGCGAGATGGGCAAACACAGAAGCCAGGAAAGGTGGTTCACTCCTGTAATCCCAGCACTCGGGAAGGCTGAGGCAGGAGGACCACAAGAGCAAGCCCAGCCTAGGCAACTTAGTGATTCAGCAAGACCCAGTGTCAAAATAAAAAATCAAAAAGGATGGGGATATAGCTCCGTGCAAAGGCCCTGGGTTCACTCTCCAGGAGTGAAAAAAAGTTGGGAGGGGGGATAGACAGGGGAGGGGCAAGGGAGAAGCAAAAGCAAGTGGGAGGTGCTAGGGATGTGCATATACCAACTCCCTTCCATAGGTCATCACTGTGTACTGCAAACAGGGACTGATCACAATTTAAACATTTAAAAAGAAAGGAAGGGAGAGAGAGAGAGGAGAAAGGAAAAGAAAAAAGGGGGGAAAAAAAGAAAGAAAGACCTACATAAGCAATTCTAGGCAGGTGCAACAGCTCTGCCTTCCGGAGAAAAATCCGAAGGCCTTGCAGTCCCTGTCTCCGCCCTGGGGTTCAGCGGTGTGGCCGAGTGACCCCTGACCACAGTCTGTTCTGCAGACCCAGCCAGGCCTCCGCCTCTGCGTCCAGTCGGCCGGTCACCCTCAGCCCATCTACACGCCGGGATTGCTCAGGCAGCTTTAAAATACGCAGGCCCCACCCGCATGAATCAGGGTTTCGGGGGTCAGGAGTTGTTCCACAGGAGGCCGTGCTCCAGCCAGGCTGTGCATGCCCCAGGCGAGCTGGAGGGGGGGAAGGGGAGGAGGCCGGGGAGGAGGGGGAGCGGGAGGACTCCTCTGGGCCTGCACCGGGGCATCGCGCCCAGTCACACACCTGTGCCTCTCCCCCTGGGCCAGGTACTCGACCTCCTTGAGGATCTGGCTCTTCCCGTAGCCCGTCATGCCTTCGTAGATGAGGACGCGGCTGTAGCCGGAAATCAGAAATTTCTTCATATTATCCATGAAGTAGTTGATCTCTTTATCGCGTCCTGTGATTTTTATTTTTTTAAAAAAAGGAGTAAACTCATCAACATCTATAGAGATAGAAGAAAGTGCGTCCTGAGTGCCTCCCAGAAGGGCCCCTGGAGCCCTCAGGGTTGTTCAGACCTTCCGGAGAGCCTGAGAGCTTTATTTCTGACACAGGGCTTGCTAGGAGCAGGCTGGCCTCCAGCTCCGGATGCTCCCCTGTGCTGGGATTCCGGGTGTGCACCACTGCGCAGAGCCCGTGGGTGGTTTCAGTTTTTAAAATCTCCCTCTGGAACTTTCTAGCTAATAAGGTGGTTTTGCAGTTTTATTTGACTACCACAAGCTGTGAGAGAAATAGGGGTTTTGATTTTTACTTCTTTATCTTTGGTTTTTTGAGACAGAATCTGATTATAATATTTCAGCTGGCCTCAAACTTAAAGTGGTCCTCTTGCCTCAGCCTCCTGAATACTGGAATCACAAGTATGCACCACCACAGCCAGCTCTGACCTCAGTTCTTAGTTAAAAAAAAAAAAAAAAAAAAAAAAAAAAAAATATATATATATATATATATATATATATATATATGGTATTTTTTTCTGATAAAACCAGTTACATTGTCCTACATGTGGATGCTGCATATTTTAAAGCTTCCTGGTTTAGTCAGAACCGTTCTGCAGACGCTCTGGTGTGAAAATGTCCCTTCCTGAAAATTCTTTGCAACTTCCATTTTGTGAGCTCCTATCTTTTCTTCTTTTGCTTGAAACCTTCAAGCTGTAGAGCAGAAGCCCCTACCTCTCTATTCTGTCCCTACAGAATGTGAGAAGCCAAAGCCCAGTGGACAGTCACCTGCTGGACTCTGTAGGGCGTGTGAGCAGTTACTTGCCCTCTGTGACCCTGGGATTGAATTCTAGGCTGCCTGTGCTAGGCCAGCGCTCCTGCCATGCTTCCACTTAACCGTAAATTACACGTGTCTCGTTTCTATCTGGGATGGTTGTTTGTGTTTTGGACCTGAAATGCCACTATGTATTCATCATATATTTTGTCCTTGTTACTGCAATGTTACTGGCAGGCGCTCTTATGAAGATGGGCGTTTCTGCTCCTAGAACTAGGGTCCAGCTGCTGCAGGCTGCAGCTGTAGGAAGGCACATGGGCTGCCGCCCACCTCCCCTGGGTGGAATCTCACGCCAGATGCATGCGTGTTGCATGGAGGCTACACAATAGCACTGTCCTGTTGTCCCCAAACCTATGGAGGGAGGTTAGAGGCCCTAGTACTGGGTCACTGTGGGCATCTGCAGGGAAGGCGGGAGAGCAAGAGCTCAGGGAGGTGAGCTCGAGTCCCCTCTTTTCTTTCTCCCTTCTCCTCTCGCCCTTGCAGGAGTTTGGGGTCCGAGCGTACAGGAAGTCATGTGCTAGAAGACCCTGAAAACCACCACAAGGCTGTGCCCAGGGGCACCTCCTCTGGCTGGGGGCTTTTTGCAGCTCTCTTGCCTTCTCTCAGGGCTCTGCCGAAGTCAGCCTGACCTTCCTCAGAGTGTGGGACCCATTGCCTCTCCTTGGGCCTGATGCAGAGGTGGCCAGGACTAAACTTGCGGTGAGTCTCTCAGAGATGGTCAAGTCTTCTAGAAGGAAGGAAATTCCTACAGCCACTCTTGGGTTTGTTTTTGTCCAACTTGTGGACCAGGACTTACGCACAGGTGCCAAATAGAAATCCTTTTTGAAATTCAGAACTTAGTGGTCTTGAAACATACAAAAAGGAATAAACTGGGCCTGATGGTGCACGCCTGTAATCCTAGCACTCTGGGAGGCAAAGCTCTCTAAAAATCAAAAAGAACTGAGGGTGTGATCAGTACTAGGAACTTATCTAGCCTGTGCAGGGCTCTGAGTTCCAGGAGAGAGAGAGGGAGAAGGAGAAACAGAGGGAGAGGGAGAGAGAGAGAGAGAGAGTGAGCGTGCTTGCTTCAGGTTGGGCATGGTGGCACAGGCCTGTGAACCCAGCAGTCAGGAGGCTGAGGCAGGAGGATTACTGAGAGTTCAAGGACAGCGTAGGATCCTTAGTGAGGTCAAAGTCAACCTGAACTATATATTGAGCACCTGTCTCAAAAAACAAACAAACAGTGCTTGCCTCAACAGCATACAGAACTATGGTAGAATAATACAGAAAAGATTAGCATGGTTCCTGTCCAAGGAGGACACAAATCTTTGAAGGGTTTCATATTTTTAAAAAGGTAGAAAAAGAGACAAAAAAAGGTAATCACTCTTTAAAAAGGAGAAAGACATGGTGATGTGCACCTAAAATGCCAGCACTCAGGAGGCCGAAGCAGGCAGATCATAAATCCAAGGCCAGCCGGACAGCTTAGCTCAATCTTTCCTCAAAATAACAAAAAAGAAAGAGGGAAAGAGAGAGAAGAAAGAAAAAAGAAGATCAGAGATTAGGGAACTGATACACAGGGTAAATAGACGGTAATGGATTTATATCCAGAATATATAAACAATTCCAAAATATCTATGATAAAAATATAGCCCAGATGAAACCTGGCAGATGTATGTTTTATAAAAGATTAACAGAGGTTTTAAAATCTAGGAGGGCTCCCTCCCATGTACTAGCCTCCCAGTGCTGTGGCCCAGAGGCCCCTGCTAAAATAAAGATACACACACACTCAAGAGAGGGTTAACAAATGGCCAGCAAACATGACAAGGAAATATAACACAAATGCAGATCGCAATAAAATATCATTAGACCTAATAGAATTATTAAAAGTATAGACTGGGCCAAGGCGGTAGCTCAGTGGTAGAGGACTTGCTTCGCATAAAAAAGGGCCTCGGTTGGCTTCCCCAGCACAGCATAAATAGAAAGATAGAGGACAGACTGACAAAACTATGGTTGCTGGTAAAAATGAACAAGCTGAAACTCAGCACTGTTGTCTGGCATTTAAATGTGCACAACCTCTTTGGAGAGCTATTTGGTACCAAATGGTACCACTTGTCCTGACAATTTCACTTATGTAAAATCCACGCATGTGTTCACCAGAAGACGTGTGCAAAGCCAGGTGTGATGGTGCATAGCTGTAATTCCAGCCCTTAGAAGGCCGTGAGTTTGAGCTCAGCCTGGGCGACATAGTGTGAGACCCTGTTTCAAATAAAACAACAAAACCAAATCAAAACAAAAAAGGAGGAGGAGAAGGAAGTGGAGGAAGAAAAGAAGAAGGAGGAGAAGAAAAAAGGACTTGTGCAAGAACACTGATGGCATAAACTGGGTGTGGTGGCACAGGCCTGTAATCCCAGCCAGCATGTGGGAGGCTGAAGCTAGAGGATCACTGAGAGCTCAAGGCCAGCCTGGGCCGCACAGTTGAGACTCTGTTTCTAAAAACAAACAAACAAACAGAATGTTGATGCCAATATTATTCGTAAAAACCCAAAGTAGTAATACCAGCATCTGGGGAAGCTGAGACAAGGGGGTTCCAAATTCAAACCCAGCCTGGGCAACCTGATAATTTGCAAGGCCTCATCTCAAAATAAAAAGTAAAAAGTCTGATGATGATTGGAAAACCAGGATTGTCACTTACCCAGCAGGGGGTAGTTCTCATTTCCCTTGGTCCTGAGGTATGCCATACCAAACACACTGCCAAAGAAGGAGGGGGGAGACGTTAGAGGAGGGGAGGCCAGAGAGCACCGGGTTGGTTCTCAGGTCCCAGATGGGCTCCTCTGCAGTCTCCAACGAGGGTGTAGGCCCAACTCAAGGGCCCACAGGAGAGAGGAGCAGTTTTGCTTGATCAGAGAGAGAGTGCAGGCACCCGGGTTCCAGCTGTTACCACTGCACCCGACACCATTCCACAAATGCTGACTGAGTCTTTGAGAGCACAAGAGAACCATTTCTGGGCCTGGGATTTAGCTCAGCGGCACAAGCACCTGCCTGGCAAGCTCAAGGTCTTGAGTTCGAGTCTCAGTACCAAAAAAAAAAAAAAGAGAGAGAGAGAGAGACACCCCTTTCTGGGGAGACAAGATGTCCAATACAGGGCCCAACAACTTGCTGTGGTGCAATCTCACATCCTGGATAAATTCTTCCCCATTCTCTCGTTTCTCTAGAAAATACCGCAAAGTCCATGCCCATACTCACACTTCCTCATTGAGGCCCAAGCACTGATAGACCGGTCCTGAATCTGCAACACCTTTCATAACTTTCTTTGGAAGCTCTTTGAAAAAGTAGGCTGGCAGGCTGCTGCTGTTGTAGGTGACGGAGTCGCAGGTGACGATCCCTGGGTAGTACATCATCATCCGGGCAGCGATGTTGACTTTCTGACCGATGACTGCCCAGAAAGAGGAACCAGAGCTCACGGCCCCAGGTGACCTTTACCTTTTTTCAGTCCTGAGTTTCCCCCTTCCACCAGCTGTGGTCAGCCGGTGGCTGTTCACACACAGAGTGAGAGGGAACCCCTGAGCCATCAGCCTCTCACCTGGAGGCCCAGAGAGCAACCTACCCCAGGCTAGGAGGACCGGGGACAGGAAGAGGCCTGTGAGCTGGATGGCCACAGCCACAAAGCCTCTCAGATAAGGTGAAAGAAAATAGAAGCCAGCCTTGGTGACAGCCCTGTAGTTCCAGCACTTTGGGAGGTTGAGGCAGGAGGATTGGGAGTTTAAGTGCAGCCTGGGTTATTCAGTTTAGCAGGCTTAGCAAGGGCTGAGGATAGAGCTTAGGGTGAAGGCCCTAAATTCAGTCCCCAGTGCCACACACATGCTTGTGCACGCACATACTCAGGCATGCGTAGCGGTCCTCCACTACCCTATCCCATTCCAGGAGCAGAGCTAGGAAGCCGTTCAATGTCAACAGGAGATTTTGTGGATGGCCCTCATCTCCTGCACTGAGCACCTCCCTGCCTGCCCAGCTCTGCTGACTCCAGATTTCCTAAGCTCAAGTCCGCCTCAGAAACTCGCATCCACAGTCGGACCCAGCTACGTCCTCCCGCAGCGGGGCTGACCCGGCACCTGTGTATTCGTGTCGCATCGTGTGTCCGATGATCCCACAGAAGACGATGCCACTGGCCACGCCGATGGACACGGTACTAGCGCCAGGGAGAGAGTTGTGGGAGCCATTGAGATCATGGGCGTTGACAAAAGAAAAGAATTTCCAAAATGATGATGAGCACAGAGGAAGTACAGGAAAACAATGAATGGGATGGGGAGGGGTGGGTGGGGAAGGATTTTCAATAAATGACCTCTGACTCTTGCATGGTGGCGCCCCGCTGTAGTCTCAGCACTCTGGGAGGCTGAGACGGGAGGATGGCAAATTTCAGCCCACTCTGGGCAACTTAGTGAGACTGTCTCCAAGTAAAAAATAGAGTGAGTGAGGATGTAGCTCAGTGTGGAGGGCCTGAGCTCAAACTCCAGTATCAGGAAAAAGAAAAGGAAAAAAGATGAAAACAAAAAAAAAGCTTGTACCCTGTGTTGGTACTTTATGGCAATTGTACAAGGCCTGGAGGACTGGAGGACCAAGAGTTCTCAGTTCTTTTTCTTCTTTTCGCCCCCGGGGACCCCACCCTCTAACCTTTAGAAGGACCCGGGGCACCAGGTGGGCTCAGGGTGGCACTCACTGGATCTTGGGCACCTGAGAGCAGAAGTCGAATATGTCCACAGCGCTTTCCAAAGCATGAGTGACCTCGTTTGGCTCCTTCTCCCCAGGGAAACCAAAGACACAAAGGAAAGAGCAGCCCTGTGGGGAGAGGGTCAGCCCAGGGCCGGCGGTCACCATGCCACACGCCACGCCGGGGCGTGTCAGGCCTGCCCTCTGAGTACCACAGCAGTTCTCTGGGTGTGACTGAGGCAGGGTTTCTCTTACACCTGATCTGGCTTTGCATAAACTTAGAACGAACCTAGAGCATCATCAGAAGCTGGGTGTGGTCGTGGGCACCTGTAATTCTAGCATTCTGGGAGGCTGGCAGGGGGCAATACTTTAGTGCTCTTTTTTTATGGTACTGGGGATTAACTTTAGGGACTAGAGCTGGGGTGGGTGAGTGTTCCCTCTTCCCCTCCCCACTTCCCCTTCTCTGTTTCAGTCCGAGGGATTGAACCAGGGCCTTCATCGTGACCTATGTCCCCCAGCCTTTTTTATTTTTTATTTTGAGGCAAGGTCTTGCCAAGTTGAGTGAGTACTTCTTTTTGGTTTTTGTTTGAGGCAGGGTCTTGCTACGTAGCCTAGGCTGGACTAGAACTCATGCAGATCCTCCTGTCTCAGCCTCCCAAGTGCTGGGATTACAGGCATGTGCCACCAAGCCTGGAAAATGGTCTACTTTTAAGATTTAAAAACAACTAACATGGGGGATCAATGCTTATTAACATTTCTATGGTCACCTGTTTTCTATAGCATTGTTCTCTGAATTAATTTAACAACAGATTAAACCAAGGAAGTAGTGCAGGCCAATAATCCCAGGACTCTGAGAGGCTGAGGCAGGAGGATCCCAAGTTCCAGCCATGGACAACTTAGTAAGAACTTGTCTCTAAATACATAATTTAATTTAATAAGGGCTGGAAATGTGGCTTAGTGTATAGGCCCTGAGTTCAATCCCCAGTACCAAAAGCAAACAAACAAACTGGATGAGAACCATTTGAGATTTGATTGGAAATGGCCCTCCCTTCCCCTGACAGGGGAACAGAAGGTGAGGATACAGTGGGTGGGAATTCTGAAAACACATTTCAGGGACGGAGGTTAGCAGGTTCCTGCCCTAGGTCCCTGAGAATGCAGTTTTAGGGTGAGACCGAGTGCTGTGAGGAGCACTGGTCTGAAAGGCAGCTCCCCACTCCGAACCAGAGGCCCAGGCACAGAGCCTGAGCTCACCTGGCCTCAGAATCCACGCCTGTACAAGGGTACCCACCACAGAGGGTAGGTGGGGGGATGCGGTGTAATGCAAAACACAGGGAAGGTTTAAAGTTTACACAGTGTGTTACAGTGCAAGACACATTGCCAGGAATTCCCCAAAGCTCCCTCGCTTTGAGTACACTTGTGGCACTATTCTTGCCCTTTTTAAAGCAGTTCTGCCAGTCCTCTTTGTTGTACCAGCCTGGCTGCCTCGATATCCTCAACTGATTCAAAACATCTCCCTTTGGAGAGATATTTTGGACTTCGGGGAAAAGCCTGAAGTCACGTGGCGCCAGGCCTAGTGTGAAGGTGGATAGGGACCACCGTTGGGTTGTTACACAACTGCCTTTCTTTGGATGCCACTGGGCAGTGGCATTCATTGTGTCTCTTTTAACCCATAAAGGTTTTCAGGACAGAGGATTCCAGAACGGCTTCAGAAAGTGGCAGGAATCAGGTGGCTAAGTGTGCTCGGAGCCAGGGGGAGCATCCCCGGGAGGATGCATGGCCACGTGTCTTTTACTATAATACACACAGCATCTCCAAGTCCTGGCAGCTCCCGCCCTACCCCCACCTCCACCCTGTCTGCATCTACCTTGTCGAACATGAAGACTTTATTGATCTGGCCCCGGCAGGTTTGCACGGCGGAGGTGATGTGCTCACAGGCATCCTGGATGGCCACGCCTACCACTTCCACCTTGTTTTGGTCTTTGAATATCAGGTTCACAAACACAATGGTCACTGGGCGAAGTTCAGACAAATAGCCCCGGAGCTGCCTGTCGTCAATCTACCGGGTGGAGAGCAGATCTCTGTACCGTGGGGGCGCAGACCACCTCATTCCCAAACCCAAAACTGTCTGCAGGGGGAAAGGAATCTTTTTCTTTGGCAGGAGTGGGAAGACTGAACCCAGGGCCCTCACACGGAGCAGCACACTCAGCCCTTTTTTATTTTTTCTTAGTTGGAGACAGAATCTGCTACACAGGCTGGGTTTGAACTTGAGATCCTCCTGCCTCAGCTTCCCAGGGTGCTGAGATTACAGGTGCAGGCAACTACAACTGGCAAAAGGAGCATCCTAAGATGCTCCTTCGGAGAAGCTGAAGTTACCAGAATGCATGAGGTACCAGGTGGCAGAGCCAGCCTGCCCAAAATCGAGCACAGGGAAACCGAATGCACTACTCAAACCTTTTCTAGGGGCAACTTTATGCATTTGTTAAGTTTTGGTTGCCACCTGTTGTGTCATCTCAAGGACAAACTACTATATATCAAATTGAGCCACCACAGTAAGAGGAAGAACTGCTATTCCTTTTGCCTCCTCTATTTGCACAGTTTTGAGGTAAAATGAGCAGTGAAATTCAACCTCACCCTGCATCTCAGAGCATGGTACTTCCTGGAACAGCTTCACCCCCTACCCCACTCTTATCTGCAGACAGAATTATGTTAGCATTTCCCCATCCTACGGATTAGGTGACAGAAATAACAATTCTCCCAGGGTTATGGGGAGAGACGCAGCAAGCCAGGGCCCAGCTCTCCAGATGCCCTTGGCAGCCCTCGGCCTGCTGCCTCTCAGGGTGCATCGCACACAAGCTCCCTCCACTCACCAGGATGGCCCAAGAGGCGCATGCAGCAAAGAATATTCCCAAATTATGGCTGCCAAGCAGCACCTATGAGTTTTGCTAAATTGCTTGGCAAACCAGCTGAAGAAATCATTGTACTTTCTCCCCTAAAATAACACAAAAATACAGAAATATCACCTCCCTTGACAATGTCCAGCACTTTTTGTTTTTACAGACAGGTTCTTTCCAGGCATGGTGGCATGCACTTGTCATACATAACAGCACTTAGGAGGCTGAGGCAGGAGGATTTCTGCAAGTTTGAGGCCAGCCTGGGCTACATAATGAGTTCAAGGTCAGCCTAAACTACATAGTGAGAGCCTGTCTCAAAAAGATAAATACATAAATAAATAAAAATAAAGACAGGATCTTGCTATGTAGTCCAGCTGGCCTTGAATTTGCAATCCTTCTGCCTCTGCTTCCTAGGGTGCTGGGATTATCAGCAGGTACCACCTTGCCTGCTTTTCCTCAACTTTTTTTTAAAGGCAGGGCCTTGTTCTGTAGCCCAGGCTGGTCCCAAACTCATGCCAGTCCTCTTGCCCTGAGTGTTATGGTTACAGACTTGAGCCACCATAACTAACTCTTCGAGATCTTTCATGCTCAAGAAAGTCACGCCCTGTAAAGCTCTCTTTTAGGAAGGAACAAAGGAGGGAGGGCAGAAAGAAGGAGGGAAGGAAAGCAGGGAGGGGTGGAAGAAGCAGTTTTCTAGCTGGGTATAGTAACACATGCCTATAATCCCAATACTCAGAAGCTGAGGCATGAGAATCCCCATGAGTTTGAGGCCAGCCTGGGCCACTCTGAGTTCAAGAGCAGCCTAAACTACATAGCAAACTGTTTACTATTTCAAAGAACCAATCAAGCTGCCAGGTATGGTGGCACATACTTTTAATCCCAGCACATAGGAGGCTGAGGCAGGAGGATTGCCCAAAATTCAAGGCCAGTGTGGGCTATACAGTGAGACTGTCTCAAAAAGCCAAAAAACCAACCAACCAAATAAAAACTCAAACACTTACACATGTATACACACACACACACACACACACACACACACACACACACAGGATGTAAGACACTAAAAAGGGAAAACTTCTGTGGTCTGAAGGTAGTTGAAGTTGCCCTGATTAATTAGATGGCTGTGTCTATAACTTGAAATCTAACGTGAGGGACTCGGAGCAGCACTGCACCAGTGCTTATGTACTCGGCGTCTTCCGGCTGTGTGGATGTCACATGCTTGCAAGTGCTCCCTCTGCCCAGCGCTGTAAGGCAGCAGAGTCCTGCAGTACTCTTCCTGGCACATTGCACCTGTCAATAGCACCCTTCTGGTTTTGTTTTTGTAAGTCCAGGAGCTCGAACCCAGAGCCTCACATCCTAGGCAAGTGCAGTGCTCTACCACGGAGCTACAGCCCCAGCCCACGCTTTAATGCTTTTGTTCCCTTTGAGACAGGGTCCTGTGACGTAGCCTATGTTGGCCTCAAACTTGCAATCCTCCTGCCTCAGCCTTCCCAGCACTGAGCTGGTGCCACCACCCCCAGCCTCCCCCTTGGCTCTTAGTTACCTCCCGCCTTGAGCAATACACTTGGAAGTCACCTACACATAACGTCAAAGGAAGGTACCTGCTTCAGGATGCTCTCCATCACGTACTTCTGCAGCGAAGCCTCCAGCTCCGCGTCGGACTCCAGCAAGTACGCCAGCCTTAGCGCTAGGGGGCAGAGGAGGGCAGCTCAGGGAGGGCCCCTGGGACCACCGGGATCAAATGGGGAGCTATTAGAGGTGGTGGGGACCCCCCAGATTCAGCGCCAGTGTGCCTCAAAATCCTTGTCCAGGAAACATCGTGGACTGGGATTTGAGGAGACGTTTGAGGGGGTGACGGAGCAGATGCAGCAAGAGGAGGAGGATTCGGGAATTCGGTCTCTGATCTCAGACAGGTGACTGTCACATAAAAATTACCTAAGGCCTAGCTTTGGACTGAGCACGTACACTGGACCCAACGGCCCCAGCAAAATGGCAAAACAGGAGTCACTCAGTGCCAGTCAGCAGGCTGGCCGGAGGGCTGTGCACCTCAGGTGAGGAAGGGCGAGGTTGGGAGATGAGTTGCATTTGTCGGGATGATGAATTTCCTGCTCTTTCATCCTCATGCAGAAAAAGCAGTGTTAACCAGAGAGCTATTTTTATCTGCCTCCCTGGCTCTGCCATGTAAGGAGAGCACCTTTGAAATGACAGTGGGTTTTGCTCTTTTTCTTCCTGTGTGGGGGATGCTGGTGGTTGGGGTCCTGGGATTGAACCCAAGGTCTCTGCACTGAGCTGCATCCACAGCCGTTTTCTGTTTGGACTCTTGCTAAGTTACTTTGTTGCCCAGGTTGAGCTTCAAACTTGCCATCCTCCTGCTCGGTCTGTCAAGTGACCATAGTGATGTACACTGTACCCATCATGGCTTGGGTACACTGTACGCTTCCTCCCTGCCTCCCTCTGGACACCCTCATTATAGGAGTGAGGTAGGAGTTAGGGTTCTGCTAGGTGGTGGGGGGAGCAACCCCAACACGGAGTCTGCACAGAATGGACCTTACAAAGTCTGTGATCTCGGACCGGGGAGAGGTTACACTGGCCACACAGCAGCCAGCACTCCCTTCTAAACCCCTAAACAATTCTGGGACCAGGAGCCCTCAGGCCAGTCCTGCTCAGAAGCCCTCCTGCCAATGCCAGTGGGAGCTCACTGCTTTGCCTTTGTGGCTTTGGAATAAATTTGCTTGCACCGCAGCTCCCCTGACTGTGGTTTCACTCCTTGTCACCATGGGACAATGATCCTGGAAACTCTGGTGACATCAGCACTTAAGGGATGGGAAGGAAACAAAGCAAAGGGCCTGGAAATGGGTATTTTGGGGATTAGAAACAAAATGAGAAAAGAACAGGCAAGGTACAGTGGTGCACACCTGTGATCCCAGCACTAGGGAGGCTGAGGCAGGAGGATGGAGAGCTCGAGGCCAGACTGCGCTACAAAATCAGACTCAATCTCAAAGAAAAAAAAAATAGAAAACAAAAGGAGAAAAGACTACTCTTGAATCAAAGGAAAATGGAGACTACATGTCCAGCAGGACAGCCACCTAGGATGAGGTTGATTTGGCAGACATGGCCTCACATTTCTGACAGAGGGGAAGAGGGTAGAAACCAGATGTCAGGGCACAGGACCACCTCGGCACAGTGGAGCGTGCTGGTTGCCCCAGTTCCTCGAGCGGGAGCTGAGGTAGGAGGACTGCTTGAGCCCAAGAGCGAGGACAGCCTAGGCTGCATAGCAAGACTGAAAGGTTCAAAATAAACAATCAAAGAGTGAAGAACAGGTAAACATCTACATGCCCCAAAGGCACACATGATCGGTGTTCTACTCGGGGAATAAATCAGGGCGGGGAGACCAGGACAAGGACCCGTTAACATACACATTACTCTGCTGAGAAGCATGATGGGTGAGGAAGACTCAGAGGGGCTTTCTTCTCTTTTTCATCATGGGAGGGATGGAGGGATGTTCAAGGGTGACAGGAGGGAGGAGGAGAGGGCCTGAGGAGGATGCACCCAGGCCTCCTTTACAAGCTGGCGAGGACTTGGAGCTGGGCGAGGGGTGTCAGCTGTTCAGAATGGGGCCCTCGCATGAGCCCAACTCACAATCAAAACCCAGAGAGTGTTCAAATTTTGAAGTGTTACATAAAAAGACACATCGCCATGAATCCTCTCAGACATCCTCCCGCTCACTTCTAACATACTTGCCATGTCCTCCTGGCCAGCTTCTGAAGCAGTTCTGAATACCCGCTTTCCTGAGTGTCTTTACGAAGCTTGATCAAAAACACAGTGAATGTTCCTGCCCAGCACCGCCCGACAGAAAGCAGGCTCGTGAAAACATGGCACGTGTCTTGTCCACCTTTCCGTGCAACTTCTGGCTTCCCCAAAGTCAAAAGGATGATGAGAGGTAAATGTTTTGAATCGATTTAAGACATAGAGGCAGCCGCAACCATGCAACGAAAGACCCTCAGGAAAGAGCACTTGCAGAACGGCTTCAGAAAGTTGTGAGAAGGCTGTGAGAGCGGTATTTTGAAGATTCATGGCAATCCTTCTTTTACTGTCGTACATTTTAAACATTCAGTGTAGCTTGAAATCACAGCTCCTGCACTGGTCTCCGATGGAGAAAGGACCTTGTTATGGAGAGCACTTACTTTTGAGCTGTCTAGGAGGATAATAACTCATGAAGGACATACACTTCTTGAAAAACTCATCCCAGTTAAAAGTAGGGGGCAGCTTTAAAAACTTAACCTAAATAAAATAAAACAAGAAGTTTTTAGTTATTCCGATTATTATCTGATCCTTTGAGTATCAATTTCTCAGCAGAAAGTGAAGGTGGAAGGGTGTGTGCTTTTGCATGTCTAGCACATGGTAGCTGTGGTTGGTATACTTAAGCACTAAAGATCTTTCATTGGTAAAATCTGAAATTTTTTTTTGTTTTTGAGACAGAGTCTCAGTCTGTAGCTCGAGCTGCTTGAACTCATGATCCTCCTGCTTCAGCCTCCTGAATGCTAGGACAATAGACATGAACCATGGTGCTCAGAAAATGGAAACTTTAGGGCTGGCGTGTACATTGGCCATAGAAAGTATACTTATTGTGTGCAAGGCTCTAGGGTTCAATCCCAGCGCACAGAGAAAAACATTTAATTTCTCTGATTTTCTCAAGATCTCAGTGCTCAGTTTAGACACACAGAAGGACACTCTAGGGAGCAAAATTTTGTATTTTTCTACCCTCAGGACCCTTTTCTGCCTTTTTTCCTTTCTAGTAGTTTAATTCTGATAAAACTCGGCTAACTAGTACATCATTTCTTTCTTAAAAGTGTTAAAGGCCAGCAGGATCTGATGCCCAAAAGGGTATTAGGGAGATCACCCATAATAAGACCTTGAACCCCATAATGTAGTACTCACCGAGGACATCATTTCTGTGTTATTTGTGGGCAAAAAATTGTGTACATTTAGTTCAACAAAGAGAAAAAATACAGATAAAACCAAATGGAAGGACTGGACACAAGAACTGATTTTTTTTTTTTGAGACAGGGTCTCGCTGCATAGTTCAGGCTGGCCATGAACTCACTTTGTTCCCAGGCTGACCTCAAATTACAGGTGATCCTCCTGCCTGAGCCTCCCAAGTGTTGAGTTTACAGGCATAGGCCACCACACCTGGCTCACACATTTTAACTTTTCGTTGTTTCGTTTTTGTGGTATCAGAGATTGAACCTGAGACCTTCATGCTGATCTACATTCTCCATCCCTTTGTATTTTAAGCCAGGGTCTAAGTCATCAAATTGCCTAGGCTGAGCTGGAATTTGGGGTCCTCCTGCCTCAGCTTCCTAGAGCACCAGGGTTATAGACACGTACAACTCCACCCAGCTTTGTCTTCTTGTTCTCTGCCATGCATTCCCATTCCAAGCAGCACAATGCACTTCTCCTTGCATACATTTACAGTACAGACCTTTGAATTGATCTCAGACACTGCAGGTCCATGTTCAAATTAACCAGTGTTTCTCCTAAATAGAGCCCAGGGGAAATCTCTCCTTCTTCCCTAACTGTTCCACTCTCCCCTCGAATCCTTAGCCTCCCCCTGGGCTTGAAGGGCTCCCTAGTGACAGCAGGGGCACAGGGTAGCCCTCACAACCTCTCCTCTCTGCTCCTGGGGAACAGGGAGCTCCTTCCTGGTCCTCAGCCCCGCAACTGCACACCCGGAGGAGCCAAATCATCTCCACCTGGAGCTCCCCAGCCCCGACCGCTTCCCACGCTTGACACCAGACTACAGGCCGGGAGCCCGCGCCCCTCTCCCAGCCCCAGCATCGTCCTCCAACAGCCTTCACCAACCTTCACTGCCCTCTGCTCTGGAATTCTCTCAATTTCAATCTTGCTCCGGTCACAGAGCTGCCAGCAGGTGGGTGACAGGATGACATCGTTCATCTGTGCCATGTTCTGTGCCAGGCGCACATCGTCCACCGCCTGACCAGTCACCAGGAAGTAGTTGTGCCTTTCGTCTCCAAAGACCACCATGGTGATGTGGCCAGCAGACAGCCCTGGGGAGGAGGCAAATGGCAGACAGATTGGTGCGGGAGTTCTGGGCCACAGCCCAGCAAATCGGGAGCTTGGTGTGAACCTCACAGTAAAACCTCTCTTCTGAACTTTAATGTCAGAGCCGGGTGTGGAAACGCACGCCTGTAATCCCAGCACTCAGGAGGCTGAGGCAGGAGAGTTGCTATGACTTCGAGGCCAGCCTGGACTACATAGCGAGACTCTATCTCAAAAAAAGAAATAACAAATAAAACAGACATCACTTTAATGAAGGAATAAGAGAATACCTCTTTAGGTCCCTGGCCTTCTAAAATCCAAAATGCCCATTTCTCCAAGGACTAGAATGTTCAGCCAACAGTTTTTGCCTTTCTGGGATACTTTTCTGCCCTGATGGCACCATCAATTCCCAAAGTTATTTATTTATTTTTATTTAAGATAGGGTCTCACTATGCAGTTCGAGCTGGCCTTGAGCTCACTTTGTAGCCCAGGCTGGTCTTGAACTCACAACGATCCTCCTGCCTCAGCCTCCCCAGGGCTGGGATTACAGGCATGCATCACCGGGCTCTGCTTCCCAGCCCTTTTTTATTTAGCTAGTTTTGTTTTGTTTTTGTTTTTTTAATTTGAGACAGGCCTTGTTAAACTGCTCAGTTGTCCAGGCAGGACTTGCTTTGCAAGCCTCCTGCTTCAGCCTCCCACATGCTGAAATTACAGGTGGATGCCACCACGTTGGGCAGAAAACAACTTCAAATTCCCATTTGGAGAAGATTTTCCTTTTATCAGAGGTTGAGATCTCACCTGAAAAGGAAGTCCAAGCATCTCATTTCGGGTAACAACCGGAAGGTGAGGGAAAAGAAGTCCCAGGTCCCACCCTACATTCTTTTCTCAATAGTTTTGAAGTGGAGAGGCAGAGGTTTTGGTGCTGGAGCAGCAGAAGACAGATGTGAAATATGAAGTGTACACCAAATCTATTGGCAAAGACACGACAGGTGACACACGGTTTCTCTCCATGACTGCGATGAATGCAGTCGAGGTCTGCTTCCCACCTTGGCTCTCTGCTGTGATGACCATCAGTGTGGGTCTCACGCACGCTTTGTATTCCCTCAGGAACACACAGAAAAACATGGCGGAACCACCTCTCTCCCAGCCACTCGGCACACACACGAGGGCTGGGGCTCCTGTCAGTCTCAGGAAGGACGACAGCTGCTCCTGTGGTGCACCCCTGTAATTGCAGTGCTCTGGAAGGCTGAGGCAGGAAGACCCCAAGTTCAAGCCCAGCTTGGACAATCTAACAATTTAGTGAGAGTCTGTCTCAGAATACAAATATAAAAAAGATGAGTGGATGAGCTCAGTGCAAACAACAAGAGTTCAATCTCCAGTACAGGGAAAAAAAAAAAAAAAAGATAACACATCAGTCTCTCTGAGTGTGAACTGTGGTACTGAGGATTGAACCCAGGGTCTTCGAAATGAGCTACATCCCAAGCTCTTTTTATTTTTAAAAAACTTATTCATTAGTACAAGGTGGCAGTAACTACTATCAGCCCTTTTTAAAAATAATCATTAACATTTTTTAAATGGGTACCAGGGATCGAACTCATGACCCCACGCTTGCAAGGCAGGCGCTTATGCTGCTGAGCTAAATCTCCAGCCCTCATTAACATTTTTTTGACACAGAGCCATGCTAAGTTACTAGCTTGCCAGGGATGGGCTCAAATTTAAAGCCCTCTTGCCTCAGTCTCCCAGAGTACAGTGGGGTGTGTGCCACCACACTGGGCTGGAAATTCTGAATAAAAGCAAAATGACGCATAGGTTAACCGTTAACTGGATGGTCTCCTCTTTGACACTGCAGACTTCTAAGGTTTACAAGATTTAGGTGAGGCAGAAGCTGACAGCCCCAGCTCTGACCACAGCTCTGGCTATCTCTCAACATTTCTACCTCCCAGAGTCTCACTCCTCACCAAGGAGTGGGCACAGGGATGTCTCCCGCTTGGGATTTCTTGTGGCTTGCATCCAGATGTCCCTACAAATCCTCATAGGGCATAGGTGGGGCTTTTTCAGAAGTGGCTGGATCTGGAGTGTGGGACCCTGCCAGGCTCAAGGGCATTAATAGGATCAAGGGTGTGAGTGTCACCTGCCCTAAGCAGCCTGGGTGAGCTCTAAGGGATACAGAGAGCTGTGGTCACTCCTTGTTGCTTTGTTGTCTTCTGCCTGCTACCAACTGTTTCTCCCCTGTGATGCCTGTCTGCCACGCTACCCTGCCTTGGAGTCAGCCGATTATGAACTGGCTATATGGGTTGAGTGCCTGGATCACTAAGCACTCTGTGCCCAATCTTGAAGAACAAATTCTCTAGGCCACCACCACCCTGGAACATGGTGCTCTGGGGCTCTCTTCTCAAAGCAAAGGTTTTTACCTTTGCAACTCCGAAGCTTCAAAGGCTGGAGTCCTGCTGGTTCTTGTGATGCCCTCAGGACATCTTTTTTATTGTTTTTGTCTTCTTGTGAAATACTTGGCTTTTATTGTTCATCTTTTTGGTGATTGAAAGAGTTTTGGCCCAGGCCGGACACTGTAGCTGGAAAAGACTCAGCTACAGTCTTTGTTCTCCTTCCTTGCTGTCCCCATTTATCACTTTTGGAATGGAAATGTCTGCCTCATGCCATTGAATGTTGGAAATGTTTAACTTTCTTTTCATTTGTGCAGGGGCTCACAGCTAAGAGTTTACCTTCAGTCTCAGAAGAGACTTTGGACTTGGACACTTCAGCAATGCTGACACTGTAAGGACTTTGGTGACACTTGGAGGTGGACTAAATGCCTGTCTGCTGTGCCACCCTGCCAATGGTGGGCTGAAATCTCTACACACTGTGAGCTAAGCAAACCTTTCCTCCACTAACCTTGGGTGCTAGGTATTTTGTCTCTGAAGTGAGAAGTAACTAAGACAGGACTCTAGAGAAATGAAAATGTCAGTAATGTCTCCAGTGCAGTGCAGAAATTTGTGTGCTTTTTATCACATTATACATGTATGCCTAAGAAGCCATGTATAAAACTGGAGCTGTGTCATAAAATTATGTTAAGGTTTTCTTTTTGTTTGTTTGTTTTTTGAGACATGGCCCCACTATGTAGCTCAGGCTGGACTTGAACTCACTATGTAGCCTGGGTTGGCCTCAAACTTGTGACAATCCTCCTGCCTCAGCCTCCAGTGTGCTGGGATTACAGGTGTGCACTACCACTCCCGGCTTCCTTGTTCTCTCTCTCTCTCTCTCTCTCTCTCTCTCTCTCTCTCTCTTTCCCTTTCTCATTCTTTCATTCCTTCCATCTTTTTTCCTTCCTCTGTAGTACTGGGGATCAAACCCAAGGGTGCTCGTTCACTGAGCTTCATCCCCTTCCCTTTTCACTTTGTATTTTGAGACAAGGTCTCTCTCACTAAGTTATCCAGGTGGGACTTGAATTTGGTATTCTCCTGCCCCAGCCTCCCTCGATGCTGGGATGACAGGCGTGTGCCGCTGCTCCCAGCCTCTTAGGTTTTTCTCACTCTTCTGAAGCAGGGACAGGCTAGGCCCATGTCACTGCTGGATCTGTGTAGGACTATCTGCTCTGCAGTGTCCTGAACACTTCCCTACCTTGCCAAGCAGCAAGATAAAACAGTGGCGGTGACAGGTGTCATAAAGGCCCTTTTGTTCAGCAGTTGCTATCAGCCAAGTGCTCCGTGAGCTGACTCACCTTCCATAAAGGCCCACTGGGCAGAGACCATGATTAATCTGGTCCTCTTAAGGGGTGTGTGAGGAAGCTGCTGCACACATCCCGGTCACCCTGATTCTAAGGCATCCGTCCTACCCAATCCTTACCTATCTTCACGCGAATGTCCAGCTCTTCGTCCTCCATCTCCTTGCTGTCAAAGAGGCCATGGATCTCCAGGCTGCACTTGACGGCCACAGTGATGATGTTGTTCAGTTGCTTCCGTTGCACCTTCCAGAGCGCGAGCAGTGCATCACCTTGAAAAGGCAGATGCCCGAAGGCTCACACCTGCCTCGCCACTGGTGCACTCCACGTGAGGCCAAGCAGACACTCAAGCTCCACAACATAGTCTACAGCCATCCCTGTCCCTCCCTACTTCATTCGCGACGGTCAGGTCAGTGTACCTGCAAATTTTAGGATGTCTCCTCCAAAGAGCAATACTTCTGCGGGGGGGGGGAAAGAAAGATGTTAGATCAAGGTATAATTCCTTTTATTTTTTATTTTTTGGTAGTACTGGGGATGGAGCCCCAGGCCTTTGCACTGAGCTACTTCCCCAGTCCTTTCTAAATTTATTTGACATGGGATCTTGCTAGGTCACTAAGTTACCTAGGTTATCTCAGCCTGCCAGAGTGCTGGGATTACAGACGTGCGCTACCATGCACAGCTAACTCTGATTTGTGGTAAAAGAAGTCATTCGTGAGTAAACCAGAAACGGGGTCAGGAGAGCAGCACTTTAGAAAGTAGACTTCTCGGAAGATGTCACCTCAGCAAGCCCACATGGTCGCGTTCCTCCTCAACTATGGACAGTGTACCCCAGCCCACTTTGAGCGTGGGCTGTGTCCCTGCAGATCAGAAGACAGGAGAGAGGTAGAGGGGTTTCCAATGAGGACTGAGGACCTCTGAGGGCTGCCTTCCTCTGGGGACAATGAATGCTGTCCCCAAGTGGGCTGGAGTGGGCCTGAGCAGGTGAAGAGTGGCAAGGCTCCCCAAGAACGGGAGCCAGAAATGAGACATCAGAGCCATCTGGGCGCTGTGTCCCCTCCTGGGTTTTCAGTTAGACTTTGTGGCCACTTGTTCTCTTACCTCTGCACCATCACAAACCCATCGGACACCTATGATGCTGAGAGGCAAAGAAGAACTAGAGACCACTTCTGCTTTTCAGGAGCTTAGTGGGGAACATTAATACAACACTAGAGAACTTACTGTAAGGCAGTAAGCCTACAGGTCACCTCGGTAGAACAAATTCCTTTCTTCACAAGGAGTCCAAGCTAACAGTGCAGACGAGACGGCAGACAAGTAAACAAGAGAGCAGAGTTTTCACTCAGCTATTAGGGCTGCAGGACCCATCAGGAGCAGACAAAGGACTGAGAAATTAATTGTAAACCACTCTTATTCAGTCCCACAACAATCTCTTTGTGATTAAGTTTGGGTGCACAGATGCCAGGTTTGAAAAATATCTGAGTATAGTGAGTATGATTAGACATGTTGGAACAAGATAAGGATGTCCACTGTCGTCACTCTTCTTCAATATAGTTCTGGAAGCATTAGCCAGAGCAATCAGGCAAGAGAAAGAAATGAAAGGAATAAGGACAGGAAACAAAGAAGTTAAATTAAATTATTATTTGCAGATGATGTGATACTCTACACAGAAGACCCCAAAAACTCTACCAAAAGATTTCTAGATTTAATACTTAAATGCAGTCACATAGATGGGTACACAGTCAACATTCAAAGATCAATAGCATTTTGTACACAAATAACAAACTCACTGAGAGAGAAATTATTACTTTCACAGTAGGATACCAAAAAAACCCCAAACAAGCAAGCAAACAAAAGAAAACCTAGGAATCAATCTAATGAAGAAAATAAAAGACCTTTACACTGCAAATGACAGTACTCTGAAAAAGGAGATTAAAGAGGATATCAGAAAATGGAAAGCTGTACCTTGTTCTTGGGTAGGAAGAATCAATATAGTGAAAATGGTTACACTTCCAAAGTTGTTACGCAGATTTGATACAATCCCAATCAAAACTGTAACAACAAATCTCACAGAATTAGAGAGAACAGTTCCAAAATTTATTTGGAACTAGAAGAGACCCAGAAGAGCAAAAGCAATTCTGGGCAACAAAGGTGATGCGAGGAGCATCACAATTTCTGACTTGAAATTATACTACAAAGCTACTGTGATAAAAACAGCATGGTACTGGCAAAAAGACAGTGGAACAGGTTAGAAGATGCACAAAAAGGATCAGTGGAACAGCTTAGAAGATGCACAAAAAACCTGTTCCACTAAGGATCAGTGGAACAGGTTAGAAGATGCACAAAAAACTCCTGACATACTGAGGGATTTTATCTTCAATAAAGGAGCCAAACACCTTCACTGAAAGAAAGATAGACTCTTTTATAAATGGTGCTGGAAAAACTGGCTTTCCACATGCTGAAGATTAAAACAAGAGACACTCCTTTCACCATACACTAAACTAAAATTGAAATGAATCAGAGACATAAAAATTACAACAGAAACATTAAGTCTGCTGCAAGATATACTAGGTAGAACACTTGAAGACATTGGTGTAGGTAAAGACTTGATGAACAAAACCCTAATTCCACTGCAACTATCACAAAGCATCAACAACTAGAATCTCATTAAAAAGTTTTTGCACAGCAAGAGAAACCAGTAACAGGGTGACGACCCACAATCCACAGTGTGGAAAAAATTTTACAAGTTGTGTTTCTCAGGCAAAAGACTAATATCTAGAATATATAATGAACTAAAAAAAATCAGGCCCCATTTAATTTAAAGGCCCAATCAAAAAATGGGCATGTAAAATGAATAGACAGCGGGGGATATAGCTCAGTGGCATAAGTGCCTGTCTGGCAAGTGCAAGGTCCCGAGTTAAATTCTCAGCACAAAAAAACAAAAACAAAATAAAATGAATAGACAGTTCTCAGATGAAGAAGTAGAGACACAACATAAATATAAAAAGTGTTCAATATCACTCATCATTCAAGAAATATGAATTAAAACAACACAGATTCCGTCTCACCCCAGAAAGAATGGCTGTCATTGGGGCTGGGGATTTAGCTCAGCGGCATAAGCACCTGCCTTGCAAGCAGGCAGCCATGAGTTCGATACCCGGTACTGATAAGAATGGCTGTCACCAAGAAATCAACCAATAGCAAACTTTGATAAGGCTATGGGAAAAAAGAAGACTACTCCACTGTTTGTTGGAGTATAGACTGGTGCTACCACTGTGGAAACCAGTGTGTGGAGATGCCTCAAAAATCTAGGGCTAGAGTTCCCATTGGACTCAGCTATTCTTCTTCCTGGTATCTTTCTGAAAGAATTAAAAACATCACACCACAGTGAAACATGTGCACCCATGTTTATAGCAGCACAGTTTGTAATAGCTAAATCTTGGCGGCCCAAATGGCCATCATCTGATGAATGAAGAAAGAAGATGTGGGGCTTTTTATACAGCAGAGTACTACGCAGCCATAAAGAAGGGTAAACTTGAGACATTTCTGGGTAAATGAGTGCACTGGGAGACCGTACACTTAAGTGAAATAAACCAGACACACGTGCAAATACTGCATTCTCTAGTGTAAACTGAAAGTGTAAATAAGGACTAAAAATGTGAAATGGATATTGTAAAATAGGAAGAAAATTTTCAATTGAGAAAGGAAACTAGGGAGAAGGGAGGAAGAAAGGAAAACAAGAGAAAATGAGAGAAGGAGGAAAAAAGGGAAACAAAGTTTTGTAAATAAGGAGGGGAAGAGAGGTTGAAGGGAGGGAGGGGGATGAGGAAAAAAAAGAATCAAGGTATATCATGTCCAGGAACAAATTCCCTACAATGGATGTTATCACTATATGTACTTAAAACGAACCGATAAACTTAATTTTAAAAAAGTGTTTCCGCTGGGGACAGAGGCACATGCCTGGAATCCCCGCACTTTGGGAGGCTGAATCAGGGGGACTACAAGTCCAGTTCCTTCCTGGACATTTCACTGAGACTCTGTTTCAAAAAATGAAAGAGGGCTGGGGGTGTAGCACCGTGGGAAGGCCCTGAGTTCAATCTCCAGTGCCACAAAATAAGTTCATAAATAAATCCTCTCCCCCCGAGGGCCTGTAGTGGTGAGGAGCTGTACCATGGGGTGTCTCAGACACAGTAGTTTCACCCCATTTCCCCGGGGAAACAAGGGTGCCAAGAAGCTGTGTGCGGGTGTGAACTGGACTGGCACAGCGTGTGCTGGACTGGACCCTCCCCGGCCGGGAGCCGCGGGCACACTCACTCTCCACGATGGCGCTTATGTAGTGGTTCAGGATGTCCACCAGCTGCTCCGCCCCGCGGTCCATGTACATGGCCGTGCTGAACTTCTCCGTCATCGCCGTGAAACCTAAACAAACTGTCGTTTTCCGGCCTGCTTGGAGGAGCCAAGCAGGGCCACAAGAAGGATAGGCTGGCAGAGTTTCTCTCCTCTCTCCCTGTCTGTCTCTCCTTCCCTCCTTCCTTCCTCTCTCTTTCCTTCTCAGTCCTGGGGCTTGAACCCAGGGTCTTCACCCTGAGCTACTCCCCCAGTCCTGCCCACCTAAGTTGCCCAGGCTGATCTTCAACTTGTGATCCTCCTGCCTCAGCCTTTCAAAGTGCTGGCATTACAGGTGTGCACCACTGTACCTGATCTCTTTCACATCTTAATAGTAAACTTGCCAGCTTTTCAGAACAGTTCAAGATGTGTACGCTTTCATTAGAATGGGATATAAATTCTATTCCCAGTTAAACGTACTGTAGTTGTCACAATAGACATTGAGCGTCTACAGGGAAGAGCGGTTTGGAGCCTTTCCCTGACCTGTAATACAGTAAACCCTGACACAGGAAGCTGTGTGTCTGACACCTGACCCATTAAGGAACTTTGAACCAGGCTTGCTCATGCACTTTAGGAACTTGGGCGTGAGGCTCATGCGTGGGCAAGACCCTGTCTCGACATAAAAATAAACAAATGGGGCTGGGAATATTGTCTCGGTGGTGGAGCATTCTTGTGCCATTTAATCTCCAGAAGCAGACACGCATGCGTGTGCATAGATGCACACGTAAGGCCCTAGGGAGGTCACTTCCTGAGGCCAGGATTTTGTTTTTGCACGTGGGTCTGGGGACTGATCCTAGAGAGAGCTCTGAGGTACATCTTCAGTTCTTTCCAAAATTTTATTTTGAGACAAGGTCTCGCCTCAGTTTCTGGAGCAGCTGGGATGATAGTGCCTGGACTGAGATCAATTTTGTCAGGGATGTTGTGAAGTTGGGGCAGGAACTCTGGAGCCTCAAGCTTTGAGCATTTTAAAGATCTCCCAGGACTGGGAGCTGGGGAAGGCAACGTGAGGGGCACCAGGCCCCAGAGCCTGCTCCTGTCTGCGGTCACAGGCCAGGCGCTTGCAAACAGCCCCCCACTCTGCCCTCACGTCTGCACAGGAACGGGGATGTGAGCCTGTTACTCACACTAGCACTTGCCTGAAATATCAACGAACATCAGGACCCCATCAAAATAATCCACAGAGGGTCGTTCCGGAGAGAAATTCCCATAGACAATGAGGTCGGGTAAATGGGCTGCTATCCTGACGAGGTTGTTGTTCTGTGATTCTATCGTAGTGCTCATACTTAAGGCAAATGTCTAGAAACTCCTGGCTACAGGAAGCTGTGCTCAGCAGGGTCTTCTGGAAAGAAAATCAGGAATGGAAGAAATCGGACATATTCGTTCATAAGCTTTCCCATTCATTTTTTCTCCGCTGGTCCTGTTCCAATCTGTGATTTCTTATTTAGGTGACTGGAGGTAACATTGACAGATTTGGTGAGTCACACTTTAAAAGGACACCCTCTCCATCCCCCACCCGGCTTTTTTTGCATTTCTAGGGATCAAGCCTTCAACTTAAGCTGTACCTTCCTTCCTTTCTTCCTTCCTTTTTCTTTTAATTTTTGAAATAATGTCCCAGTAAGTTGTTCAGGCTGACATTGAACTTTGTGATTCTCCTGTCCCAGCCTCCAAGTGCTGGGATGACAGGTGTGCACCATCTCACCTGGCAGGATCACCTTTCTATTCTGTGGGAAACCTTCACAGACTGGACCTCCAACCCTTGACACTGTTACAGACATGAGTCCCATTTCCAGAGGCATGGGCCTCCTGGTCATGCATTCTTATGAAGGGGCTGCGTTCACCGTGGGTCTGGTGTAGGTGGCTGCAATGGTTAATCTCCATCATGAACTTGAATGGATGAAGACATGCTGAGAGGGTGACTGGACTGATGGAAGTCACTGAGCTGACCCACTTGTGAGCGTGTAGCTGAATGAGTGTTGGGAGGTGAGGCACGGTTGGGGAAAGGAGGCCTCTTGGGCACGTCTTCAAAGAGAGTCTCTTCTCAGCTCTTTCCTTCCCTGTCTGCTTCCTGGATGCCATGAAGTGAGCATCTTTCCGCCACCAAGATGTTTCTGCCTTGGAGCCAGCCCGCTGTGGACTGACACCTTTGAAGCTATGAGCCTAAGAAACCTCTCTTGCTTTTGACTGACTTCGTCAGGAATTTCATGCCAGTGATAGAAATCTGACTGACATAGTGAGCCAGTAACACCACTCACTCAGACCAAAGTCCTCCTTCTGCTGTGTTCTTGTTTCCTGTCCACCCCAAAGCTCTGCCTTTTGGTCTCTTCATTTTGAAAATTGTAAGTACAGCTGTGAGTTTTATGTGATATATCCATATATAAATATTAGAGTCCTATATATAGAAATGAAATATATTAAGGAATAATGTTAAACACAGTGAGGGAGAGGATTCCAAGGGTGACTGAGGGTAGGAGTGCGTTGACCATAGCTGGGAAGGCTGAAGTCCTGCAGTTCTGCATGGGAGGAAATGCTAAACATTTTAATTTGCTGCCCAGCTAGTTCTGGGAATACCAAGATTTCCTAAGGTCTTCCTTTAGCTTTCAGAGACTAAATGCTCAGGGCTGACTATGGTTAACTCATAGCATCTCCAGTTTTTTCACAGTGAACCACGTTCCTGGAATAAGTGGTAGAGAAAAATAAGAGACCCTCCCCAAGAAAGATGAATACCAAGGCCGAGAATCCCTGCACTTGGGAGGCTGAGGCAGGAGGATCACTGTGAGTTTGAGGCTAGCCTAGACTACACAGAAAAATGTTTCTCTGTGTGTGTGTAGTACTGGAGATTAGCAGGATGGAATAGGACCCTAGAGGCTCACACTAGTCATACGGCAGGGTTTGATGAGTACAATCCGGCTTCCCAAGGCTCATGGGACTAAAGGACCCCGTGGGTTATGCTGGGCAGTAGAGCCTGTGCTTCTGGAGTTTTAACAGATGAGGCCACATGGGGATTCCTGATAACATGGACTGGTACGTAGGTGTCCTTCAAGCTCCCTGAGGTCCTGTTTCATTAGCAAGCAAGTGCAAAATCTCAGTGACTTGAAACAGTAAAGGATGGTTCCTGGTTCCTTTTTGGCTTCTATTTCATACCCAGCGTAGATGGGCTGGGGATCTCTGCCCACTTCAGGACTAGGACTGGGATACTGTGGTGACCAAGGCAGTGGGAAAGAGTGGGATAGAGTTAGTCGCCTCCCAGAAGTGACATACTTCACTTTAACACTGATATAAGCAGGTTCTAGGACATGGACACACCTAATTTCACAGGACTGGAGAACTGCAATCCTACCATCAATGTATAAAAGAAAATGTGATACACACATGGACCGGGGTGCCACTCAGCCTTGAAAAAGAAATGAAACTAGAGGACATTATGGTAAGTGAAATAAGCCAGCTGCAGAAAGATAAACACAACCTGGTTTCACCCAGACATGGAATCTAACCACGCTGCACCCAGAGGGACAGGAAGAGCACTGGTGGTTGCCAAGGTCTGGGGTGGGTGGGGGAGATGGGAATACATTCTAAAGATCTAATGTCTAACATGGTGAGCAGATAATTATGTATTGCATACTTTAAAATTCCTAAACACTAAATGTTCTCACTACAAAAGAATGCTGAATGTGGTGAATCATTTTACAATGTATATGCATATCAAAATATCATATTCTACATCATAAATATATACAACATTGTTAATTTTACCCTCATAAAGCTTGGGGGAGATAAATTTTAAAAAATAATTGGAAGGAGAGCTAATGTATTGAATGACAGAACTAGAATTTTATTTTTTCCAGTACTGGAGAGATTGAACTCATGGCTTTTGCACTGAGATACATCCCAGCCCTCTTTTTATTTATTGGTACTAGGAATCAAACTCAGGACCTTGTACTTGCCAGCTAGGCACGTATGCCACTGAGCTATATCCCTGGCCCTCTCTTTTTATTTTTTGAGGCAGGGTCTCATTAAGTTGCTACTCAAACTTTGTGATGAACTTGTGCACTATAATACCTGGCTCAGAACCCAGATCTGAAAATATCTTTTTTTGGTGCAGGGACTTACACACACTAAGCATGTGTGCTCCTACTAAGCTATGCTTCCAGCCTTAATATACCTTAATCAACTGAAATAAAACTAAATTCAAAACAATAAATGCACAATGCTGTGTTTAAATTTTTAATAAAGTCAAATGTAAGCATATGGTGTGAAAAATTCAGATTTTCTGAAAATTAATATACTTTTAAAAAAAACTTTTATTATGAAATTAAACATGTAATGAAAAGCCTATCACAAAGAAAAGCCCAGGCCCTGATGGATTTGCTGCTGAATTCTACAAGAAATTTAGTGAAGACCTAACATCACTGCTTCTCCAAGTCTTCAGTGAAATTGAAGGGGAAGCGATACTTCCAAATTCATTCCTGGGAGCAAACATTACTCTGATTCTAAAACCAGAGAAGGAAGGACTCAACCAAGAAAGGGAATTACAGCCCAATCTCCCTAATGAACATTGATGCAAAAGTCCTCAATAAGATACTGGCAAACAGACTGCAACAAATAGTCAAAAAGACCATGATCAAGTGGGATTCATCCCAGGGATGGAGGGATGGTTCAACATATGTAAATCCATAAATGTAATGCATCATATTAACAGAGCCAAGGCAAAAATCATATGATCATCTCAATAGATGCGGAAAAAGCTTTTGACAAAGTCCAGCAGTCATTCATGATAAAAAAATCCTACACAAAATTGGAATAGATGGTCTCTGTCTCAATCTGATAAAAGCCATTGATGACAAACTAAAAGCCAACATGGACAACTAAATTTTTTTCCAACTAAATGAATAAAAATTGAAAGCTTTCACTCTAAAATCAAGAATAAGACAAGGACGTCTACTGTCTCCACTCCTATTCAACGTAGTCCTGGAAACTTTAGCCAGAGCAATTAGACAACAGAAAGAAATAAAAGGAATAAAGACAAGAAAGGAAGATGTTAAATTATCATTATTTGCAGGCAACATGATATTCTACTTAGAAGACCCAAAGACTCAACCAAAAGACTTCTAGATTTAATAAACAAATTTAGTGATGTAGCTGGTTACAAAGTCAACACTTAAAAATCAATAGCCTTCTTGTACATGAATAACAAACTCACTGAGAGAGAAATCAGGGACACTCTATCTTTTACAATAGCACCCTCCAAAGATGAAATACCTAGGAGTCCATCTAATGAAAGATGTAAAAGAGCCCTACAGTGAAAAATATAGTCCCTGAAAGAGGAGATTGATGAGGATATTAGAAAATGGAGAGATATTCCATGCTCTTGCCTAGGAAGAACCAATATAGTGAAAATGGCCATACTTCCAAAACAGTTATACAGATTCAGTGCAATCCTAATCAAAATTGCAATACCATATCTCACAGAATTAGAGAAAACAATCCTAAAATTCCTCTGGAATCAGAAGAGACCTAGAATAGCTAACGTGATCCTAGGCAACAAAGACAAGACAGGGGCATCTTAATCTCTGACTTGAGATTATACTGTAAAGCTACTGTGATAAAAACAGTGTGGTACTGGAAAAAAAACAGACCTGAAGATCAAAGGAATAAATTAGAAGATACAGAAATAACCGCAGACACACTAAGCTACCTTGTCTTTGACAAAGGTGCCAAACACATTCATTGGAAGAGAGATAGTCTCTTTAATAAATGGTGTTGGGGGGCTGGGGATTTAGCTCAGCGGCATAAAGCTCCTGCTTTGCAAGCAGGCAGTCGTGAGTTCGATCCCTGGTACCAATAAAAAGGAAAAAGACAAAATAAATAAATAAATAAATAAATAAATGGTATTGAAAAACTGGCTTTCCACATGCCAAAGATTAAAACTGGACCATATCTTTCATCTCGTACTAAGTTAAAATCAGAATGGATTAAAAATCTTAATATTAAAACAGAAACATTAAATATGCCAGAAAGTAGAGTACATAAAAGTCTTGAAGACATTGGTGTAGGCAAAGACTTTATGAACAAAACCCAGAGTGCACAGGATTTATCGCAAAGAATCAAGGGATCTCATCCCACTGATAAGCTTTTGCACAGCAAGAGAAACCACCAACAGAGTGAAGAGACAACCCACTATGTGGGAGAGAATGTTTGCCAGCTGTTCCTCAGATAAAGAATAACTATCGCAAATGTATATACAACTCAAAAAAAAAAAAAAAGTCCTCCCAGATTTAAAGACCCAATCCAAAAATGGGCATCTGAGATGAACACATACTTCTCAGATGAGGAAGCACAAAC